TTTGACCACTGAACCATGAAAATGAGGTCAAGGTAAGATGACACCTGCCAGCTAGACATGTACACCTTACAATCATTCCATACACCAAATATAGCTGACCTATTGCATGCAGTATTAGAAAAAAAGACCAAAACTCAAAAACTTAACTTTGACCACTGAACCATGAAAATGAGGTCAAAGTCAGATGACACCTGCCAGCTAGACATGTACACCTTACAATCATTCCATACACCAAATATAGTAGACCTATTGCATACAGTATAAGAAAAACAAACCAAAACACAAAAACTTAACTATAACCACTGAACCATGAAAATGAGGTCAAGGTCAGATGACACCTGCCAGTTGGACATGTACACCTTACAGTCCTTCCATACACTGAATATACTAGACCTATTGCTTATAGTATCTGAGATATGGACTTGACCACGAAAACTTAACCTTGTTCACTGATCCATGAAATGAGGTCGAGGTCAAGTGAAAACTGTCTGACGGGCATGAGGACCTTGCAAGGTACGCACATACCAAATATAGTTATCCTATTACTTATAATAAGAGAGAATTTAACATTACAAAAAATCTGAACTTTTTTTTCAAGTAGTCACTGAACCATGAAAATGAGGTCAAGGACATTGGACATGTGACTGACTGAAACTTCGTAACATGAGGCATCCATATACAAAGTATGAAGCATCCAGGTCTTCCATCTTCTAAAATATAAAGCTTTTAAAAAGTTAGCTAACGCCGCCGCCGCCGCCGCCGCCGCCGCCGGATCGCTATCCCTATGTCGAGCTTTCTGCGACAAAAGTCGCAGGCTCGACAAAAACCAAAAACGGCAAAATTTCCTTAAAATTACCAATTCAGGGGCAGCAACCCAACAACGGGTTGTCCGATTCATCTGAAAATTTCAGGGCAGATAGATCTTGACCTGATAAACAATTTTACCCATGTCAGATTTGCTCTAAATGCTTTGGTTTCAGAGATATAAGCCAAAATCTACATTTTACCCCTATGTTCTATTTTTAGCCATGGCGGCCATCTTGGTTGGTTGGCCAGGTCACCGGACACATTTTTTAAACTAGATACCCCAATGATGATTGTGGCCAAGTTTGGTTAAATTTGGCCAAGTAGTTTCAGAGGAGAAGATTTTTGTAAAAGATAACAAAAATTTACGAAAAAATGGTTAAAAATTGACTATAAAGGGCAATAACTCCTTAAGGGGTCAACTGACCATTTTGGTCACGTTGACTTATTTGTAGATCTTACTTTGCTGAACATTATTGCTGTTTACAGTTTATCTCTATCTATAATAATATTCAAGATAAAAACCAAAAACAGCAAAATTTCCTTAAAATTACCAATTCAGGGGCAGCAACCCAACAACGGGTTGTCCGATTCATCTGAAAATTTCAGGGCAGATAGATCTTGACCTGATAAACAATTTTACCCATGTCAGATTTGCTCTAAATGCTTTGGTTTCAGAGATATAAGCCAAAATCTACATTTTACCCCTATGTTCTATTTTTAGCCATGGCGGCCATCTTGGTTGGTTGGCCAGGTCATCGGACACATTTTTTAAACTAGATACCCCAATGATGATTGTGGCCAAGTTTGGTTAAATTTGGCCAAGTAGTTTCAGAGGAGAAGATTTTTGTAAAAGATTACAAAAATTTATGAAAAATGGTTAAAAATTGACTATAAAGGGCAATAACTCCTTAAGGAGTCAACTGACCATTTTGGTCATGTTGACTTATTTGTAGATCTTACTTTGCTGAACATTATTGCTGTTTACAGTTTATCTCTATCTATAATAATATTCAAGATAATAACCAAAAACAGCAAAATTTCCTCAAAATTACCAATTCAGGGGCAGCAACCCAACAACGGTTTGTCCGATTCATCTGAAAATTTCAGGGCAGATAGATCTTGACCTAATGAACAATTTTACCCCATGTCAGATTTGCTCTAAAGGCTTTGGTTTCAGAGATATAAGCCAAAATCTACATTTTACCCCTATGTTCTATTTTTAGCCATGGCGGCCATCTTGGTTGGTTGACCGGATCACCGGACACATTTTTTAAACTAGATACCCCAATGATGATTGTGACCAAGTTTGATAAAATTTGACCCAGTAGTTTCAGAGGAGAAGATTTTTGAAAAAGTTTACGGACGACGGACGCAGGACGACGGACGACGGACGCAGGACGACGGACGACGGACGCAAAGTGATGAGAAAAGCTCACTTGACCTTTCAAGTCAGGTGAGCTAAAAAGAATAATCCCCCCAAAAAATAAGCTTCTAAAAAGCTTTTCTTCAAGCTTATAAAACATTGCTGTGTAGTTTCAATAGTAAGGTTTGCCAAGTCATTATTTCTTAACTAACATTATTAATCAAATGTGTTTTGCTATATCATGTGAATATGTAATAGTATTTCTATCTATATAATTAACTGTCTGCATAATAACAGCCTTTGAATGCTATTCTTATGAACAGTGAATGATTCTGCACTTTCTAAACACAGTAATTTCCAATTAATCATGGACATCAGGATTTTCACTGATTATTTTGAGCACATTGAACCCTACCACATACTAATTAAAGGACATCTGCCCTTTTTTCTATTAATGCTATGAATAATAAACTGTTATCACAGAGATATGTCTCGCCTTTTTGTAATTTTGATAATGCAAATGTTGAAATTAAAATAGCAATATTTTAACATGTAAGTTATGCAAATATTCAAAGTCGATGAACCATGACTGAAGGTACATGACTAAACAATCTCCATGGAATGAGATGTGCCGATGCTAATACAACTGCATACCAAATACCATTGACTTAGTTCCCTTTAAACAAACCTAAACACAAACATTTACTTGTAAACTATGTAAAAGTTTCAAAGTCAATGAACCATGATCAGGGGTGGGGCTATATAATCTCCATGGAAACGATACTTGCAAATGCCAATAAATTTGCATACCAAATGACATTGACTTAACATTAGTGGTTCATCTTAAACTGATTTAATCACAAACTAATACATGTAAACTAAGCAAAAGTTTCAAAGTAAATAGACCATGACTGAGGGGGCGGGGCCAAATATTCTCCATGGAAATGAGATGTGCTAATGCTTATACAACTGAACACCAATTAACATTGGCCTACCACTAATGGTTCCCCTTGAACTGACCTAATCACAAACTAATACATGTTAACTTAGCAAAATTTTCAAAGTCTATAGACCATGACTAAGGGGGCGGAGCCAAATAATCTCCATGGAAATGAGATATGCCAATGCTTATACCAAATATCATTGACCTACCACTAGTGGTTCCCCATAAATTGACCTAATCACAAACTAATACATGTAAACTATGAAAAGTTTCAAAGTCAATAGACCTTGACTGAGGGGGCGGGGCCAAATAATCTCCATGGTAATGAGAAGTGCCAATGCTAATACAACTGCATACCAAATATCAGTGACCTACCACTAGTGGTTCACCATGAACTAGACCTAATCACAAACTAATACATTGTTGACGCTGCCGCCGGAAACAGCATACCTATGTCTCGCTTTTTGACTCTGTCAAGGCGAGACAAAAAGAGATTTTGGATTGTTATAATTGGTCATATTCAAATAAAGAAAAATTTGGAAGAAAATTAGTCACTCATCTGAAACATTATTTCTATCATTAACAAGACTAAAATATTTGAGGAAACCTAAATTGATCAAAATAATTTTCTGTCTCTTTAAGATATGTATGCTTTTCGTTCACAACAGAACTGAAATTGGCTTAACCAAAAAATAGTTCTAAAGGTTTTTTTTACAGCAATATATAAATTTAGTCATTTTTGGGGGCAAAAATACAAAAAAAAATGATAAAATTCGTCATCAAAGTATAATTATTCAATTAAGAAGCGACTCACGATTTCAGCAAAGTTGACTTATTTATAGATCTTGACTTATTGATCATTTTCGCTATTAAAAGTTTCTATCTATCTAGTATAGTTTTCAAGATAATAGACAAAAAAGACAAAAGAGACAAATAATCATGCAAATATTCATCATTTAAGAGCATTAACTCCTCCAAGAAGTCATCTGATAGTTTTGATATAAAAAGACATTATGTAGATCTCAACATTTTTGCTCTGTCATATTATCAGTATCTATAGCAGTTTTCAAGATCATAGATAAACCTTGCATTTCACTCCCAAAGTTCTATTTTTAGCCATGTCAGTCATATTGGTTGCCAGGTGGGGGTCATCTGACACATTTTCTAAACAAGATACCCCAATGATGAATGTGGACAAGTTTGGGTAAATTTGGCCGAGTAGTTTCAGAGGAGCAGATCTTTGTAAAAGGTAACAGACGGAGACAGACAACAACAGATGACGGATGCAAACGGGATTTGTTTTATGGGAAAAGTTCACCCAAAGGGCCATGTGAGCTCAAAAAGTGTAATAGGTACATAAAAACTTTCTGTCACAAAGTAGTTCAGAATTTAACAAAAAAAGAAGGAATTTGAAAGTTTGTTGTTTTTGGGTTAAGGCTAACTTTTTAAAATAATTTACAATTTCCAATGCTAAATATTACAAACACATTGGACATTGGAAATAATAGAACTATTAAGTTTTTCAGTGTTTGTAAATCCCATGTTTTATTTGCATAAATAACAAGGAAACTTTTAATAGCATGCAAATTTAAAAATATTTAAAATTCTATATTCATTCATATTCACTGTAAGTTAAAGAACTGAATTCAAATTTACTTTATGCAAAAGCAAAAAATAACACTTAACTCCTCTTCTTGATTTACTGCATACTTTTTTCTGTGTATAAAAAGGAATTGGATAAATACATGGAAACTTTGAAATAATAGTAAAATTCAATATAAAACTCCAAAGCATTATTCATCAAAGATGCTAAGAATTTGAAGTTTTCTTATTCAAGATATTGTACTTTCCATAGTGTATTTACTGTGTTAATAAACAACACCAACATAAGACATACTTAGAAATTTCTTCTTCATTTAATATAACAAGATCTTAGTGATTTTTATACAATAATGAAAAAGACATTATTAATTTATGATGACTACAGTTGCAATGTTGAACTAATGCCAGTGAAGTGACTTTATACATCTGACAGTGATATTTCATGAGAGCACAATATAATGAATAATGATCTACATCTTCTATACATTTTACAAATTATATGAAACAAATTACATTACTGGAGAAAAATACATGAAACAAATTAGTTTTTAGGAAAAGTGTAAATGAAATTCTTTACAGCGCCTAGACTATTATCTTGAAGAAAAGAAAATGCTACGATATTGGCAATAAATAAGTGTATATAGTCAGCTGTGTGTAGTGCTAATTAAATGTTATTAAGGTCTATTCCACTGAAATGAGGGAAGGATGGCAAATTTGAATTTTAGACAAAAGTCATTAGTGATTTATTGCTGTATATCCCTTTAATAATTTCCAAATTTCTTGGTGGTTGAGATATTTTGGGAGTCCCTAACTACCCTTCCTTTCCATTTTAATCGGATAGTTCTAACACCCACTACCCTTCCTTTCCATTTTAATCGGATAGTCCTAACACCCACTACCCTTCCTTTCCATTTTAATCGGATAGTCCTAACAGAGTTCAATGAAATTAAAGACAGATAAGAAACAAAATAATACATTACTTATAGCATAATAATTACATAGTTTTTAACTTTACAAACAATTTCTTTATATACTTCTATGTTACATTCTGTAGAAATTAGGTTTTTTCTATATCCAATCAATTACATTCTGAAATCTGAAACATTTCTGTTTCTGTGACTTATACATATACAAGTCACAGAAATACTGTAAAGTAGAACTCAAAAATCCTAACTTCTACACTTCATTTCACTTATAAATTTCTAATACTGTAAAGGATGGCTATTAAAAGCATTCATTAAGTACATACAGGGAGACAACTACAAATTGACAATCAGGCAAAAATTTTAAAAAATCAAGACAAAATCGGTATTTTCTCAAGGTGCTATACCCATAAATTTAAAATTTGATACAATTCGTGCTTGTTAAATTTTTTGCACAAGTTTTACATTTTTTCCACTAACCAATATATAAAAATTCACAGTATGTGAAAAAAACATAAATTCAAATCTAAATGTTTCCATGCTTACAATTCAAACTTGAAATTTTTTTTTTCTTTTTATAATATTTCCAATTCTAAAAGCTCCATTTTTTAAAAGTCCACTAAAATTCAACACTAAGGTTCTACAATTTCTAACATGTCAACACTTTTGTCTGTACAATTAAGCATATAACACACATTCTTAAGAAAATATATGATTTCAGAGACTATATTATATACCTTGACAGATTGATACAATCCATCATTACTGTGGTACTAAAATTTCAAAAAAATGTCCCTGAATAAATTGATGAAAGGGTTCATGTTTTGAAACTTGGTATGTGTATTATAAATAATAATATGATATACTAAAAGTTGTGGTCACATAACATTTTGTAAAACACATGTCTGAAGAATTGTGCTTGTTTTATAGATATTATAAATTTAGAATTGCACTTGCTTTATAGATATCATAAATTTAGAATTGAGCTTGTTTGATAGATATCATAGATTTAGAATTACACTTGTTGTATAGATATCATATATTTAACAGGGTTCTCAGAAATTTCTTATATCATCCTGGTATTAAAACAGGAAATTTTAAAATACCATCTTGTTTCTAGAAATTATAGCATCACATCCATAACACTATCTATAAGAAAATCATTTCAGATAGCATCACATTCTAGCAATATAGCATTACCATGGTAAGGCCCTTGGGAGAACACTATCATAGATTTAAAATTGCTTTTGTTTTATAGATATAGATTTAGAATTGCTTTTGTTTTATAGATATAGATTTAGAATTGCTTTTGTCTTATAGATATAGATTTAGAATTGCTTTTGTTTTATAGATTTAGATTTAGAATTGCTTTTGTTTTATAGATATAGATTTAGAATTGCTTTTGTTTTATAGATTTAGAATTGCTTTTGTTTTATAGATTTAGAATTGCTTTTGTTTTATAGATATAGATTTAGAATTGCTTTTGTTTTATAGATTTAGAATTGCTTTTGTTTTATAGATATAGATTTAGAATTGCTTTTGTTTTATAGATTTAGAATTGCTTTTGTTTTATAGATATAGATTTGGAATTGCTTTTGTTTTATAGATTTAGAATTGCTTTTGTTTTATAGATTTAGAATTGCTTTTGTTTTATAGATATAGATTTAGAATTGCACTTGTTTTTTAGATATCATATAAATTAAGGTCATTTTTATAAAATTTAATGAAGATCAATATGAGCTCAGATGGACATATAGTTAGAAAGACCGAGGTATATCAAATTACTGACAGGCAGAACAATCACACTTGATATAACATACAACCTGCTTAATATGGATTTAAAATTTCAGAGAGAGGCCACAATCGGCAAAAATATAAAATATTCATCACTAAAACTCAATACAGTTTCAATTTCAATGAAATGATGAGTAAAATGGAATTATTTACAATGAATAAGGGACATAACTCTATGTACCTAACATAACAACTAAACTAATACTCCTAGACAACAATTATAGTCAAACCAGTTTCAAATTACGTCTTTATGATAATGTAAATAATCATCACTATTTTAAGTGTGGAACTTTTTGCATTAAACTTGAGAATATATGAACTATATGATAACTAACTTTTCCAAGTATTCGCTTCATCTTTTAAAAAATAGTATATGATGTGAGAATATTTGCTGGCTTGCTGGCAGACATCAACTGTTGATTAATGGCAGAAAATTATTGTAACAGTCATAAAGAATAATTGTTATGTATATTTTATGTTACTTTCACAGAACATTCCATTCCAATTACTGTATAATCTGTTACAGATCTGTATTCAGCCTTTTAAGGAGTAAGGTAAATTTATCCGACTAATTTTCCTCCTTGGGTAAGATGATTTAACAATAAAACAAATCGTTTTATGCTCAAAATATCTACTGCTTGTTCTCAATAATGAATATTAAAACAGTGTTGTGGATATGTTTCGAGATTCATCGCTTCTTTTACACAGTTTACAAAAAACAACATTTTTCTTGGTTTTATCCTCTCTGATAAAACTTGTGCAATTTGACTTAAAAATATTCTCAAATATTTTGAATAGGTTTAACTGTACCACCAAACATCAAAAGTAAAATACACTGGATTAATGCTAATAAAACAATTAAGTGATAAACAAAATAAAAATATTGGTAGTCACATATCTTTGACATAAAAATAGAACATGGATAATCATTTAATGATAACATATTTGTCTGTTTCCATGGATTTGCTGCCTATTTCCAAAACAACGAATGATATTCTGTAGATGTGTCTATTGCACAATGCCATCCCAATCTTGTACTGTTTGGATTATCTCCCTTGTTTTATAAACTGGTTCCCTGGCTTGTTCCTACATCATATCATTCTCAAACTCCTAAGCCAGGCAAAGTCGAGCTATTATTGGTCATTTATCCTATCAACTCTACTGGCTGTTGTCTCGAGCCCAGCTTATCACATAACAACAAGAATTTTGGTCCTAGCCTTATATTTTTGACGATTCTATTTCATGAACTGGCGGCTCTATACACTGCTGCAATGTCACTATCAGCATATCCTAATCGTCTTGCCTTTTTGTATAACTAAAAAAAGCAAGATAATTAAACACTGTCAAAGTATGACCAAAATGAGACAAGAGTTGATATCAGTGATATCAGTAGCATACTTCCTATAGTTTTATCTTATTGAATTGGCAGAAATACTATTCTATTGTCTGCAACAAAGCCAGGTAACATATTTTCCTTATAACACAGTTTTGCACATGGCTCAAGTCCAGAGACGTGTCAAGAGCAGTTGTTACTGTGTAGCTGGTTATTTGAAAAGGTGTTTAATTTGACAAAAATATACTAAAAATTTGGCCTTTTTTCTAAAAAATTATTTTAGTGGTTGTGCAAATGAAAGTTGATCAGAAGTTGTAAGATGGATTGTCATATTCTGTTGGAGCTATTTTCCTAATGCATGTAGTTTAAAGGTTTGGTAAGCTTGCTTGCTTTGTTTGTATAAAATTTGCTCAAGCATTGTAATTAAGATTGACATTTTTTTATTTGTTATTTGTAAATAAATCAGGTTGTTTGCTTTCTCATTTTTTTTTTTTTACATTTTGTTATGTCTGGGCCTTTAATAGATTGCTTTGCAGTATTTTTTTTTTGTTGATGGCTGTACTGCAACCTATAGTTGCTAACATCTAAGTCATTTGGTCTCTGGTATATAGTTGTCTCAATCATACCACATCTGGCAAATACTTTATACAATTGCATTAAAACATGTAGTGTGAATTCCTTAGATGTCATGTGATCTAAGCACAAGTCTTTGAATGTTATCCAACAACCCAAACCAAATCATGCAAAATTTTAACATGAACACACAATTGAACAAGTCATTAGAATTAAGAAATATTTTTATGATGTCTTTATTCTAATAATGAGTAGGCATTATACGTCAATATCTTCTTTCCATCAAGCACTAGCTATAAATTGGTATCATTGTGCAGGATTTCTCCCCATGAATAGTTCTAGACTGGTACTTACTTCATTTGCTGCTGATGCTACATATAATATGAATAGTTCTAGACTGGTACTTACTTCATTTGCTGCTGATGCTACATATAATATGAATAGTTCTAGACTGGTACTTACTTCATTTGCTGCTGATGCTACATATAACATGAATAGTTCTAGACTGGTACTTACTTCATTTGCTGCTGATGCTACATATAACATGAATAGTTCTAGACTGGTACTTACTTCATTTGCTGCTGATGCTACATATAATGGTTGTTCTACTTTGTCTCCCAGTAACAGTGCTAAACGTAAATCTTTCTGCTGATGCATTAATGGAAAATGAGGATCATACTTTTGATTTAAAATAGCTGAAAAACAACATAAAAGTAAGACAATTAACATGGGTTAATATCAATTTATACTTTTGTATTTGATCAGCAGTTTTTTTTCACATTTGTTTCACCTATACTAGGGAAGTACTGTTCATCATGGGTAAAAATGTCTGTGGTTTGTGATAATTGTTGGTTCAAGCAGTTTTAAATTTTTGGTTTAATAGATTATCTATGGTTTTGAGAAGGAATTTCTAGGCTACCATCTCATCTAAACTTATTTTGTTTGATATACAATAGAGTATCTGTTAAATGCTGTTTTAATAGCCAATGTTAACGATAATTAATATTGACATATCCTAACATGATGGAAAGTTCACACATTAAATTCTGAATTTACTGTAAACCTTTAAATATGTGAATGATTTCTAAATAGGATTACCTTGACTTTTATGTATAACTGTAGGACAGGAAAGGGAACCAAGGGAGAGAACCTCTGCCACGTCTTCCTGATCTAAGCCAACTTTCTCAGCCATTGCCATACCCTCTGCCAGACTGGCCATTGTTGTACCCATTATCATATTTACTATTAACTTCATTCTTGTAGCACCACCAATTTCTGGACCTACATTATATTACAATATTCAACAATTCAATATAATGTTCAACTAAGAAAACATCTTTCTAGCATTTCTTAGTCCAAACCCCTTTTCTTATACATTTTTGATCTAGTATCTGGGATTCCAGTACTGTTTTTGCTTCAACAATATTTTTCAGTATTCTTGTTTAAGAATAACTAATTTTAAGATGGATGAAGAACATCTAGAATTCAATATAACATGCCTATTCAAGACAATGAAATGACTCTGCTTTGTATGGAACCTGCATGCTGAGTCAGCTTTTAAACAGGGTAACAGTTCACAGCAAATGTTTCACACCATCTTGATACCATGCTAAATTGTCTTTTTTGTTAAGTTTAATAGGTTGGTGTACTGTTTTTGCTATTTCTTGGGCATGTGAATATCATCATATTTTGTACAGAAAATCTATAATAAAATTGAATCATTTGAGTAAGGGCTATTCCATTAAAATGTATGTGGGAGGGTAGGAAGGGACTTTCAAAATATCCCTACAAACAAGAACCATTTTTTAGATAATCTTGCATAATTGTAATAGACGCATACTGAACTAGAGGCTCTCAAGAGCCTGTGTATTTACTGATGCTTTGGAAATCATGTAAAATAAGGTTAAAATAATAATTAATAGTATTAGATATTATAATGATATCTAAGATAATAACAAAAAACTGCAAAATTTTTGTAAAATTACTAACTCAGGGGCAGCAACCCAACAACGGGTTGTCGGATTTGTCTGAAAATTTCAGGGCAGATAAATCTAAATCTGATGAACATTTTTGCCACCGTCAGATTTGCTCTAAATGCTTTAGTTTCAGAGATATAAACCAATTCTATTTTTAACCAAGTCGGCCATGATGGTTGGAAGGAGGGGTCATCAGACAAATTTTTTAAACTATATACCCTAATAATGATTATGGCCAAGTATGGTTAAATTTGTCTCCGTAGTTTCAGAGAACAAGATTTTTGTAAAAGATTACCAAAATTTACAAAAAATTGTTAAAAATTGACTATTAAGGGCAATAACTCCTAAAGGGGTTGACTGACAATTTTGGTCATGGCAACTTATTTGTAGATCTTACTTTGCTGAACATTATTGCTGTTTACAGTTTATCTCTATCTATAATAATATTCAAGATAATAACCAAAAACTGCAAAATTTCCTTAAAATTACCAATTCAGGGGCAGCAACCCAACAACAGGTTGTCAGATTTGTCTGAAAATTTCAGGGCAGATAGATCTTGACCTGATAATCAGTTTTACCCTGTCAGATTTACTCTAAATGCTTTGGTTTCAGAGATATAAGCCAAAATCTACATTTTACCCCTATGTTCTATTTTTAGCCATGGCGGACATCTTGGTTGGTTGGCGGGGTCATCGGACACATTTTTTAAACTAGATACCCTAATGATGATTGTGGCCAAGTTTGGTTAAATTTGGCCCAGTGGTTTCAGAGGAGAAGATTTTTGTAAAAAGCTAACGACGACGGACGACGGACGCCAAGTGATGAGAAAAGCTCACTTGGCCCTTTGGGCCAGGTGAGCTAAAAAACGCATGACCCACATTCAATAATTAAACTTCCCTTCCTACCCTCCCACATACATTGTAATGGAATAGTCCTAACCTCCCATAGTCTATTATTCTTTCCATTTTGAGGTAAGTAATCTTAGAAAAGAAACAGCAAATGCATATTTAAAATCTTTGGTTTTTACCCTGCAAGCATATCAAGCATGCTACAAACAAAGGCAATATTGTTTCTGAATAAAGATTAACACCCGTTTTAAATCCACATTGCGTCTTGACTTTCATTTCCTTGTTCATGTTGGTGGTCATTTTGTTTGTACAAGTTTTTTATTGTATGTTTTGCATTTACAACATATGGTCTAGATAGGAAAAGGGAGAGGTTTGTGTGTACAAAAAACTAATTTAGCCTCACAACATTTTCTGTCGGTACATAAAAAGTCTATCTGGACATTGTATTATTAGTCCTAGTTTGTCTTTGTATGTCAATTGTTTTAAGGAATCAGTGGTTGGTGTGGTTTGCTGTTATATCCACAAATTATGGTAATTCCTGTTATCCTTTTTACATATTATACTTGATCGAAAAATTATAACAGTTTCTGATAACTATGCAGGCAGTATAAAGGCACAACTGTCATGTACAAATATCAGTGTTACTCGTATGCAGTTTAAATAATTGATAACTGCTTCTGGTATATACATTCAAATAAATATTATCATTAATATCAATTTCAATAAAACAGAAATTTCATATACTGCATACCTACCTAAAAATAAGAATTTCTTTGCTATTGCTTCAAAACATGTGTAACAATCATCAAATAATTTTCTGTCACCAGAAGCCAGGATGATTAACTGTCCTTCTAATGCCGGTACTCTACTCCCAACCACAGGGGCTTCTAGAAATACCCCTCCTCTGGCATTTATAGCCTGCAGAGATACCAATAAGCATATTAAATGTTATCATACAAAAACTTCATGAACATGTTTTTCTCTGCACTTTTTTCAGAAGATTTTTCTTCTTATTTTGCAGAACCAAATAAGAATGTCAATTTTCTAAATGCTTATATTTCAGTATAAACATTAAATTCTAGTAATTTTATAGATTTTGACACATAATATAAACAGTAAAATAATTTAAATATTATATTATGTGATCGTCTATCAGTAAAAATACAGACTTAAAACTAGAGGCTCTAAAGAGCCTGTGTCGCTCACCTTGGTCTATGTGCATATTAAACAAAGGACACAGATGGATTCATGACAAAATTGTGTTTTGGTGATGGTGATGTGTTTGTAGATCTTACTTTACTGAATATTCTTGCTCCTTACTATTATCTCTATCTATAATGAACTTGGCCCGGTAGTTACAGTGGAAAATACTTTTAAAAATTTACAAAAATTTACAAAATTTATGAAAATTGTAAAAAATTGACTATAAAGGGCAATAACTCCTTAAGGGGTCAATTGACAATTTTGGTCATGTTGCCTTATTTGTAGATCTTACTTTGCTGAACATTATTGCTGTTTACAGTTTATCTCTATCTATAATAATATTCAAGATAATAACCAAAAACGGCAAAATTTCCTTAAAATTACCAATTCAGGGGCAGCAACCCAACAACGGGTTGCCTGATTGGTCTGAAAATTTCAGGGCAGATAGATCTTGACCTAATGAACAATTTTATACTCATCAGATTTGCTCTAAATGCTTTGGTTTCAGAGATATGAGCCAAAAACTGCATTTTACCCTATGTACTATTTTTTAGTCATGTCGGCCATCTTGGTTCGCGGGCGGGGTCATTGGTGAGCTAAAAATAGACAAGTATCACTATCTTTATAATATGTCAAGTTGGGTCTAAAAAGCTATTATCAAATGAAAAAATTGTCTTATTTTTCAAAATATGACCAGAAAAAAATCTCTTCCTAATGGAAAAATTAGCTGAAAATGAATTGATATAGCAATCGATAAACATGAAACAATAATCTAATGAAAACATAAAATTGCTGCGTCCTTTTATAAGTGTGATTGGTGATAAATACATAACAATGTGAGAATTATTCCTGTGATTTCAGGACAACTACCTGGACCATTATATCAAACATGACTATAAATTAATGCCATACTAATATGTCATATCTTTTTTCAAATTATAAAGCAAAAAACACAAAAACTTATGAATTTACAGGTAACAATGTATACAAAGGAGTTTTTCATTGAAAAGTTTTGACAAATCAGTTGACAAAACATAGGCAGAGATTTTCTGGGGGTATTCAATGGATTTAACTTAATCCTAATAAAAAAAAAAAACAAATAACAATAGTTCCAAACTTCTTTTTACTCCGACCTAACACTTGCTATTACCATATTATTTATCATTTCATAATACAACCAATTTATTTGTCACTTACTTCAGCGACATCTTGCATTGTGTCTTCATCTATCGTTGACATTTCTATGTAACATTTTCCCTTTGTTATTCCTTGTAATACACCAAAATTACCAAATACTAACTGAAAAGAAAAAGAAAATTATAAAATACATTACTGAAAAGAAAAAGAAAATTATAAAATACCTAACTGAAAAGAAAAAGAAAATTATAAAATACCTAGCTAGAAAGAGCAAAAGATATATATAAAATGAATTCATTATGTTTTTTTATATGTGAGAATGATTTATTTTATCACCTTGCACTCATGACTCAACTACCGTTTTCTACAGCAGTTGTTTAAAATTTCTGACAGTTGAACATTTTGGTTTTTATAAAACAAATAGCAATTGGGTCAGAATTTTGAATGAACTGCAATAGGTAGAAAGTAACACTTACAGTAAAGTCACAGTGTATTTTGGTACATGGAAAAATTGCAGATGAATTGATAAGAACACTTCTGGATAGTGACTTTAAAAATAAACTGTTAACGCAGAGATATGTCTCGCCTATTTGTTATTTTGACAATGCAAATGTTGAAATTAAAATAGCAATACTTTAACATGTAAGTTATGCAAATATTCAAAGTCAATGAACCATGACTGAAGGTACAGGGCTAAACAATCTCCATGGAAATGAGATGTGCCAATGCTAATACAACTGCAAACCAAATACCATTGACTTTTCATAAGTCGTTCCCTTTAAACAAACCTAAACACAAACATTAACTTGTAAACTATGTAAAAGTTTTAAAGTCAATGAACCATAATTAGGGGGTGGGGTTATATAATCTCCATGGAAATAAAACTTGCAAATGCCAATACATTTGCATACCAAATATCATTGACTTAACATTAGTGGTTCTTTTTAAACTGACCTAATCACAAACTAATACATGAAAACTAAGCAAAAGTTTCAAAGTCAATAGACCATGAATGAGGGGGTGGGGCCAAATAATCTCCATGAAAATAAGATATGCCAAAGCCTATACAACTGCATACCAAATATCATCGACCTACCACTAGTGGTTCCCCATAAACTGACCTAATCACAAATTAATACATGAAAACTAAGCAAAGTTTCAAAGTCAATAGACCTTGACTGAGGGGGCGGGGCCAAATAATCTCCATGGTAATGATATGTGCCAATGCTAATACAACTGCATACCAAATATCATTGACCTACCAGTGGTTTACCATGAACAAAACCAAATCACAAACTAATACATTGTTGATGCTGACGCCGCCACCTGAAACAGCATACCTATGTCTCGCTTTTTGACTCCGTCAAGGCGAGACAATAAGTCATGAGGAAGTAAAATCTAAAAACACATTATCTTTGTTGCCTCATTTGAATCTTTGGGTGTTGTTCCATTGATGCATACTCATATATTCTTTCATACATATGCAGATAAAATAAGCATTCTGAGAGTATTGCATGGTAAATAGTCCCCAACTTGATCTGTAACTTGTCAAGACAAGAGTGCACACGCTGAAATGTCTCGCCTTCTTTACTAATCATTGATTTTATGTTGATAGTCCTAAATATAAAGCTTTACTACAACTATCACATACACTTAACATGATCCAAGAAAATGAGGTCAAGGTCATATAAACCAAACAAGAAATACATGTACACCTTACAATCATTCAATACACTTAATATAGTTGACCTATTGTTTATAGTTTCTAAGATACAGACTTAACCAAGAAAACTAAACATTGACCAATGAACCAAGAAAATGAGGTCAAGGTCAGATGAACAATGCCAGGCAGACATGTACTACAGCTTGCAATCCTTCCATACAACAAATATAGTTGACCTATTGCTTATAGTATTAGAAAAACAGACCAAAACACAAAAACTTAACACTGAGCAATGAACTGTGAAAATGAGGTCAAGGTCAAATAAAACCTGCAAGACTGACAGGTACATCATAAAATATTTCCATACACCAAATATAGATGACCTATTGCATAAAGTATTAGAAAAAAAGATAAAAACTCAAAAACTTAACTTTGACCACTGAACCATGAAAATGAGGTCAAGGTCAGAAGACACCTGCCAGCTAGACATGTACACCTTACAATCATTCCATACACCAAATATAGTAGACCTATGGCATACAGTATAAGAAAAACAGACCAAAACACAAAAACTTAACTATAACCACTGAACCATGAAAATGAGGTCAAGGTCAGATGACACCTGCCAGTTGGACATGTACACCTTACAGTCCTTCCATACACCGAATATACTAGACCTATTGCTTATAGTATCTGAGATATGGACTTGACCACCAAAACTTAATCTTGTTCATTGATCCATGAAATGAGGTCGAGGTCAAGTGAAAACTGTGTGACGGGCATGAGGACCTTGCAAGGTACGCACATACCAAATATAGTTGAACTATTGCATATAGTATTAGAAAAAAAGACCAAAACTCAAAAACTTAACTTTGACCACTGAACCATGAAAATGAGGTCAAGGTCAATTGACACCTGCCCGCTAGACATGTACACCTTACAATCATTCCATACACCAAATATAGTAGACCTATGGCATACAGTATAAGAAAAACAGACCAAAACACAACAACTTAACTATAACCACTGAACCATGAAAATGAGGTCAAGGTCAGATGACACCTGCCAGTTGGACATGTACACCTTACAGTCCTTCCATACACCGAATATACTAGACCTATTGCTTATAGTATCTGAGATATGGACTTGACCACCAAAACTTAATCTTGTTCATTGATCCATGAAATGAGGTCGAGGTCAAGTGAAAACTGTGTGACGGGCATGAGGATCTTGCAAGGTACACACATACCAAATATAGTTGAACTATTGCATATAGTATTAGAAAAAAAGACCAAAACTCAAAAACTTAACTTTGACCACTGAACCATGAAAATGAGGTCAAGGTCAGATGACACCTGCCCGCTAGACATGTACACCTTACAATCATTCCATACACCAAATATAGTAGACCTATGGCATACAGTTTAAGAAAAACAGACTAAAACACAAAAACTTAACTATAACCACTGAACCATGAAAATGAGGTCAAGGTCAGATGACACCTGCCAGTTGGACATGTACACCTTACAGTCCTTCCATACACCGAATATACTAGACCTATTGCTTATAGTATCTGAGATATGGACTTGACCACCAAAACTTAACCTTGTTCACTGATCCATGAAATGAGGTCGAGGTCAAGTGAAAACTGTCTGAAGGGCATGGGGACCTTGCAAGGTACGCACATACCAAATATAGTTATCCTATTACTTATAATAAGAGAGAATCTAACATTACAAAAAATCTTAACTTTTTTTTCAAGTAGTCACTGAACCATGAAAATGAGGTCAAGGACATTGGACATGTGACTGACGGAAACTTCATAACATGAGGCATCCATATACAAAGTATGAAGCATCCAGACCTTCCACCTTCTAAAATATAAAGCTTTTAAGAAGTTAGCTAACGCAGCCGCCGGATCACTATCCCTATGTCGAGCTTTCTGCGACAAAAGTCGCAGGCTCGACAATAAAACTATATACCAATTATCAAATCAATATCTTCAAACATGACGAAAAAAAGTGTGGAAAACTGATTATTTGAGTGAATTCATGCCAGTAACACAGGAGTTTTGTATAAAAAGTATAATTGCTGTATTTGAATATAAAAAATTAATGTGCGGACCAAACCCTGCTATGGATCAAACTTGTGCTGCACAATTGTTTCATCCATGCGTGGTTCAGTCAAAGGTTGTCTTATTTTTTATATTCAAACAAGGCAACTAGTTTTGCTGTAACCATTATTATATATTACAACAAATGCATTTCTTTTGTCATGAATTCAACACAAATAAATTTATATATAAAAACAGAAATTGAAAAAATATAGCTTCACTTTTGTGCACAAAAAATAAGACAATCTTCAATTTTAATTCACTGTATGTATCAGCATTTTTACTGAAAAGATTCAAATTATCAATATAATTATTTGTTCTATTTTCATCTTGATACTCAAGCTCCATTTCTCCTTCTACTATTAAAAAAAATTTTTTTTATTGATGTGTGCTAGGAGAGTGACATTCATGTATAAATGTGCTATTATATACTTATTAATACACACATCTTTGACTGCTGTAGAATCTGATACACAGGCAAATGTCATGTCACAAGCCTGTACAACTTCTGCTGGGTTATTTCCCTTGAATGCCCCTGCTGATATAAATTCTTTACACTGAAAATACAAAAGAACATTTCTTTAATATATATGTACAGGCTTAAACATTATATCAACTGTCAAGAGTTGTTCTTTTTAATTTATGAACACTATTTTTCTCAACTGACTTGGTACAAGCACTTCACAAATGATAATAGTGGGTTGAACCAGGTTTAACAGTGTCAAACTTGTCACTACAAACGAAAAATAAAATGCTCTGCTGGGCGCAGCTTGATACGACCGCAGAGGTCGAACCCTGAACAGTTGGGGCAAGTATGGACACAACATTCAAGCTTGATTCAGCACTGAATTTGGATTGTGATTAAATATTTGACACAGCATAGGTTTCTGACACAGAATGAATGTGGTCTAAGAACTTAAAAAATTTTAATTTACCTATTCAAACCATATCATTATTATTTGGTTTTATATATAAATCAGAAATATCCAATTTAAAATGGAAAATTTTAAAGAAAAAAAAAAGGAAAAAAAAATCCCTCCCACAAATTTTTTGAACCCCCTTATGATTCATCACCCCAAAACTCAATCCCAGCCTTCCCTTTGTGGTATGGTACCTTGCAGTACAATTTCAGAGAGATCCATACACTTGAACAAAAGTTATTGTCTGGAAACTAGAAAAATGCTTGTTTTTAGACCCCTTTTTGGCCCCAAATTCCTAAACCTTTAAGGCAATTACCCCCAAACTCAAACCAAGCTTTCCCTTTGTGATATGGAACTTTGTAGTACAATTTCATAAAGATCCATACACTTAAACACAAGTTATTGTCCTGAAACTAGAAAAATGCTTGTTTTTTGCCCCCTAATTCCTAAAATTTTCAGGCAAATACCCCAAAATCAATCCCAGCCTTCCCTTTGTGGTATGGTACCTTGCAGTACAATTTCAGAGAGATCCATACACTTGAACACAAGTTATTGTCTGGAAACTAGAAAAATGCTTATTTTTGGCCCCTTATTCCTAAACCTTTTGGGCAATTACCCCCAAACTCAATTCCAGCTTTCCCTTTGTGATATGGAACCTTGTAGTACAATTTCAGAAAGATCCATACACTTACACACTAGTTATTGTCATGAAACTAGAAAAATGCTTGTTTTTTGCCCCTTTTTTGGCCCTTAATTCCTAAAATTTTGAAGCAATTACCCCCAAAATCAATCCCAGCATTCCCTTTGTGATATGGAACCTTGTGGTACAATGTCAGAGAGATCCATGCACTAACACACAAGTTATGTCTGGAAGTTACAAAAATACTTATTTTTGGCCCCTAATTCCTTAACTGTTGTTACCATAACCCCCAAAATCAATCCCAACCTTCCTTTTATGGTATTGAACCTTATGGTAAAATTTCATAGAGATAAAGTTAGAGTGCGAAAACCAGTGTGTCTTCGGACGACGACGACAACGCCAACGTCATACCAATATACGACCGCAAAATTTTTTGGCGGTCGTATAATAAAATGTTTTTAAAAATTGTATCTGGCACCATAAAAAGTGATAAATCCCACCATTTTCTCTGAAAATATGTAGTACTACTACTAATTTGCAAAATTATGAAAATGATTGTACCTATCCAGGATTACTGTAAGACTAGTATTTTCAAATTTACCATGGTGCTTTTAGACCCTGGAGAGAACACTCATAGTTTTAGATACTGTGGATTCATTAATATTCGTTGGATACCAATTTTCGTGGATTTCGTGGGTACAGGGGAACCACGAATTTAAATGTTCAACGAATTACAAATTTCTTACAGAAAATATGCAGACTTTGTCAAAACCACGAAATTAAACATCCACGAAAATGCAAGTGTTCTTCAATCCACGAAAATTGGTACCCACGAAAATAAATGAATTCACAGTACATAATTTTTTTATCAATTGTTATTGACTTGGAACTCCAGTAACAGCCAGTACTCTCAGATCTGTACTTTGTGTCTGAAGTCCTTTTGTTAGTTGTTTTTTGCATGCTATGTTTCTATCTGAATTGCCAAGCCTTTTTCGACTGAATTTTGAAGTTTGTTCTTATGTTAAGTCTGAGATGCTATACCCCTGTCCCACGTTAAGGGAGGGCTGGGCACCCGCAAACATGTTCAACCCAGAGTCAGAAGCATATAATTCAGTGATTGTCTATTCAACATGAAACTAAATGGGATGCCTATTTAGTGCAAATTAGTTGAGTTCCTTTTGAAAATGCCTGCCGAAATATCACATATATAACATTCAGTCTCTAGATGTTCTTATAGATACTGTGATTCCCTCTTTCAAGAAAATGTAGAGATTTCATTTTTGAACTTTTTTTCTGTCTGATTATTGTTGATCCAAAGTGTAAAAGAAAAACATGCCTACAAGCACGATCTGACTATGCTATTCTAGCAGTTATCTGAAAGTGTGAAACAAGACTAACACCTATTATCAACTCTTTCTAACAAACAAGTTATTTTTGGTAACAACGTCATTTACTTGCTAAACTGCTAATCATGTAAATAATCAACATGTTCCTTCAAAAAATAATAATAATGACAGCACATTAATAGCCACATGGCAATTAGATATCCGCCTGTCGTTTTTTTCTCATTTCAATCGAAGAACTTTGGAAATAAAAGATCAAAAGTAAATGTAGTTGCATATACAAATACCTCTTTGTTCTAAGAAATCAGATTTATGGATTGAACTAAAAAATATGAGAGATCCATAACAATCCTACTCAATTGGTTAATTATTGATGATTATCACACCTGATAGTACACCTGTATTTCTACTGAAACTGCATTACTTAGACAAAGACTAGCCATACATTTACTTAGATCATTTAACTATTGATTTTTGCTGGGAAAGTAAACAAAATAATATTGAAGTATTGATTGCATCACTCCTGCCATCCCTTATACACAGAATGGACTAACCCATTCAGCATCAGGACCAGATCATTATTAAACATGGCTACCTTACATTGGTTCATATTAGCTTCAAATGCAAAATCCTAATGGTAAGCAAGTTTTTGTCTCTTTTTATTTTACTGCATCTGATTTCTAATAACAATGCAATATTTCAAAAGTATTTATAACATATTTATAACTCTTAATTTTTCAGTACAGCCTAAAAGGAAGTCATTCCCAGGCATTTTATTTTTTAAACACAGACAACATCACATGTTTTTATAATTATTTGCAGATACAATGCACAAAAGATTTTTTCTGGTTATGAAACCTATATACATAATCATACAATTAAATGCTAAAAACAATGTCATCAAATGCTGTTTGTGTTCCACATTTCAAAAATTTCTACATCATCCCCTTTTTAAAAAACAACAGAAAGGAAAATCAGCAGAAATGGGGACGTTTAACAACTTATGGTAACTGTAAGAATCTGAGACTGACTAAATTTGCGGCAACAAATTTCCTGATTTTTTTTTCATATAACTGTCTAGAGTTTTTTTTTTAATTAATTTTGCGAAGCAGCTTTTTATATTGAAGAAGCTGTAAACAACTGACAATCAATTGAAGGTCAAAAGAAATATATACATGTAGAACTTCATATAATTTAGTTCTTGCTTCAATGATGCTCTAACCTAAACATGTATATAATCTACTTGTACTTAATATCTTATATATCTAAACCAGTATACTTTTACAGACATCATGACCTAATTTAACTACTGATATAAACTTGTAATATATGGTACTTGTGCCTTGGGGCTATAGTCGTTATACAGATATATCCTTTACATCAGCTCTGTAAAATTATATGTCTTAGCTGAAGAAATTTGTGGTTTAAAATTAATATTGTTTGTTAAAATTGAATTTGAAATTAAATATTATTATCTGTAAGGGAATATTTCTTTAGTTTTGGTGAATTTTCTCTCCACAAAATGTAAGTGCCAACAAATTTACTGCAGAGAATAAACTGAACAACACTTCTCTACTTAGCTAGTTCTCTTCTCATAAATTGTTCCAACAGCCTGACTGGCCCAAGGTTGGTCTCGGTGATGGAAAGAATGCACAACATAAAATGGATAACATTTACGAAACATGATTTAAATGTGTGTCATTGCATTACATGCAAGTTACTATGTTATCAAGTATGTTACATATACTCTTATCAGTTCATATAAAACAAATTTATATCAAATAATAATTCATAAATGCAAAAATTTTGATAAAAATATCAGGAGTGAATATGCCATTGGATGGTCACTGCTTTCAAAAGGTTATATCACTTGACCTTATAATGTCCCTAATCAGTTATCTGTGTACACAACCTGTTACACCTTTTGTTTTCTAATAAACAAAGTCACATGACATCGGTACAAATCACATGACTAGTACAAAAGATGTGAGAGGCTGCCATATGTCAACAGTGTTTTAGATTAGGTAGGATATTTTAAATTAATATATGACATTAACTATATTTAGTTTAGTGAAGAGTTTACATATAAGTATATATTTAGAGAAAGTGGTTTATTCACATTTACAAGAAACATTGAAAGATATTTATTAAGCATATTACAGCATTTATTATTCACAGTTTCAGTAAAGGTAAGGTTTATGTGGCAACTCTTTGCCAATGATTATACTTTTGATAAAAAAAATTGAGCAGTAAGGTCTCAAGACAAATTTCTAAAAGCATCCTAGCACATGTGAAAATGTTTTAATAGCAATTTCAACCATGTTGAAGCTGAATAAAACTTGTGAGCTTTTTTGAAAAAGAAAATTTTTAGGCATGTTGTCCAGTCAGCTTTGATTTTCCCACTTAATACAACATTTTTGTATCATGCAAGCATTTTCTGTTAAAAGCATAAAAAAAAAAATTGTCTGCCATTTGTCATTGAAAAGAAGGGGCTCAAAAGAAATCTTTCCTACAAGTATTTGAGTAAATTCACATAGAATGTCTTAATGGATAATCCAGTGATATGGCCAATTTATTTTACTTTTACTTTAAAAACCTTCAATCAAAAATCCTTTCAAGGACCTTGATTGAGCTAATACTTCCTGTAACGTGTTAATTAATACCAAATGACATGGACATCCGACAGATTTTACATGTGTAGACAATTCTAGTACACTAGTCATCATAGGCAAAAACAGGAATAATTAAACGATGTGTTTAAATGTTTCCTGATTAGCTGAACATAAAAAAAAACATGTCCCTTTCCTTTGTCTTTAAATGTATAAGATTATTTCTAGATAAGAGAAGAATGGCCATTTGATAGTGCTGGTAAACAAATAATTCCTCAAACAATTGTTTATTTTTTAATATCTTTTGCCTTAAATAGAAAGTTTACAACTGAACCATGCTATTAATTATAAACTAGTTTGATCAGTTGAGAATATAAGTACTAAATAATTAACATCCAATGTAAATGTAAGTACCTGGAGCACTGAATAATTAATGAGACAAATTCTACTTATTACCATCTCTTAAACTCTGACCCCAGTTTTTGACCTCAATATTATATTACAAAGATCGAAAATCTCATATAAGAGCAATAGTTGAAATCAATTACATTTATTGAACTAGAATAGTAGCATCAATAATATGAACACATTCTCCTATTAGTAGAATCAATAAAAGTTTCTTGGTATTTGGTGAATACGGTTGTAATATCCAGACAGAACCTTAGAAATATAATATCTAGGCTATTTTTGGAAGGATCATTTGATAAGTGTCTAGTTTAATAATCGTAAATAAGTTTATTCTTTTTTTGATATATTTTTTTATTTTTTTATTTCTTGAATTCTATTTATGAGAATTTTACCGCTTGTAATACTATTTCAAATTAATAACCGTTTAGGAACACAATTTTTTTGTTGATCTAGCATTTTTTTTTACCACACTCAATCATATTTTACAAAAACTTCTTCACATAAGTATCTACTTAGAGGTGACAGTTTTAATAGATGCGGCTAACTCAAGTGGCCAAAAAAAAAACATTTCCTTATGAGTCATTTCACAATATTCTGGGCCTATTGGGTTTAGGTCTCAAACCAAGGACTTACCAAAATTTAAATGGTTATATCACAAGCACTCATTCTAATTCTCTTCTATCTTCATATTTACTACCAATACACTGAATCAAAATTCTGCAGAATATGCATTAATGTAAAAAAATGCCCCTCTCATCTATAAATTCTGAAATATTTTGTAAAACATGACACCTATGTTATCATTTTCCTGGTACTTTTTAAACTCTCAATATTTTAAAAGTGTCTGTTAAATATAAAATGTTGACCCAACAATAGATTTATAAATACAATGACAGGAAAAGATCAAATGCCAACATCCTGTTTCAAGTTCATGTCAATTTATGTCCTTCACCTTTCAACTTCCCTTAACAGGCAGCATGCTGATTTATTTCCTTTATAAATACTTAATTGAAATAACTTTTGTCCAATTTTTTGCAAGTTTCATGTAAGGCATCTCTATTATCTAATAACAACAAGTATAAAATGTCAAACTGTTTTTCGTCTACAAATGGATTTCGTGATTTTCAGCATGTAGTCTCCTGTAATTTTTATCCGACGTGTTAGTCAGCAGTAAAAACACATTCAGTCTACCTTCTAATGAAATGTATGCAAAATCATGCTATTGTCTATTATATATAACTCAAAGAAATTTTGATTACATAATTCTAGAAAAACAGAACCTTCTGAAAGCCACAGAGTTTGACTGGAAAATCGTTAGGCGAGTTTGTACATAATGTAACATCAATTTATATTCAACTCAGTTTTAAAATGATTAGGACTCTACATTCTGAAATTTTGACATACATGTATAAAAACCTTCCGACAATACATGTAAGATCTCCAATTGTATTTTAATGATTCAGAGTTCAACATGTAGAATAATCACAATTCATTGACAATGTTTCTACCCTTGGGGCCATTAAACATTTGACTTATGGTATAGACACCATGTCTATTTTAGAAGATGGAATGTTGACCTCTAAATGTCTTTGGTTGGTTTATTTTAAAATGTCATTGGATCGCAGCAGTTTCATGTATTCCCCATATCTTCTTCTATTCATATCATGCACAGGTTCATTACCAGTGCAATGACTTTCTGAATCATGTTCTACCTCTACAGTTAATTACAGCTGCACTGTAGGGCTCTTCAAGGGGACATTGTATATAGTTTTTTAAAAAACCTTAAAAGCTGTTTTTATAAAATTGTAAATAGCCAACAGTACATGTAACACATAGTGAACAACATGGACAGTATTTATTATCATGACACTATCCCACACGATTTGACCTTTGATGTTTACAGGCAGTAGATATAAAGAGATAATTATGTATCAACATGTGGCCTGTAGTTCATTAACATTTGTACATCTGTACATATATACCTATATATTTCTAATCTAGCAAATTACTAAATGAAGGGTTCAGTTTTACTTTACTGACACATGTAAACCACTGGACTGTACTTCTGTTACTCCTAATGCATTATTTATTTTCTCACTTGGAATACATAGGGAATATCTACCTTCTAGGGGTAAAATTTGCTTGTTTGTCGTGGGGAAGTATAATAATTTGTGTGTGCATGAAAGGGGAATACAATAATTGTTCAGTTGGGAAGGGAAAATACAAGAATTTAGAAATTAATAATCTTTCCTTCGCAAAACCTTTACTGGAGTATTTCATTTAAATTGAGTCTGCTATAACAGTAGAAGTTGGTAATAATTGACAAATAATCACAACAATCTTTTCACATGCCTATCAAGCAGGAGTGTGTCTTTTTTGTCAGCACTCCTTGTCTCAGCACAAACCACTAATGTCAGGTGTAATAATATATTTGATATTTATGTCTCTAGTGTTACTAGTATTTTATAAACTATGATATATTACTGAATTACTGTAAGTATGTGTGACCTGTACAAATAAACTTGCCCTTTGATCTCAATTCAACAACAAACTTTGTGCTCTACTTTTCATCAAAAGATTATGTTCATTGATATTAAAATAATTTTGTTTATTGGAGATTCCACAAAAATCTGTTTCATTGATGTTAATTCTAATAGGACGTATTTTAATGTGATATAAAAACAAGACAGAAAGGTGTGGAGGGAGACCTAAGTTTAGTTGAACGCAGGAGCAACAATCATAATATATTAGTATTTTCTCTGTCTCTTCTGTTAAAGTGTTCAAACTCTGTATAGACTTTTTTAATATCTTACATGTATGTCACAGTATCAATGCCACTGACAAAATTTCATGATCAATCATCAACACTAATAAAATTTGTTCAAGGGGTATAGAGAGTAGTTGAATATTTCCCTATTTTTTCCTTACCTTTTTTGAATGAAACTATTGCCCTTCACATCTCCTCTACACCTTTGGGTAACCCCTTGCCTTATCCCCCCTCCCTACCCCTAATTAAAATCTAAAACTAATGGCACATCAGCACACATGAGCTTTGTGTGCATATAAACTTCATTAACAGATAGACCTTGAATACAGTATTGATTTCATGTTTTTAATTAAACTGATAAAGAATACTCTGATAATGATGATTAAAAATATACTTAGTGAAAAGATAAAAGAGAACCATCAATGAAACAACGAACTATATTTCTAAAATGAGAATTGACCAATAAATTAAAGGCATTTGTAATGTTCAAGTTCTTCATGCCACTTTTGTTCTTCAATTAATATACATAAAAAAAGCAGATGTGATATGATTGCCAACGAAACAACTATCTACCAGAGAGCAAATGACATGGATGTATGCAACTATAGTTCACCACACTGCCTTCAACAGTGAGCAAAATATTATACTCAACATGACAAAACATGAAACAATTCAAATGAGAAAAACGACTTCCTGATTTATGACAAAACAAGTCACGAAAAACAAACATCACAGACAGCAACTAACTACAACCACTGAATAAAGGCTGTAGTTAAACATGTTTGTGAGCCGTCAACCCTTCCCTAACCTAGGAAAGTGGTGTAACAGCACAACATAAGAACAAACTGTAAAGAATAAACATAAGATGAAAAGGGCTTGGCAACAATACCCATACAACATTACAACAAAGATATTGCTGAAACACAGTTGTTTTATTTTGCAGGTACCCTGACATCTAATATGTAGTTTGAAGCAATAAAGGCACTCAGTGCTTATGACAAAGATGGGGATGAAAACACCATGGCAACTGCTGTCTGCTGGTGTTGTCTTGGTACTCTTCACAACAAGTGTCCAATGTTGTCCATCCGTCTGCCAATGTACAACAAGAAATTTTCAGACGTCAGTGGATTGTTCCAGAAAAAATCTGTTCACTATTCCTGCCACAATTCCAGATAACACTACAGAACTAGATTTAAGTCATAATTATGTACAAGACTTGACCCTTGTCTTTCAAAATCAAAACAACAATTCAGAATTTCTATGGCTTAACTATTTACGAAGCTTAAAACTGTCTAATAATTCCATATCATCAATCACAGAATCTGTTTTCACAAAACTTTTAATGCTACATGAACTAGACCTTTCAAACAACAATCTTGAAGAGATGAATGACAAAACATTCGAAGGACTTCAGAATCTGATTCATTTAAATCTTAGTGGGAACAACATCCTGGATATAACAAACAACACATTCCAAGCACTGAAATCATTAAATGATTTAGATCTCAGTAATACAGGCATTACTACCGAGAATTTATGGATCCCTTTGACGGTCAACAGCTTACATCTTACAGGAAACAACTGGAACAGTTTCAACACGTCCATCATCTGCAACTTACATGATATAAAATTCTTGGATCTATCTAGAAACAATTTCATCGATATTGAGCTCCCACCTTTACCTAGTCTTCAAATTCTCAACATAAGCCAAAACAACATACATAATTTGTCTCGCAACGCTTTCAGTGCTTTGACATCTCTTCACACACTCATTCTTGATAGAAACCCATTCTCCGAAATAACTGTGCCAATTTTTCAACAGTTGTCTCGTCTTCAATATCTATCCTTGTCCCACCTGGACAACTTAGTATTCCTGAACAGGGACGCCTTCAGAGGCCTGCATAGTCTTACAACATTACAAATGTCAGACAATCACCAGTTGGAATACATTCACGTCACACTGTTTGGTGACCTAGTCAATGCCAAGATGATAAACATAAGTTATAACAACATTACAGCCTTGCATCCTGTAACATTCAGTTCCATGAATAATGTTACAACTGACATACAGGGTAATCATCTTACGTGTGACTGTAGTATTACATGGCTCATCGAACAGGACAGCCCTAGTCCAAACGTGATCGATTTACAGGACATGTCTTGCTACGAGAATGATCTAAGGGTTCAAATATCCAAGCTTAATCTGGAAGAACTTCACTGTGGAGAAATTTCTGTATTGGCAAATGAAACTAAATATCAAAGCCAGATTGGATCATCAGTAATATTACACTGTGACTGGACAGGGAACCCAGCTCCACTCATTTCCTGGGTTACTCCACGGGGTAACATGTTTATATATTATCCTAGTCATACCTTAGTGTGGGAGTCGCACCCTTCCATTGAGGATGTAAAGGAGAATGGATTATTCCATATGGATCATACATGGCACAATACTAACTCCTATCATTCTGAATTAGTGGAAAACTCAGATCGCATTCTTGTGTTGAATAACGGTGACCTGTTTATTGACTATATGCTGAGATCAGACACTGGAGTTTATGAATGCATTGTGGAAAATTCAAGAAATAGGACTTCCGTTGGAATGAATCTACTTATTGATACAAGCATTCTAACAGAAATTAAAATATGGAGTCTGCTTATAGGGCTGGCCTGTGCTGTATCATTTTTTATGTTGAATTTGATCTATGCTATCATTTCTGCTATAGTTAGAAGGTGCATCAACCAAAGAAGACGGGATGCTATTGTTAAACTTGTGGAGAATATGGATCAGTACAAAAGTGCTCAACTTGCAAGACTCAAGGAGAACTATTATTCTCAACTTAATCGCATTCGTGATGGGTATCATAATCAGCTGGAGAGGATTCGAGACAATTACACTTCACAAGCAGTGCGTTTTAAGGAAGGGGCTAGCCAGCGTAGGGAGTGGGCTTCGAACAAACTTGATACAATACGGGATAACTACAACAGTCAGGTGACTCGACTGAAAGATAACAGCGCTCAAAAACTAGAACATTTGCGAGAAACATATAACAATCAACTGTTCAAGATTCGTGACTATGGTTCATCACAGATGGCCCGTGTTCACAAGAAATATAAAATCAAACAGCGACATGTCATGAAGCTGCTTGAAACAATGAACTTTGACAATTGCCGAATGATTATCGACTCTGAATGTGTTCGAACAGAATCAATGATATTTGAAACAAATCTGATTCACCCTGACCTCAACATTCCAACTCCCTCAGACAGTGATACCGAGTATCAAACTGCAAGTTCAACTAATGACACACCAACAAATAGCCAACAGGACCTTCGCAAAACTGAATATATAAATTTCCTTTCTCCTAGTCAGGAAACTAGTCAAAATGTGGATATAGACCTCCATCAAACAATGGAAAATAATTCTAGTCAGTCAAGGGGAGAGAACTCCATCCAGACAAATGAAGAAAATTCTAGTCAATTCAAAGAAAATGATTCCGATGATGATATTATTGAGGAAATGTATGACTGTGGTGAACTCGATGAAATGTTGGAGCAAATCCAATTAATTGATGAAAGTGACGATGAATCAGACAACAAAAGCAATTCTGTAAACATTGAAACATGTGTCTGAAACACTTCAGGCTTTTTTTTCTGAAGCAAAAAAGTATAATATATTAGTTGTCTTGCAGTCGTTCTTAATTTACGAATGAAAGTCATTTTACTAGAGAAAAATTTAAAACAATGAAAGATTGTACATGAGAGTGCAATGGTGTGGGTTAGTTGGGAATAAAGTATTAGTGAGCATATTTAAGTTTATTTAGAATATCAAAAATTAGTTCATAGCATTATGTTGTTTTTTTTTTTATCAACTCATAAACCTAGAACATTTTGCACTATTGTGTTGAATAGAAATCATAATTTTCCCTACATTTCCCAGCATTCATGGCTATTGTTTTTTATTGTTAAAATATAAAAAAAAATATCCCAGCAATATTTTGTAGTTATTTAATATTTTACAAAATAACTAGAGTCCTTTGTTAAAAGTTTTGTCTGTGTGAATGTATCGTCTTACAGATGTTCTTAATTGTTCTACATGTGTAATAAAATGTTATTCATTATTCCTTTTTATTTAATTGTATAGCAAATCCCTCTTCCATGATACAATGAATTCATTCCAAACCCTTATCTTGTGATGAAGGCAATTGGCAGTCTCTTTTGATGAACTCACAGATGATCAGAAAGATGAACAAGGTGATTCTGTTTAATATCACAATTGCTTCAATCGAAACTGGGTGAATGATGGTAAATTCAACGTTTAAGACCAAAACATGCCATCACGATTACACAAAAAAGCTGACTGACATTGTTCATATAATTTGGAAACTCATTTGGATGCAGAATAAAAATATCTGATAAAATATCTGACTCAGTACATGTAGTATTTCAACTTCAAATATCTTCCCTCAAATTTTCTTTTAGTGCCAATATACATTACAGTCTTCACAATAAACTTTTAAATCTACAGGCCAAGAGCTCAATTTTTGAAATTTTTTAGTTAGATTCTATTGGACTGTAGAGATGATTTTTACAGGCCCGAAAGCAATTTTACAAGGAGTCTTCAAAATTAACAAATCAAAACCTTAAATTTAAGCCAGTTATGGAAATAATATATATCTAGATATGAAAGGTTCAACCAAACTTTACCATATGTTCTTCAGTCTGATGTTCAAAGTAGCACAAAGAATTAACTCTTGCTAATTTGTTGGGTGAAACACAAATTTAATTTAATGTGAATATAATCTAACTGGTAATTAACTGTTATCACAGAGATATGTCTTGCCTTTTTGTAATTTTGATAATGCAAATGTTGAAATTAAAATAGCAATACTTTAACATGTACATGTAAGTTATGCAAATATTCAAAGTCGATGAACCATGACTGAAGGTACATGGCTAAACAATCTCCATGGAAATGAGATGTGCCAATGCTAATACAACTGCATACCAAATATCATTGACCTACCACTTGTGTTTCACCATAAACTAGACCTAATCACAAACTAATACATTGTTGACTCCGCCGCCGCAGGAAACAGCATACCTATGTCTCGCTTTTTAACTCCGTCAAGGCGAGTCAAAAACAATTAATACAGACCCTATTTTATTACCTGCTCAATGATTTGAATTGGTAAGCATAGCAACTGCTTCTAAAAGACTACCACACTAGAGATAGTTGAATCATTTTAGAGGGCAACAAACTTTCAACTTGTGTTCTAGGTGAAATAGATATAAATATATACATATTTTTTTTTTAAGTCTAAAGATTTGCGAAACAGTACTGATATAAGATGGTAAAATACGAAGATGATGTTGACAAATATTTCGGCTAAACAAATAGCCTTCATCAATGTCAATAATTTTAACACATATATATATGATATATGTGTGAGTGTGTGTGGGTGTATGTGTACATCGATTTGAAATGAGTTCACACACAAAATATTTTCAACCAATCATTTATAATTTCAACAAGACCAATACTGAGTCAATACCTGCGTCGCTGCATGCAATTGATTGAGGTAACATTTATACTGGAGCATAATTAATCATTCACAGACCAAGTATTAAAATCATTCGACACTTCAAAAAGACCCAAGAAAAAATTTTTCTTGTACAAGGAAATGGCTACATGCCAGATGTAAAAATTGCTTTAATACTCGCTTCAACTTAAAATTATCAAGCTGCAGACCAAATATTAAATCTTTCTTCTTAGAAGTCAAGAAAACTTCGACAAAACTAATCCTTGAACAATGAGTGTTGTAAAATTTCAAACTTTCAGCAAACAGGAAGTGGCTATACAGATGTAAAAATTGCTTACTCTCTACAGCTCATCATTATCAAGCTGCAGACCAAATATTATATCATTCCCTCTATAGAAGCCAAGAAAACTTTGACCTATAATTTCCTTGTACAATGAGTGTTGTGAAATTTCAAACTATCAGCAAACAGGAAGGGCTACACTACAGATAAACAAAATTGCTACTTGCTACATCTAAACGAATTCAAACTCCAGACCAAATATTAAATCATCCCCTTTCATAGAAGCAAAGAAAACTTTGAAAAAGTTTTCTTTCTGACGGACAGATGGCAGGAGTCGAGCAGTTACTAGACCTGCTTCTGTCTTCAATGATGCAGGTAAAAATGTAGACCTTATTCAAAATCTTTACCTGATAACTACATCATGAAAATGATGTGAAGGCCATTTGTTAGGCAGACATAACTCTTCAAAACTAATCCACATAGAAAATGTTAATGACCTGTAAGGTATAAATGCCAATCTTGATATATGTTTATATATATATTTTTTAGTCATTTTTCCCACCCAATATATATTTTTAATTTACAACAAGAAATACAGGCAACAAAACTTACTTTTTGAGGTGTTCTGTTCCATACTGTTACTTCATGTCCAGATCTGAGGAGATTCATTACCATGCCCTGCCCCATGATCCCTAGTCCCAGGAAGCCAATCCTGAGTGGTGTGGGGATGATAGGTTTTAGAGGTTTTTTGACAGCCTCCTCTATTTGTGTGCCTGATGTTGATTTATTATGAATTGATGAGTTTGGAGATTTTGTTGGAGATTCCCTCGGAGGAGACAAAGGTAAGTCCTCTTGATTCACATCCATCGGTATGTCCTAAAATACAAAATACACATATATTCTTGAACTTAATACAAAAATACTGTCCAAGTTAATACACAAATATTTTTCAAGTTAATATACATATATTCATCAAGTAAATACATAAACATTTTTACAGCTTTTCTATAAAAGCATGCAAAGCAAACCTTTAATTGACTTGCTTGCTATGGTTGCTTGGATGTTTGAAAACAAAAGGGTAGGCAGAGTTTCAGTCTGTTCAATATATACTGGTATTTGATTGGACAATAAAAATTGACATACAATTAACGTGAAACTTAACATTTTAATGAAGTTAATGTTTATTGTCCAATCAAATTCCAGTATATAGTAAACAGACTGAAATAGACTACCTACCTGTTGTTTACAAACATCCAAACATAGCAAGCAAGTTGATCAAAGGTTTGCTTTGCATGCTTTTATAGAAAAGCTGTAAACTAATCCACAAAGTATGTGTTTCTTAAAAATAGCAGGGTTTTTTGGGGGTCTCAATCTAAAATGATGAAAACTTTGTGTTTTCACTGAATCAAGTTCCTGTATTATACAGTCCGGACTAAATTAAGGGAGTTAAGGATGTAGTCAGATGAAATTTTAAAAATCTAAAATTTAAAATGAATACTATAAGTCAAAAGAGCATTAGTTAAGGAACAAAATAAGCTAAAAATATTGATAGGTTATGGAACTTCTTTTCAAGATATTTAATCTTTTAAAAATGGTGGGAAAAGGCTGACTCTGACTTATGCCTTATATTTAGCATGGGGATTATATGGGTTTCAAATCATAAGAACGGAAATCTGGAATCTGCTGAATTTTTGGAAAATGGCCTTTTTATGAGCAATTGAAGTCTTCTATGAAAAGAAAAGTGGGCAATATGGGGCAACATATTTTACCCTGTATCCTAGGAAAAAAACACAAGGAGTCCAAACATCTGACAAAAAATCCTAATCCTGACATGACTATATCCTTCATCACTTGCAGTCTTTCAATTAACAGACATTGATGTAATATTGTGTGGCTTAGATCAGTTCTATCATTATTTTGATAAATTAAGTTAAGAGTTGCAACAACTGAGATGTTGGTTAAAAGATTTTGATTGTCCTGAACATGCACAAAATATTTGCCATGAATTAGGCAAACATCAATCAATCATAAAAGATTTTCTAAGAAAGCCCTAAAAAGAATGTAAAAGTCAGTCCAGAAAAATACATTTCTTAGGCTCATTCAAATTTCACTGAACAAATGGTCTGACTCCATAATAATAAATGGAGAATGTGTCCATGGGACACAGATGATGCCCCCGCTTGCATATAGCGCTATAAAGGGACAAAACTCAAGAACAGTAAGAGTGACCCCACCCAAATTCGAAATTGATCTGAGTTTTGAGGTAATACGCATTGTGTATAAGTTTCATAACATTTAGTTGTCAGGTAAATTTAAGTTAGGGAACAGAAACCAAACAAATTCAGCAATTTTTCAATTTGTAAAGGGGCATAATTCTAGAACAGTAATAGTCACACCGCCCAAATTCAAACTTTGTGTTTTGTGTCGATAAGCATTGTGTATAAGTTTCACAACATTTGGTTGAGGCAAACTGAAGTTAGAGAACGGAAACCAATTTCGGGACGTACAGAAGTACAGAGGGATAAGGGCAACACTAAATGCTTCCTCCACAGCAGCAGGGGGACAAAAATTACTGGCCCAACACAATTATTTCTGGACATTTTCAATTCATATTGGGTCAGAAGCGTTACAGTGATGAGTTGTAATTTGTGTGTGCTATTCCTTGAAATTCAAATGCACCCTATGGTTTTTCAAATGATTGTTTTATTTCTGCACAATGAATTAAGACAGTATTTGTTAGGTTTCTTTGTTATAGACTGATATTTATAGATATCAAAACAATATCAAAATTGACATATTGGTGACGAAAATCATACAAATATTACAATTCATCACTGACAAGCTGCTGACTAATATGAAGTTTTTCTGTTAAGCAGTTCAGGACAAAAATATTTGTTTGACAAACAGATGGACAAGGTGTTTACAATGTATCCCCGTCATAGAGTTGGAATTTAAAACAGCATGTCTTCCGAAACAACATGACTTTTATGAGGGAGACATGTTGCATATATTATTTAATTTATAATACCCTCTGCAACTGTAGTATAATTTTATTACCTGTACTGAATTTGTTGCAGGTTTAGCTTTGATTTTTGTGTTCATTCTTCCTTCTGCAAACAACTTTTGTTTCTTAGCCTTCAATTCTTCCTCACTTAGAGATGACATTCTCTTTTTCACAGGCAAAGAACCAGTACTCTGAAAATTAAATGTAGGTATGTTGATTTTAAATCTATGTTTTATCATTCAAAAGTAATATAAAAACAAATAATTACTGAATAGATGTTTCATAATGATTCCATCACTTTGATTGGCAGACAACAATCATGTGGTTTTAAACGTGTACCATAGCTTTATATCCCAATAAAACACAACATCCATTGATTAACATACTCTCAATGAGAATGTTATGTAAATTCATAGAAATTTCAGAGATTTTTTTCCAATTAAAAACTTTATTGACACATAAATCAACTGATATTTGTGGCAAAATAATCAAAACAGAGTATGACAAACATGTATAAATGACAAGAAGAAAGCATAAAATATACAATTAAACAAACTTATAGTTATATATAACATTGTTTGCTTTCAAATATTAGGCTTTGAGCGTTCCTGATGAAGGTAAATCAATAACAGCGCTTCCGACATCGAAATTTATTATTAAGTATTTTTTCATTTTTTTTAAATTCCATTACTAGTGCTAAAGACTGTTTTATAAAGAAATCAATGGTTTCTTCTTGTTTTCGTCTTGATGAGCAGAAAATATTTCATTTTTGCATTATCTTCCAAATTATTAAAATTTGTCTATACAATTTTCCTTTCTTTCAATTAAAGCTGGTCTAATAATTGAGTTTATCCTGCAATCCAAAGAATATGTTTCTAATCTTCAAATGTATTGCAGACCTCAACAAAATGTTTTTTTCTCAGAATTTTCAAGTGCCTTTTTCAATCAATAAATTATGATCACTTAATATAAGTTTGGTGATATTATGTCTATATTTAAACAGGTTTGAATTTAAATTTCATTTTATTTCATTGTTTTATATTTAAATTTCATTTATTTCATTGTTATATATCTAAATTTTATTTTATTTCATTGCTTTATATAAAAGAAGTTTACTTTTATTTTAATATCTAGTTTTTCAAATTTTGTCATAAATTTTATTCTTTCATAATAATTGAGGAATTTTACATTCACTTCATTTTTTAGTGTTTTTTTTTTTTTTTTTGTATTTTTACATTCCTCTATATGCTTTGTCTATATATATGAGCTTCTCTAACAATGTTTTTTTTACATATGTAAAGCATGTATATTGTTAGGGAAGCTCATATAGACTTAAAGCATATAGAGGAATGTAAACACATGATACTGTAGTGTTAAACAAACTATATGCTACATTCACAGGTATATTGTTTAAGGAACCAGTATAGGATTTAATAGTAAACATTACTTTAAGTTTATTGTAATTTTTTAATAGTTCATTACAGTTGGGTTTAAGATTACCATTTCATTTAATTATAATACCTAATAAAATGCTCGATGGGGCACAGCTTGATACGACCGCAGAGGTCAAACCCTGAACATTTGGGGCAAGTATGAACACAACATTTAAGCTTGATACAGCTCTGAATTTGGATGGTGATTACAGCTCTTTTCATAATGCTAGCAAGACAAAGGTTTGTTTGGCTTGCTTGCTTTGTTTGTATCAATGTCTGCTCAAGCATTGTAATTAAGATTGAAATATGTAAACATTGAAACAATATAAGTAGGCGGAGTTAAATCTGTGTAAAGGTAAATTTGATTATTTGATAATGTCCAATCAAATTTAAATATAATGTATACAAGTTTAAATCCTCCTTTTTATGTTGTTTTCAGATGTCAATCTTAATAACAATTCTTGAGCAAACATTGATACTGTACTGTCGATTATTAGCAAACAGTGGATTGATTTGATCCCTCGTGAATTTCTAATGTGACATATGTTGGAAACAAAGAAAGGACAGTACAAATTTTTTCATCAAGGATTTCTTTGAAATGGACTCAAGTGAGGAGTAACCATTTCAAAGACTGTTTGGACATATCTGCTATTAGCTCACAATACCTTTCTTAATGAAAACTGACGATTTCGAAAATTATTACTCTTCTTACAAACAAAGCAAGCAAGCCAAACACACCTTTGCCTTGCTAGCATTACAAAAAGAGCTGTAAATATTTGACACAGAATAGGTTTCTGACACAGAATAAATGTGGTCTAAGAACTTAAAAAATTTTAATTTACCTATTCAAACCATATCATTATTATTTGCTTTTATATATAAATCAGAAATAACCAACTTAAAACGGAAAATTTAAAAGAAAAAAAAAAGGAAACCCCCTCCTAATTTTCTGAACCCCCTTATGATTCATCACCCCCAAACTCAATCCAAGCCTTCCCTTTGTGGTATGTTAACTTGCAGTACATTTTCAGAGAGATCCATACACTTGAACACAAGTTATTGTCTGGAAACTAGAAAAATGCTTATTTTTGGACCCTTTTTGGACCCTTTTTGGACCCTTATTGCTAAACATTTTGGGCAATTACCTCTAAACTCAATTCCAGCTTTCCTTTTGTGATATGGAACCTTGTAGTACAATTTCAGAAAGATCCATACATTTACACACAAGTTATTGTCTGGAAGTTACAAAAATACTTATTTTTGGCCCCTTTTTGGCTCCCAATTCCTTAACTGTTGGTACAATAACCCCCAAAATTATTCCCAACCTTCCTTTCGTGGTATTGAACCTTATGGTAAAATTTCATAGAGATCCATTCACTTAAACTAAAGTTATTGTGCGAAAACCAATGTGTCTGACGCCAACGTCATACCAAAATTCGACCGCATAAAAATTGATATTTAGAAACATTTACTAGAGCTCTCTCTTTATAATTAAATAATAACTTTGTTCTAGTTTTATGTTCTTGTTTTGGGAAATCAGTTTAAGTCTTGTCAGCATTTAATGTAAGTTACCATTTGTCACATTAGCAAGTTAGTCTTCCAAATTATTTAAGCCATTTTGTAAACCTTGTTTATTTTCTGATATTATAAGCAAGTAATCTGAAAATATTAGACAAATCAGAACAAACTCATTTTAAAGGATACAAAAATTATCTACTTTTGAGATTTCAATTTCAATATCATTAATAAAGAGGACCTCAAAGAATCTCCTTGTTTCATCCCTCTTGACATTTCAAAAACTTCTGAGTGTTGATTTTGCAGTTTAATGGCCTTTAATGAAAATCAGTATCTGATGTAGCTTTCAAACAAACCTTTCTACTGACATCATCTTTTACTTTTGGAGGTCGACCAACTGTTCCTGTGCCAATGGACTAAAAAAAAAATTCTATATTTAATTTAGTTTTTATGTTGACAAGGAATACTTATGATTGTAAAAAAAAAATACTGAAAGTTTCTGTTACTAATCTTTTTAGTTTTCTGTGTACGTTTTGAGAACTGTCACTTGCCTTTTACTCTTTTTACTTTTATCATATAGTTTATAACAATGACAATAAGCAACTGCACCAAAGGTGGATGATACACCCTTATTGCGCATATTGAAATTGATACAAAAAATAATATGGAATATTAAGGAGGCATTTAATCAGAAGCAAATAATTGGCTCTTAAAAAAAAACATGCACAAGGATACCCTTAGGCATATAAATATTGTGTCAAATAGGACTTTCCCATAACTCTGGATTGACAAATGGTTTAAGTCCCTTAACTCTCAAACAAGAAAGCCAAAAATGTTCAATATTGAAAGGGACCTTTCTTATGTTAATCCTAATATTGTAGATAAATTACGTGAATTTGTAAAATCAAAATTGATTTATTGTACAAAGTTGCCTGACAGACAGGCATTGGTTAATAAAACCATAATACACCCCATTACCAATCAGACACAAGTTTTCCACTTTAAGGATGTTCGCTCCTCTTGTTTTTGAATTTTTGCCAGATTTTCGGAATCCTCAGGTTTTATCGATGTTTTGCCATTAAAAAATTTTTGTCCAGTAACCACTACTTTTCTTTTCATAATTTTATTACATATACATGTAGTTTTAAAAGCCATATTTGAAATTCTTATAAAATCCTTGTTATTTTTTCAAAGAGAAAAGCGGACAATGTTAATAGTAAGAATAAAATGCTCCGCAGGGCGCAGCTTGATACGACCGCAGAGGTCGAACCCTGAACAGTTGGGGCAAGTATGGACACAACATTCAAGCTTGATACAGCTTTGCATTTGGATTGTGATTAAATATTTGACACAGCATAGGTTTCTGACACAGAATGAATGTGGTCTAAGAACTTAAAAATTTTAAATTGGACATTCACCTATTATGGTCCAATATCCAAAATCTAAATACATGGTTAGATTCAGCATATCAAAGAACCCCAAGAATTCAATTTTTGATGAAATCAAACAAAGTTTAATTTTGGATCCTTTTGACCTCAATGTGGACAAAGTTGATAACGGGGCCCAAAAATCAAAAATCTAAATACATGGTTAGATTCAGCATATCAAAGTACCCCTATATATTCAATTTTTGTTGAAATCAAACAAAGTTTAATTTTGGACCCTTTGGACCTTAATGTAGACCAATTTGAAAACGGAACCAAAAAATAAGAATCTAAATCCACAGTTAGATTCGGCATATCTATGAACCCCAATAATTCAATTTTTGATGAAATCAAATAAAGTTTAATTTTGGACCCTTTGGACCTCAATGTGGACCAATTAAAAACGGGTCCCAAAATCCAAAAACTAAATACACTGTTAGATTCAGCATATTAAAGAACCCCAAGAATTCAAGAATAAAACCCCATTGAAATTGGTCAAGAAATAAGCAATTTATACGAAGTATCTTCTTTTGCACAATACTGTGCAATTAAATATTTCTTGCTATTGCGCAATACTGTACAATTGACAATTTCTTGCTATTGCGCAATATTGTGCTATTGGATATTTCTTGCTATTGCGCAATACTGTGCAATTGAAGATTTCTTGCTATTGCGCAATACTGTGCAATTGAAGATTTCTTGCTATTGTGCAATACAGTGCAATTGAAAATTTCTTGCTATTGCACAATACTTATCATATAATAATTTACACATCCTGTATGGTGTGTATCTCCTACCATATCATTATTATTTGCTTTTAAATATAAATCAGAAATAACCAACTTAAAATGGAAAATTTTAAAAGAAAAAAAAAAGGAAAAAAAAAAAATCCCCCTCCAAATTTATTGAACCCCCTTATGATTCATCACCCCCCAAACTCAATCCCAGCCTTCCCTTTGTGGTATGGTACCTTGCAGTACAATTTCAGAGAGATCCATACACTTGAACACAAGTTATTGTCTGGAAACTAGAAAAATTTGTTTTTTGGCCCCTTTTTGGCCCCTAATTCCTAAACGTTTAGGGCAATTACCCCCAAACTCAAACCCAGCTTTCCCTTTGTGATATGGAACCTTGTAGTACAATTTCAGAAAGATCAATACACTTACACACAAGTTATTGTCCTGAAACTAGAAAAATGCTTGTTTTTTGCCCCTTTTTGGCCCCTAATTCCTAAAATATTGAGGCAATTACCCCCATCTTCAATCCAAGCCTTCCCTTTGTGGTATGGTACCTTGCAGTACAATTTCAGAGAGATCCATACACTTGAACACAAGTTATTGTCCTGAAACTAGAAAAATGCTTGTTTTTTGCCCCTATTTTGGCCCCCAATTCCTAAACGTTTCGGCAATTACACCAAACTCAATTCCAGCTTTCCCTTTGTGATATGGAACCTTGTAGTACAATTTCAGAAAGATCCATACACTTACACAGAAGTTATTGTCATGAAACTAGAAAAATGCTTGTTTTTTGCCCCTTTTTTGGCCCCTTATTCCTAAAATTTTGAGGCAATTACCCCCAAAATCAATCCCAGCATTCCTTTTGTGATATGGAACCTTGTGGTACAATGTCAGAGATATCCATACACTAACACACAAATTATGTCTGGAAATTACAAAAATGCTTATTTTTGGCCCCTAATTCCTTTACTGTTGGTACCATAACCCCCAAAATCAATCCCAACCTTCCTTTTGTGGTATTGAACCTTGTGGTAAAATTTCATAGAGATCCATTCACTTAAACTAAAGTTGGAGTGCGAAAACCAATGTGTCTTCGGACGACGACGCCAACGTCATACCAATATACGACCACAAAAATTTTTTTGCGGTCGTATAAAAATCTATAGAGAATAATTTCCCGCCAAATTTTAATTGCATATATCTCGAAAACAAGCACACGGACCCTTCATTTTTTTCTGCTTTTTTAGTTCCTTTATTTATATACTATCAATTTATAACAGTCTTTTAAAAAGCTTGTTATTTTGAAAGAGAGTAGCGAGCATCCTTAAATGTTTTCTCCTTTATGTATAAATAATACATAATACAAAACAGAACAAAACAAAATCAATTTAAACAAGAAATGATTGTAACAGGATGCTGTTACGAAGTCTCCCAAACGAAGCTCCCATAATTCGTAATTCCCAGGGTCGCCTGACATTGGACAAAGTCCAGTAAAAATTGGTTTGGTCCAGTAAAGTTATATGCATTAGTGATGCCTGGGGACTAACCCTGTATATCATTCAAATCATCTTGGCATGACAAACCCGAATATATATGGTTTAGGGGTGGGGATCTCGACCATTTACAAGGTATTAATACTTTCTCAAATGGCAGGGGGTCGGGATGACCCCTGGGGACTAACCCTGTATATCATTCAAACCATCTTAGCATGACAAACCAGAATATATATGGTTTAGGGGTGGGGATCTTGACCACTTACAAGATATTAGAACTTTCTTAAATGGGAGGGGGTGGGGGTGATCCCTGGGGACTAACCCTGTATTTCATTTGATGTGCTTTATCATGACAAACCAGAATATATATGGTTTAGGGGTGGGGATCTCGACCATTTAAAAGATATTAGAACTTTCTCAAATGGCAGGGGGTGGGGATGACCCCTGGGGACTAACCCTGTATATCATTCAAACCATCTTAGCATGACAAACCAGAATATATATGGTTTAGGGGTGGGGATCTCGACCATTTACAAGATATTAGAACTTTCTTAAACGGCAGGGGGTGGGGGTAACCCCTGGGGACTAACCCTGTAATTTCATTTAATGTGCTTTATCATTTAGAACATTTTCAATTAAAAAGATTGTGTCTATCACAAACGGTTTTCAATTTATAATCATTTGAAAATTTTAAAAAATAAAATCCCATAGGGTTCTATAGTAAAACCCTCCTTTCTTTTTGCCCCTCAAAGTACCCCTTTATAAACCCCATTGCAAAAACAAAACCCTGATTGCACCACTAGACATGTTAGTCTAACATATTGTGAAACCCTAAGTTAATCTGACAAGCGGTTTTGGAGAACGGGTGCGGACAAGTTCAAATTTAAAAGCGGCGGAAGAAGAAGAAGAATAATAATAATAATAAGAACTGAGCAAAAACAATAAGTCTTCCCAAACTTCGTTTGGGAGACTTAACAAGTTACATGTTAGAGACGGGTATAGTCACATGTTAATAACAAACTTTCCTTAAGTTTTCTTATTTGTAAAGGAAAATGCATTTTACTTGATACTGATTGGTCAATTTTCTATTTTTTCTATTTCTTGTATAAAGTGATATAACCAAATATGTTTAATCATGAAAGACAACAGTCTCTAAATGAGGTGGCTTGTACTATCATAAAATGTGATGTAGTAACAGATATGATTAACTACACTGAAACTAACAATCACCTTTCTCTCTTTTTTATCTTTCACTGGTGTCGCATCTTTTTTCAACTGCAAAAAAGAATGAAAAGAATTAAGAAATTTTACAAATAAATAAATAAATACAATGCAAGTCAATTCTGTGACCAACTAAGCTGAAAATGTGTAGATTTATAATCATCTATTTAAGTAACAGAAGAACAGATACAAACGATTATTAAAAGTCATTGACTTTCTTGTTCATGAAATAACTTCTAATAGATATACTAACACTTACATTACTTTTCATTACAGGTTTAACTATAGTAAAATGCTAAAAATGTTTTTTGTTACGTATTGCAATAACTCAAGAAAGGTTCAATGCATCAGGCGTAACATAATGTAAAGGAACATTTTTTTAATGGCCTCCATTTTGAGGTTAACTTTATAGCGTAAGGGTTGATATTCATTCAAAACCAGAAACAAAAGTAAATAAATGGAGAATGTGTCCATGGGACACAGAGGATGCCCCGCTTGCATATAATAATATAAAGGGACATAACTAGAGAACTGTAAAAGTGAGGCCACCTAAATCCAAACTTGATCTATGTTTTATGGTAATAAGTTTCATAACATTTGGTTGAGGCAAACTAAAGTTAGAGAACAGAAACTAATTTTGGGATGTACTGACAGACAAGGGTAACGTTAAATTGTTGCCCACTCCACCACACCAGGGGCACCCACTCCACCACACCAGGGGCATAAAAAACAATGAAACTGATTTTAATCTTCTATTGAACGTATTACATGTAATGCTCAGCTGGTATTGTTTGCATATAACTCTTCAATGCAACAAGGATATTTATGATGAGTGGAAACTGATAAAAGATTGGGTCAAAATCTTTCTGTAGCCAGATCATTTTTGTGAATCTTTTCACAAAAAATCTCGAAACACAATAACTTAAGGTCAAATTAAGTAGTAAAGTATTTTGTTACAAGTGGTGCAGATTTTTTGTCTATCTGTTATCAAGATAATAGGCAAAATGGAGAGGGTTGTAATTCTGATTTAGAGGCAATGTAACCTGTAAGGATAAAGTGACAATTTATATCATGTTGACTAATTTATAGATCTTGTGTTGCTGATGATTTTAATTTTAGATCTCATCTTCCTCGTCATCTTTTTTAAGTTTCTCACTATCTTCTACAGTTTTTGCCAAAAATACAAAAAAAAATGGATAATGATTCCTATTAACAGTCAACTGATTATCTCATGCATTTCGACTTTTTACAAATGGGTGAAATCTTTGTTGAACCTCAAAAATTCCATATAAAATCGTCTGAGTATTTCAGTCATGTATTTTCCCTTTATCATATAGTTCAAACAAGAATGTGTCCATAGTGCATGGTTGCCCCACTCGCACTATCATTTTCTATGTTCAGTGGACCGAGAAATTGGGGTCAAAACTCTAACTTGGCATTAAAATTAGAAAGATCATATCATAGGGAACATGTGTGCTAGGTTTCAAGTTGATTGGACTTCAACTTCATCAAAAACTACCTTAACCAAAAACTTTAACCTGAAGGGTGACAGACAGATGGACGGACGAACGAGTGAACAGACCAAAAAACATAATGCCCCTAGGTGAGGCATAAAAAAGATTCACCAAATGGGAGAGAAAGAAGTTGACATACAATTTTGGTTAAAATTACTTAATAGTACATCTCAATTGCTGATTATTTTTTCCATTTAAAATTGCTCTCTATATACTAGTTCTCACAAAAACAGAATATATGATTAAAACCGTAACTGAAGGGCAATAACTCAATGAAGGAGTCAACTAATGATATCAGAAAGGTTCTAAGTTGTAGAACTGTATTAGATAACAGATATTAGTTAAATATCTAACAGTTGTAGATCTTATTTAACTGATCATTTTAGATGTCTTAAGTTTCTTTCATTCAATTTATAGTTTTCAAAATTAAAGCCATAAACACATATAAATGATAAAAATCGTTATTGCAGGGCAATCACTCCCATAAGAAATTGAATAATGATCATTTCAGCATTATTAACTTATTCAATGATCAACATTGTACTATTGCTGATCATTTTTTTATCTAATGTGTCCATCTATATGTTTCCTCCATAAACAGCAAAGATTGGTAAAAATTGTCATGGGACACAATTTTTAAACTAGATATTCTAAGGATGAACAGAGTAAGTTAAAATTGGCCTGGTTTTTTCAAAGAGAAGCTTTATTTAAAAGCCACAGATTCAAGCGATAAGAATAGCTCACACAAAACCACAGCAGTAACTTATAGATTTTAAACATATTTAAACATCGTAAGCACTGCAAGTGGTACAGCATACCATTGAGGAAAATAACTTTGTTTCAAAGCGTTTCCACCTATCTCATTAAGACAGAGTTATGGTTTAAAAATCATTCATGCAGTCTACTCTCACTTCCCATTTTAACTTCTTTTCTTTAATAAATTAAAAGTTATTTCTATAGAAGTATTTCTATTTGTATGTTTATTTGTACCTATTATGGTAATAAAGTTTTTTTGTTGGGCAATGATTGATAGAATGCATAGTAAAGTCTACAGTTTTATATGCAGTTTATTAGAGTTTGCGAAAATGGTCGGTCAAAATGAGGCTCGGACCAGTATTTTGAAGGCTAGTTCCGGCCCCGATGACCGATGTAAAAACGGGCGTTGTAGTGCAAATTTCGGCACTTTTTTACATCTGTTATTAGATGTACCGCAACTGTTTCAAATAAGTGTTTACATCGGTTATCAGATGTACCTGCTGCCAATTTTCGGTACTTGTTTACGGATTTATTATAAACAAACCAAAGCGGCGATCTACACGTGGCCTACTAAATTTGTTCATAGAGCCATCCCTGGCAAACAATCGGCGATTGAACCCTACAATGGAGCAAACAAATACTGTAACAGCCTAGAAAGTGATTCAGATGATGAAATGGATAGTGAAGATGACTTTAAATAAGAACAATCAGAAGACCTGAACTGGTCCTTCATTGTTAATTTGCCTGTAGGTGCGAAGAATAAAACTAATATTAATAAAGTTATTTTTCGATAAAATATGTTATTAATTTTATTTCAGGATAAAATTGACAGATTTTGTAGGACTGGCTAAAATTTTGTAGGACTGACAAATAATCATGCTTTGTCGGTCCCATGACCAACGGGTCAAAATAAGTTTTCGCGAACTCTGGTTTATGATTTCTACTGCAGACAGTACACACAAGGTGATTCGTTTACATTTACTCTTGGAAGTGATAATTCAGTGAATGTTGGTGATTGTGGATGATTCACTCTAAAATACCTCTCTGTATATTCTATAAGCATTATATGACAGGGTCGTAATTTAGAGTTATCATCTTCAATCAACCTGTTTGTGATTCACTCAACACTAGCACGAGACCATTTTCATATGACTTTTGACTCTGGAGTTTCTTTATTTTGTGGCAGGTTTCCTACTCTGGTATGTCATTCTGGTACTCCATCAAACGATAGCAACCAAAAGAAGTAAAATCAAGCTAACAAATGGTAAAATTTGGGTTTTTAAGTTTTCTATACACTACAAATTTGAAATCAAAGCACTGTAAGCGCTATAGGCAGTTAACCAAAAACCCAAGGCAAACGTAATTATGAAAACTGTGGCAGTGTTGCTTCAATTGTTTTTTAAGATTTGAAAGAACAAACATTAAACATTCATATATTGTACATTTATGTTCATTAAATGAATTGATTATTAAGGCAAATTAATTAATATTTCATCAAGATTTTCAAAAGCAACTCATATATTAATGTAAATGACCCCCATCTTCACCCCAAAGTGCATGATGTTACTCCATACCAAGTTTGGAATAAAATGACAGGTGATTATAAAACAGTTGGTCAAAAATTCTCGGGCTTTACACTGCTTGAAAGATTTATATGTTTTCTTTAAAATGAGCCATAAATGAAAATTATTATAGGCCCAGAAATAATTCAATAAATAATTAAAGTAAATTCAATTAACCTAGACTCATTTTTTGCATCAATAAAATTTTATATTAAACAAGAAATAATTGTAACAGGATGCCGTTACGAAGTCTCCCAAACAAAGCCCTCATAATTCGTCATTCCCATGGTCTCCTGACATTGAGCAAAGTCCAGTTCTTATTGGTTTGGTCTAGTAAAGTGATATGCATGTGTGACACCTAGGAGATTGACCCTGTATGTCATTCAAATCTTTTTGAAATGATGAACAGGAATAAATATGGTTTAGGTGTGGGTATCTCGACCGTTTACAAGTTCTCAAACAGGAGGGGGTGGGGTGTCCCCAGGGACTCCCCCTATAATTAATTTGATTTGTTTTATTGTCCCATACATGAATGTATATGGTTTAGGGGTGGGGATCTCAACCATTTCCAAGTTCTCAAACAGGAGGGGTTTGGGTGACCCCAGGGAATCCCCATATATTTCATTTGATTTGTTATATTGTCCCATACATGAATATATATGGTTTAGGGGTGGGGATCTCGACCGTTTACAAGTTCTCAAACAGGAGGGGGTGGGGTGACACCGGGGACTCCCCCTATATTTCATTTGATTTGTTTTATTGTCCCATACATGAATATATATGGTTTAGGGGTGGGGATCTCGACCATTTCCAAGTTCTCAAACAGGAGGGGGTGGGACCACACCGGGGACTCCCCCAAATTATTTTCATTTGATTTCTTTTATTGTCCCATACAAGTACATATATTGTTTAGGGGTGGGGATCGCGACAAGATAAAAGTACATTTTCAAATTGAAGGGGGTTGGGATTACCCCCAGGGACTCACCCTATATTTTGGTTGGTTTTTTTTATTGTCCTGTTCTCATTACTGAAGACTGCATGTGTCTATCACTTACTGTTTTCGAGAAAAAGTCATTTGAAAATTAAAAAAAATAAAATCCCATAGGGTTCTATAGTAAACCCCTCCCTTCTTCAGGCCCCTCCAAATACCCCTAAATAGACCCCAATGCACAAACAAAAGATTAATGGCTCCGCTAGACATGTTAGATTAATATTTTATGAAACCCTAAGTAAATCTGACAAACGGTCAAAGTTGTCTTCTTAGACGGTTTGAGTGGATTTGGTCCGACTTGTCTCGGGGACGAGTTGTCCACATTACTTGAAACATCCCATCAACATCGATTTCCGCATCTGTTACATGACCTCGTTTCATTCATAAAATAACAACAGCCTTATTTGGCAAGATAAGTTAAAATATAAACGACTTGTAATTACCGATTTTCAGCGATGAAATATTTCATACAATTGTTCTTTGACATCGTAGCCAAAAGCACAGGGGATAATAAACTACGTACGGATTTCTATTAAGCACTACTTCCTATGTGCAACTTCAAAAGTTTTGGGCAGTTCGACGATCATTTAAGGTTTTTCTGGTCATATTTTTTGTATTCCAGAAATAAAAGTATTAAAAAAATGTCCAATTAGTTATAAATAACATTATAGCCAGCTAGATAATAACAATGGCACGTATTTCAGCATTTATTGGGAAGAACACAAATCTAGGGTGCTCGCATAAGGCAGCTTAACTGCCTAAAAATGGTTAATTTCCCCAAAATTGTAGAGACTGTAAGCTTGATTTTACTTCTTTTATTTGCTCCTACTTGACCAGGGCCTAATCTAGGATTTTGAAGAGGGAGAAGTGACTTCTCCTTCCAAGAGAGAGAAGGGAGAAGTGAGATTCCATTACCGTTTCGGTTGCATAGTGTTTTCATGCTTATCACTAAGGAAATTGTTTTATATTCAATAAAAGATATACTTGCAGTTTTTTTCATATGTTATTGTACACAATGTATATATAGAAAGTTCTTAATAAAAAGGTTTTGACAATATATAGTTGTTATTTATTTATTGATACCATTGTGTTCTAAATAAAATTTGTTGATTGGGAGACGAGGGAGTAGCCTAGTAATATTGATTATGATGCATTAAATTCATGTGCATCTGCCTCAATTTATTTTTTAAAAGTCCAGAAAAAATATAACTCCCAGTTTACCTGATGAATTTCACATGACTGGGAATTTAATTTATATCACCACTTGTCATTATTTTGTAATACAATAATGTCCAGGACATTATGTTAGTTGTAAATTGAGATTATCGTTAAATATTGTAAGTCTATAAATGAAAATATCTTTCAATCGCATATTAATAATCCGACAAAGAGCTAATTTCTATCAGTTTTTAAAAATATCATCCATATCAACGAAATGGTCGTGAGAAAAAAATCCACCGCTGATCACAACCTGGTCGAGTGTCGTACGTTTGCAATTACATTATCCATCAGCAGTCTTTCTACCTTTTATATTTCAATTTTTATTCAATCAATATAACAAATCTACCGTTAATTCCCACCTTTTACCGACCGAATAGTGAAATTGATCGACTCGTGTAAGTTATAAAATAAAACAAATCAGCTGAGTGATTACGCAACATCCTGAGATGAAAATCATCGTTAAAATGATAACTTAAACAGACGGTCAGTTTTCCGTTTGAATAGTTTTGAAAGTTCTATCCGATGATGTTCAAAGTCGCCGTTGTATTCATTTAATTTGATCGTTCACAGTATTAGTCCTGGGTCGTTTCGAAAATCTCGATTTTCCTTGTCAGTCGCCATTTTTTTTACCTGTGAGAATTGTCAATCACAAGTTGTCTCCCTTTTACCGATTTTGATAGCGATTTGACTTCGCTATGAAGTCAGTCGGCTGGCGAGATTTAGCGATTTTCAAAATTCTTTGGCGACTTAAATCGTCATTTCGCCGGCAAGATTATGGCCTGCTTGACTTAGCACCAGAAAGTCCTACCACAGAAATGGTAACCTGTCGAAAAATTATATACTCCAGAGTCAAAGGTTGTTAATATAGAAAAAAGTATATTTATAACCTTATGTTGACTGTATGTTTCTATGCAGCAGTCAATTAGAATATTAGAGTACCACTTGAATCACAAACTCTGTTTGAGTAAATATTTATAACAAGACAATTTTCACCTTTGGTTTCTTGCCAGCCAGTGGTTCTCTGGAGTAATCTTTGATAGGACTACTATCTGGTCTTCCTGGGAAAATCTGGGCCAACTCTTCATCTATAGACGGTAGTTCCAGTGTCCTGGAATTTTTCTGAGAAAAACATATTGAATAAACTCAGTGCTATTCTAAGTTTTAAACTTGAATGATTGCATCACTTTTCTTCCTTTTATGGAATGCAATTATTCAAAAAAAATTTTGATTTTGATTTTCTAATTTGTTCACTTTTTTAAAAAGATGAGTTTCTTCACTGGCTGGTATGAAATCTTACAAAGATAATCTTATCCATGCACCACTATGAAAACATTTATAATAGAACTTTTACACAAAGATATTATGTAACTGAAGCAACAAGTTGTAGGCTAGACAAAAACCAGTCCATTTACAATCATAAGCATCAGTGTTCTGCAAAGCTTTTGCAATTGATTAGTAAATTCACTAATTTGAATCATGGGAGATTTATTTTAGGGCACATCACTGTTTGAGGAACAATATACCAAATCGCATATAACAACCTGTATGGTAAAAAATATCCTAATTCAGACATAAATGTTCTAAATGCATTCTTTATTTCCTTCATAGCTATGAGGAAAACATTACAATGCATGTTTGTTTAGATCCATAATAGTAACATTTGCTATATGATAATGACTATTACAGAATCTGATGAAATTTCTATAAATCTCTCTGAAAAATTCAATTTTCCCAATGATCCATCTCATTAACAATCAGGTATCCAGAGAAATTCTCACATTTAAATTTTGCCCTTTTACTATTTAATTACACATTGTAATATTTTCCCCACAATAAAAATGCACAATTGATATATCATTCAGGATATTTTACCAAAACGGGTGGTCACATCCCATTTTGATAATTAGTCCAAATCTGCTTTTGCAGTGACCATTATGATGAATTAACAATGATTAACTATAGAAAATTTGAAATCAACAAGCAAAATATTTCTTTAATCAATAAAATTATTGAATTGATCAGTAAGATCAAAAACTGTGAAAAGTTGGAAAAATGAACAAAATTTCACCCCTCTGCAGCTCTCCTTCCACTCATTCATTCTGTTTGTATGATGGTGTTCTAGCTGTAGGAGGATCGTATTCAGTGTCTCACGAGAGTACAAAAAAAATGGAAACAGCTATAAATTTCTTCATGTCAGATTTTGAGATAAGTTTTTACACTTCATGATGATTTCTTCTTGCTGATCATAGTAGTTTATTTGCATCAACATGACTGCCTTTTTAATGCTGAAAACAATTCACCATAACACAGAATTTCCACTCATAAATATTGATGAAATGAGCGAAAATCACTCATCAATTGCAAAATCTTGACAGAACTTTTTATTTGCATTTTGTGTTATTTCAAGTGTCATTGAAATATTAACTTTTTTTACCTATTGACCAGTCTAGACAACTAATTTGACCATGATTTTTTTTATACCTGTTTCCATATAAAATTGAAACCAATGGCTAAAACCTAAACAACAAAGTTTATAGATATAACCACTATTTTTTTCAGTAAAAACTGCCAAATATATCTTTACCAAAATTATAATAATTCAAGGTAATTTAGGTATATTGAAAGTGTTTTAATGCAAAACAAGAATAATTGTACAAAAGACATCATGCTTGGCATGAACTATCATATTTCGGTGTTAACTGAACTGTGAAATCTGGGTATAAAACCCTAATCTGGCCATGATTTTAAAAGTCTTCATCATAACAAGCATGTGCACTATGTTTTAAGTTGATATGAAGGTTATGTGATCTCTTCATAGTAAACTACTGTAAATTCAGAAAAATTTGAGTATTTATAATTGCCATACAATGGACAAAAATGTCAGATAAATTATTGTGTTTAAAGAAATGAAGCATAAAATAATGCTTTCAAAATTTCAAATGCAAGTTGTTTTTTTTTCAAAACCTATCTTTTAATAGTAAAAACCTCACAAAAACTTCTGAATATATAGTACCTTAAACCTGAAACTGGACAGGAAAACAGGCAGCACAGACTGGAAAAAATCCCCCCCCCCCCCCATTGTAAGCGGTGACATATTCTAGGCCTAACCCTTGAAACCTACTGTAGCAGGCTGTGCTTTCACTTCATCTTCGATGGCCTCCAATGCCTCCTTGTATCCTTTAGGTATTCTACTGTTTAATTTAAACTTGTTTCGGTTTGCTGCATATAAATAAATATTCTCCTCTGGAATCCAGGCACTAAAAACACAAAAAGAAGCTTTATTCTAGTTATGAAAATTATTAACTGGTGTGTGGTTTCTTACTTTGGGTACTCACTAATTGATGTATATCACAATCTGAAATCTGAATTTTGAAAGTGAAACAAGGATGAACCATTTAGTTGACTGAATCAATCCAAAAAACTCATTCTTATACAGGTAAGGACGATTATTAACATATTCTTTAACCTATAATATGAAATCAAACAGACCTAGAAAAATCCAATTGCATGAGTTTAGTGTTCCAGCTAGGAATTCAAAAGGGCAGGGAGCCAATCATGAAAAGGGCACTTTAGCACGATGATTGATATGTCAAAAAGGGCATGTCAAACATTGTCTAATTTAAACTGCAGAGGTTTCAGCTAGGAGTTTTGAGGGGGTTTAGTCACTTTTACACTAGATGAAAATCAACATTATTTGGGGTAACAGTAAGGGACCAAGGACGTATATTACTAGATATAATACATATGCCCTAGTCCTTTATGGACAAGGATCTTTGAAGACATTAGGCATGCTGCAAATGTAGGCAGTCATGGTATGAGTTTACTGGTGTAATGCTTACATACATGTATGATGATAAGAACAAGGATCTGGAAATTTAGTTCACAATTTCAGTTATTTTGAGGGAACATCTTGATCAACAGAAGTCGTGTTCCTTTTTTTCAAAGCAAGGAATCACAGCATAAATGAAATTGTAACGACTATTTCACTGCATAATCAATATCCCTGTAAAAACGTTTGAAATCGATATTTGGAATTCATTTTTGTGAGCTTGGAATGATTAAAGACTGTCAATTTTAAATTTATCAAGAGAAGATCACGTTTACTTACGATTTTTAAACGAAATGAAAACAGGAAGTGACAAGAGGACAATAAATCTAGAATGAATCAGGATTCATCTATGGATTGGTTTTGTGTTTAATGTAAGGGCAAGAAATTATCATTTTTTAAATTTCAGTTGCTCAGTAAAAAATATATTTGTCTCTCTGGTTAATTTGATACTAAATGATTTTGCATTTAAGTGTCTATTAAACATGTTAAATTTGTAAATATATGTTCACTCATGCACAGTTCATGATAAAGAAAGCACATGTTTGAATTGTGAAAATATTTTTGATTTTGAAAAAAAGTTTTATCTTTATAATTGAAATTGACAAAAGATTTCAATGAAAAGTTTTATAAAATGTGACGAAAATACGTTCAAATGAGAAACTACGTCAACCGAGCTGGAATAAGTAATCGTTTGAGAAATTTTGAAATTAAATAAACCAGACTGTTCGGGGGGAAACAATTTTGTAAAATTGACGAAATTACAAAAACGTTTCTGGATAAACGAACTACAAATTTAATGGGAAAAATAATTACTTTGGTCAATTGTGAGGTTTAATTAACGGATTAATGACCCATCCAATGGCGATAAGCAGATTATCTGTAATCACAACTTATTACACCTGCTGGAAATGTTAATAAGCTGAGGGTCGTAAACTTGTCATAAATATGAAGACAGGTAGAATAATAGTATTTTCTTCAAAATATTATGACAATAAAGCCATGGACTTGCAGAAAAGGGCAGGGCATCTTAAGAAGTGCACAGGGCGTCAGAAGGGAAAGGGCGGGCAGGCGGACCGCCCTGTGAAAACGACCAAGCTGGAACACTGGAGTTCACTATCTATTTATATCTATATCTATGTTTATATTGGGTTATATGACCGTTGGCAGTCTTGGAAGCACCTCGATTGGTAATTAGATGGCGTCTAGACTAAAATACACAGGAAATACTGATAAACATTATCGAGTCCATGCATCGTAAATTGCTCATTTTAGACTTTTTATAATTTGGATATTCGTTTTAGTATCTTATAAATCAAATATTAGAATTTGACAGATAATGCCCATTAAACTTCAAAGATATAATCAAGTAAAGATGAGTGGAATGATTCCAATGTGTAAAGCAAGTAAAAAGTACCAAAATTTATACTGTTATACTGTAATCTTTTAAATGTTTTGGTCATGGTTAACAAAAATAATAATTTTTTCATTAAAATGGCAAAAAAAGAGATTATAACAAAATCAGGTTACACCATAAGGTACATGTTTTCTAATCACTGTTTTTACTCACTAATTTTCTGATCCAAAGAAGAAAACAAAGTGATGCAGTGTTTTCTTCAGGGGTTTCTTAACCTCATCTTTAGGAGCAATCACCTACAAAATATATTCAGTCAAATTTTATACAATAAAGTTTTCATTTAAGATTTATTGCATACATGAACCTCTGCTTATACTAATTTATCAAAGTGTTTAATCAAATTTTCTTGTTTTTGAAATTCCGAGTGTCAAATGATTTTGAAAACATGCTACACCTCCGGGTGCGGGATTTTCACGCTGCGTTGAAGACCCATTGGTGGCCTTTGCTGTTATCTGCTCTTAGGTCGGTTGTTGTCTCTGACATATTCCCCATTTCCATTCTCAATTTTACAAGTATTAACAGAAACACTTAACACTGCATCTTAACCCACTCAATTGTTGTGTGTAGTCAGTCATTCTTTAACTAATTATACATGATATGCAGCATAGTCGTTGGCTTGAATAGAAATTAATGCTACAAAGTCACAATTACATTAAGAAGCTAATTCATACGTTCTTTGTTAAATATACATTTGAAAATGTATCAGTTTTACAAACTGTTATTAGAATCTATTTGTATATTTTTAACTTTTCACTATGCATTTATTTAAGAAGTTCAAATTATCCTGAATTTCAGCAAATGCAAGATATTTTGAACATTTTATATAAATGCCTAGTGTAATGGAAAAGCTGTTCATGTAACATAAAATATGTTTTAAAAACATTTCCACTGCTCACAAAAGCAGAAATTATCATTATCCAATCAAAATCCCATGTAAGTATATGTAAGGAGATATGCTGCTATGTCCAATTGTGCAAGATTTACTTTTCATCAATATTATTAGACTAACATGGAATACAAGAGCCTCATGTCAATTGCATGGAAGTAGTTACTTAATAGATGAAAATTGTATTTTGTTTTGCGTTTAAAAAAATGCAAATAGACTTTGGGTTGAGTTCCAGCTAACAAGTTTAACTTGTCTCATTCTATATGTACCCGTCCCAAGATAGGAGCCTGTATTGCAATGTTGCTGTTTGTTGCTGTATATCATATTTGATTTTCTTAATTGTTTTGTACATAAATCGTTAGTTTGCTCTATGAATTGTTTTACATATGTCTAACACATGGCTGGATCTAGATAAATATAACTTAAATGCATTTTAAGTTATAGAATATAAAAAACTGAACTGGATTTTGCAGTGCACTTTTTTTCATTCCAGAAGAGGGTGCCATAATAAACTAAATTTGAAAAAAAAAATTCAAAAGCTCCCATCATGTAATAAGTTATGATCTTTATTGATTGACATGGACAATATATATATCAACAACAACAGGTGATTTAAACTGTGTAATTGAGTGGACTCTATCAAGTTAAACTCAGGTATTTATTTTGCCATCTTCTGTGGACTTGAAAAAATGCACATCAAAATCCAGGTAATTCTAGGTCTAGTGATGCCATTTAACTTTCCATGATGCACCAGTGTGTCTACAATCTTAGTAGACTTTATGGTGTAAATAGAACCATATCTGTCAATTCCTTCTGATGAACTTGAATATGTTTTCTGAGACAATAGCACAATTTCAATCTCAGGGGAGACTACTCTGCTCTGACCGAGTTAAGGGGATTTTTTTACATCAAAAATATCTACAACAAGGAATCACAGTGATATGATTGACAATTTTTGTGTTTAATGAATGATATATAACCCCTAATAACTACAGCAAGCAATTGAAACTGTCTTTTCTTAGCTTTTATGGCATTAGTAATGATTGTTGACATGCCGGCCTGGCAAGAGGTCGAAATAATCTTACCTTTCCTGGCCATGAAGGGAATCCTTTCATCTTCGCCCTTGAAAATAAATATGAAAGATTGTTATACTTTCTATTGCATTATATAAATTTCTTAATTGAATTATTTCAGTTGCGTTTTTCTATGCTTTCTTACCAGACTAGGTCTCCGACTTCATACTTAGACTCCATTTTTGAAGCAGAATGGTGCATTGTGGGAAGATTATAAGCGTGGGGGAAATCCACCTTCAAATGTGGTCAACGGGGCATAACCCTGACTCTTTAAAAATATTCCCGCGCAAATGTCAGGTTTAAAGAAGAGACTAAGCGCCCTTTGAACATTATTCGACAAAGAAGTGGGAATGATTCATTGATAAAAGGCAAAATTCGCACATGATTAGGGTTCATGTGGATAAAAAAACACGTTTCCTAGGATTTTTTTTCTTTTTGCGTGACATCCTCATCATCGTTCTGTCCTCTGTTGTTCCCCATTTCAATCATTTGAACAAAAAAAATATATTTGAATCATGATAAAAATAAGTCATTATTAAATACTTTTTTTAAAGAGCTTGGCCATTCGTGAGTATGTTTGTTTATTCAAGGATTTGTATAGTCTCACTATACAAATCTTTGGTTTATTACAGCGTGTCGCGTTTGTTTTTTTTTTTTTCTTTTTTCAAATTTCTGGTTTCATCTATACCAATACGTTGGACGGACAATCATACTCACAGCCTCCGGTGAGCGCATGAAACATAATAATTAAGAGATAACTCCAAAAATAAAAAATCTACCGATGATAGGTTTAAAAGGAGAATAACACGAAAATAGAGAAAAAAATACCCATCACATGAGCTTTTCATTAATCTGGGCTGAACAAATCCGACTTCCGTGGCGGTTCCGCGGCAGGTATATAAATAAATAGCTCCAGTCCATCGTTTGAATAACTGGACAAATGGGAGGATTGAAATGTTAAATAAAACTGTTCTAAGAGCTCCCACTTGAAAAATACCTAACGTAGAGAGCATCCGCTATACTGTAACTGGCATAAAATTCCAGGTTATCTGACAGTTCTTTGGGGGACTGTCTTTTAATCCATTGGTCTTTGTAGAGTACTGCGTGCCTGAACTTCTCGGAATATGCGGATGTAGCACTAGTTGTCATTGGTGTCGGTTATTTGTCGCATTGTATACCCACGAAATCATTCACCACTCTGTAGAACGTGTTTATTTTTAGGTTTTTCCTCCTGTCTTCAACTGAAGTTGTAGAATCAGTTAAAATTACAAAACAAATACATTCATTTGTTTCATATAATACATTTAGTTAGTAAAAGAGATGGGACCAATTACCTCTGTAAGTGTTTCACTGACAGGGTCAAAATTGTAAAATTCTACTCGAATTTGAATATAAGTGAGTTTATATCATATTTCAACATTCTTCAACAAATTTTATATATTTCCATAAAATAAAAAAAGGTAAAGTATTCAGTTATACATGTGGCTATTGAAGGCATTTTTGATGAATTTTATATGCTCTATTTTTCATTCTGCATTAGAGAACGTCTCTAACCTAAATGAATCTATTATGTATCCTAAAGATGATATAAAGCTTTACTTCCAACATACTTTGGGCAAGGAGTTTACTATACAAATCCTTGCTTTGAAGAATTCAGATTTAAGGTTAAGAAAGGCCTTCTTATACATTGACATATATACTCGTATATGATTGATTGTTTCGATAGAATATACTAAATATTTGCAAAACATTCTCTAAATTGTAGTTTGTGGATATTTACAGGCGTTTACATTTTTATGCGACACCTGTTTAGAAGTATATATCAGAACCTTTCAACTTATACACACACGGAGCTGTGATGCTGTGAACTTAAGTAAAGAGTGGAAGCAATCTGATTCAGACCTATATCAACTCGCGTGCTCGGGCATATATGACTGGTATAACGAAATCAGAGAACTATATTTTAATTAGATTGGAGTGAAATATTTTCAATTGTTTAGAAGTATATGCCAGAACCTTTCAACTTACACACACGGAGCTGTGAACTTAAGTAAAGAGCGAAAGCAATCTGATTTATATGCCAGAACCTTTCAACTTACACACACGGAGCTGTGAACTTAAGTGAAGAGCGAAAGCAATCTGATTAAAATTCAGACCTATATTAACTCGCGTGCTAGTACATATAGGAGTATAACGAAATCAGAGAACTATATATTTGAAGTAGATTGGAGTGAAAGGTTTTATGAAATGGCCCCGATGTGAAATATATTCAGGGTTGATATGCCATATACCTCTTTCCCAATTCAAATATGTTTTACAAATATTAAAGAAAACGTTCTTCTTTTACAATTAGGATATAAAGATAAATTGGATATCTTCATTACTAACGGTTTCACTGGTATTATATACTAAGATATTTTATTATTTTGTTTACAAACATTTTAAAAGTACCACAAAAATATCAATAAAATATTCCGGAACAAAAGCACTGATAACCATGCACCAGTATGGTTAACCTCGAGGATTCATGTAAAAAACTAATGTATTTGAAGTTTTTAAGACTTTTTTTTATTTGAATGTAACACAAAGGTCAGCTATTTTCATTAATATACACTATCTAAAAGTTGGTTAAATATCACTGAAAGGAATTAAACTTAAGGAACATGCCGTATACTGCCTGCCCAGTTTGACAAACAAATATTACTTTTATCTTTGGATTCTTTTTAAGTAAATGATATGATTTTTAAAATATTTTACACTCTCAGCACCTGCGAAGCTAACATATTGTTCCATGGAAAACAAGGAGATGGGGTATGATTTCCAGCCAGCTATATATGATCCACCAGAGATCAAATGACGTGGGTGTAAGCAATTATGGGTCACAAATCGGCTTTCAACAATTAGCAAAACCCATCCCATATATAGAAAACTATAAATGGCCCGGACATGTAAAAAAAATGTAAAGCAGGTCAAATGGGCAAATCACTGAACGTCTCAATATAAGAAAAACAAAGAAAAACAAACATGACAACAGCAATCACTGAAATACTGGCTTATTCTTATATTTATAATATTGTCTCCAGACTTGGAACAGTAATAGTTATAAATTCTTTTTTTATTTGTCTAAATTATTTTCGAAACGTGATGCGAATTTATCCATACATTTATTGAAAAAGAATCTGGTGATTTTATCAGAGTTCTCCCGTTTCTGTCCATTTTTTGTTCTATGGAGGGCCATTTTTCATAGAGGTTATTACCTCTCAGACTTAAACGATATCTGGACCCCTGTAATATCACAGCCATGGTATAGGGATAATATCTTAACTTCGATGTTTCACATAGAATTTTCTTAAACATTGATATGCTGTTGTTACATGAATTTCCGATTAATTGATACAAATAATCATAGGGTCATCGACTTCGTTTTTTGGAGTATTAACCCATCTGTTATCCGGTTGGTAGTGAAAAACATTAAAAATCAACGTTAAACGCTTATTTCGAGGTTTTGTGGAATTTTTTTTAATACTATATACCGTAAAAACGAAGTCGATGACCCTATTTTTATTTTACAGCAGCATATCATTTTTTTTTTTATCTTTAAATTTGAAATTGAAGATTTAATGATTTTCAAAAATAGACAAATTCAAGACCGGTTTTAGCAGATTTTATATGCTTTCTATACAAATGTTCAGAGGGTTTGAAAGAATTCATTAAGAAATATTTTAGAAAATAAAAGATATATAAATGCATTTTATTCGAATTTCAGTTAAAGTTCAACGAGCCAAAGTTGTATACAAAATTTTAACAAAATCTGTGACATAACCCACTCTTAAATTGATAACCTTTTACGAATACGTTTATTCAAAGGATCGATAAGTTTACATGGATCGTATCTAAGTTTACAGTCTCTTTCAACAACATCACCGTAAAAAATAGGATGATATCCAATTGGTAATCAGTTTTCAAAAGGAACAGCAAAAAAAAAAGATTATATGTATATGAGGGACTCTGAACCGCGATGGTACTCCGAAATACGATTGTCACGCTAAAGTGCGATGGTTCGACGCTGAAGTGTGTTTTTGATCACGCCAAAGTGCGATGGTGGCATTGTGACGCCATCTTGTTAATAGCTACGACGCAGTGCGTTGGTGGTTATGCTGAAATGCGATGGATTACAGAAATTATATATTTTCAATGTTTTTCATGTTCGCATGTCGATGTAGAAGTCAATTGTTTATTAGAAGCAGCCATTTTCATGTTCTAAGTAAAATTGTCGAGAGAATGCAGATAATAAATAGCATGAAAACTGCAACTGAGGACACACATAATATGAAATGTATTTCTGTATTTCAAATGTTGCAAATCCCGTTGAAAGATCGAGATGTACATGAAACTATAATATTTTAACTGGGAACTTACGATGATATTAAAAGTTAACAGTATACAATTATCACATACTAGTAATCCTAACTTGTTTGGTAAACAGGCTTAATGTGGGAATTCGAACGATTCTTTTATTCAACCATATACATGCATATCATCCATACCAAAATATCATAAATGTTTTATGGACAATAATGAATGCAAATTTATATAATTATACTAACTTCTAAACAAATCTACTTCTAAAAAAATGCACATCTGTAGATTTGAAACTAGCCATAACGCGTCATATAGACCATGAGCAAAAGGATCATCACACTTTCGCGAAGACTATCGCACTTCCAGCGTGACCATTGCACTTTGAACAGCGTCCCCATTGCACCTCCGAGTCCTACAATATAAAGCAATATGGAACGAAAACTCGTCCCTTTTGTCGGACATTTTTGTATAGGTATAGTGTGAAGCTGAAATATCTAAATCTATGAAAGGGCAGTTATTGAAGATACTTTCCGTTTTGAATTTTCCTTGGAGTTCGGTATTTATGTTATGTACTTTTCACTTGGGTAAATTTCGGCAGTTTATTAAGAAAATTCTTAATTATTTAACGCAAAAATTCCCGATAATCAAGCGGCAAGGTAACCGCTAAATGTTGTTGAATTTACCAATTAACAAGAAGCTGTGATGCAACTGTTTAGGGAGCTACCATTTGATATTTGTATGGGGGGGGGGGGGGGGCTAGGACGAAAAATGTTGTACTGCATTTTTTGTAGCTGTAATCTCTGTCCTGCCTTTTATTGTTCACTCTATTCGGTCCTGCCTATTTTTTTTTTAGTTTTATCCTGACTTTTTTTTACCTAAATTGTCGTCCTGACTTTTTTTTGCAAATAACACATCCTGCCTTTTTTTTTACTCAAAACTCCTGTCCTGCCTATTTTTTTCAAATTTCTTCCTAGCCACCCCCACCCCCCCCCCCCCCCCACCCCCACCCCCATAAAAATCAAATGGTAGCTCCCTTATATATATATATTCATATCCTAAATTGAGGTAAATTATATGGCCTTCCAAATACCGTTTCGATTCCTAACATCTCTGAAGAGACATTAATTGTCGAAATCCGGATATGGTGTACAAATTTTTGCACCTAATGTTTGCGGTATTCCAATCTTTTCCGCAAACTTATTGTTTTCTGTTTGGTATTAAATTAATAATAAGATCCATTTTGTTACATCTGGGGACCCGTTTATTTGGCAATCGCCAATGGCAGTCAGCAGGGTTTAAGAACATCAGTTGTTCGACCTGCTGGTCAAATGCGTTTTGTTAAAATATACTTTTTCACTTTTTTGGTCTTTTGGAAAATGTTGTTTGTGCTGTATTTAGACCCCTCTACCAAGAAATTTGTTTTGCATGCACACGTATAAAAATTGCGGTTTTTATCCAACGCAATCATAGGTTTGAACGTTGTTTTCAATTTAGACTTGTTCATATATATATATATATATATATTTCCTATTCATATATTATATATATATACTATTTTTGATTGGTTGGTTATTTGGTGTTTAACGCCTCTTTCACTAGTAGTATTGGCTATTCAGTCGTGACCACCAGTTTTTATATTGATGGAGGAAGCCTGAGTGAAGAGAAAGATCAGGAAACTGCCTGACAATCCTAGTCGAATGAGATTGGAGTCGAACTCAACTGCAACTTGTGGGGTTCGAACTCACAACCTCTGTTTTGACAGCTATAGAGTATGATATTGATACAGTAGATGAACTAATTACACCACTCGGCCACCAATACTAGCTACTATTATAATCCTTGCCAATGACATATTTGACGTATTGAAAAAGTATTACAAAAACACCGAATTCAGGGGCGGATCCAGCCATTTTTAAAAGCCAACCCAAGATATGGGGGGGGGGGGGGGGGGGCGGTCCAACCATATGTCCCCATTCAAAAGCATTAAAAATCGTCAAATAAAAGGGGAGTTCCACCACCCGGACCCCCCCCCCCCTTTCCTGGATCCGTCACTGGAATTCCAAGGCCACTCCAAAAGGGGAAGTCCTTAAAAAAAACTGACAAATCATCATGAAACGCTATCTATCAGCGGAACAACTTCAAGTGGAAAACAACTGCCATATTCCTCACTTTCGAAGAAAATGGTGGGTTAAACCTGGTTTTACGGCTAGCTTAACTTTCAAATTGTATGATGAAAGTTGATTATAAATCTTTATAGTTTCGTTATATACAAAGATAGGTTAATTATCTGTTTTTTGTTCAATTCTTATTCCTGAAGGCAAGGCATATATGAATCTACTTCGAGCTCGTACAGATAAGTATGTTTTTTTAAAGGGAATATTTTAGGCAAGTTGGCATCAAAAGTAGGCATAAGCTGTTTTCAATAAAAAATTTAAAAATGAAAGTCGCGCCACATCAAATAACTCGTCCAAATTTGGTCACATGATGAGTGACCTTCACCTCCCTATTTACTCAGAAAACGTCCGATGTTTTTATATAGAATATTTAAATTCTTGAAAAGCTTGAGAGATGTCTTTTAATTTTTTTTATTTCTATAAGCGTTTGATTTAATCTCCTTTACAAAAGATCCCCAATTCGTGGTAAAAAGTTAATGTTGACAGCGCGTATGAATTTTCAGGTATCTGTAAATAGTCTAAAATGGTGGAAAAAGTGCTGAGACATTAGAAACATGTAACGATAAACCGAAAAAACTGACTTATTTCACGCCATTTTTATAGCCAATGGATATTTATGTTAAACTGGATCTTTTCTCGCTTTGAATTTACTAACTTTTGTTTGAAATATTGTTAAACACTATATAAACTGTGAAAAAATGTAGACGATGCTTGCAATCTGGGACAGTGTTTCACATTTGTGGAACGATATGTCACAAATGTTCTTTAACATATTTCAACATTAATGGACATATGTCACAAAATCTGGGGTTGACAATGGCAATGAGACCTAGGTATGTAATAAGTTTCAGGTGAAAGAAAAAGTTTATAAAATGTGCATGTGTGAACTTTCTGGTGGTTGTGCAAACTGTTTTTCCCGTCTGAACAAAGATTTGGGATTTTCCATCCACAAATAAACATACAAGTTTTAAGATATAATGGCTATTTATTGAACATGGGAATTCTACAAATATACATACGTACAAGGCCTAAGAATCTAGGAAGATGTCTTTGGTAAAATTTGACATGTATGTCCCCCAACATTGCACAGTTTGGGATAGTGCCAAAAACTGACTTTGTACTGATGTACATGTACTGTATGTTTAGTAGCTTGAATCCTGAAATATGAAGAGAGCTCAGTCAATTTTCTGCAGTTCATATTGTCATAACAGGAAACAACTACAGGACAATCTTTCAATCCTATTCAGGTTTTCAATATTTGTTTGGTATGAATACCAAATGATCTTATTTTTATTTAAGGATTTGTCCACCATTCCTGGACTTCACAACTGCTCCTTGAAATGTCTGTTATTGTAAAAGAAAGGCTATTGTTATATGACGTCACTGGTTTAAGTATCACAAAACCCGGGTCAAGTGTTGCAGATGCTCAAACAGCAGTAAGGTCTACAGGGCCTGCTTTTTGTAGACTCAGGACATGAGGATTCTTTCTTATATCACAATATATAGTACACACAAGGTCACAGTTCATTGAAAACAAATCCCCTTTTGTTGGCACATTTAAGAAAGAGTTTTACTTTGTGTAAAACTAGAGTATAACATGTATTCCCCATTTCCATTCTCAATTTTATTCATTGAGCATCAAGTGAAGTTGGTGCTGTGTCCATGGTTTCTTAATGTTTTTCATCTGTTGATACTGGAGTTTTCAGTCATTTCTTTGATCTGTTGCTTAAATCACCAACTTCTCTAGACCCATAGAAATAAAAAATATGCCATTAATGGTGTAGTCTTTAAAATCGGTTGTTTGGTCAGAAACTCAATGATGCATCATATTTACACCACATCCTCTGTAATTTATATCAAAATAACCAGTCTTTCTTTACTGCAGAAAAAGCACTTGCATGTACTTAGCTAAGAAAATAGCAAATTGAACACTGTAAAACTAACATTTGAATGGCCAATACCATTAAAACAAGCCAAAATTTGAAAAATGCTGTTTTCCTGGTTATACCCACTCCAATTACATACACTGTATTCACCCCAACTTTTTTTTTCAGTGTTCTCCCCAGATATTTCATTTAGCATCCTGGTAAACAGGGAAATTTGAAAAACCCATCTTGTTTCTTAAAATTATAGCATCACATCCACAACATAATCTATAGGAAAACCAATTCAGATAGCATAACATTCAAGAAATATAGCATCACATTACCATGATGCTAAAAGGCCCTGGGGAGATTAAAAAAATCCCTCTTGTTTCCAAGAATTTTTTTTTATCTGTACAATGTACAACCTCAAGAATGAAATATAACCCATTCTGAACTTCCAAGAAGAGTTCCTTGAAGGAATATTATGTGCAGCCTGTTTCTGTGTATTTCACTAATAAACAGTCTTCAGCGATAGACAGAGTCTTTACTATACTTGTCCAAAACTGTACAGTTCACTAATTAATTGTTTGAAGGAATGTCACAGTACATGCATATATGTTTATTTGTTTAAATCTTATAATGAAAGAAATGAAATGGCTTGTCCTTTCCATATATATATAGTATTCATAATTAATTTTTGGATACCAATTTTCCTACATGTAGGTATAGTTAAACCACAAATTTTAATGTTAAACAAAGTGCAAAATTTCTGTATGCTTGTATAGAATTGAGAATGGTAATGGGGAATGTGTCAAAGAGACAACAACCCGACCTAAGAGCAAAAAACAGCCAAAGGCCACCAATGGGTCTTCAACACAGCGAGAAAATCCTGTACCCGGAAGGCTGGCTTCAGCTGGCCCCTAACAAAAATGTGTACTACATGTAGTTCAGTGAAAATGGATGTCATGCTAAACCTTGAAACATATAAATGAACTAAAATTTAAAAAAAACATACAAGACTAACAAAGGCCAGAGACTCCTGACTTGGGGACAGGCGAAAAAATGCAGCGTGGTTAAACATGTTTTGTGCGATCTCAACCCTCCCCCTTTACCTCTTACCAATATCGAATAAGCAAACGCACAGCAATATGCACAGTAAAACTCAGTTTTAAAGAAGTCCAAGTCCGATGACCCCATGTCAGAATAGGTAACAGAAGAAACTAAGCAAAATGACAATGATCCATAAATAAACAAAGGACTACTAGCAGTTACTGACATGCCAGCTCCAGACCTCAATTAAACTGATAGAAAGATTATGTCTTCATCATATGAAAATCAAGCACAATCCCTCCCGTAAGGGGTTTAGTATTATACTGGTATGCAGACTTTGGCAAATTCACAAAATCAAATATCAGTGAAAATACAATTTTTCCTTAATCCATGAAAATTCACCAGTGAAAATAAATGAATCCTCAGTAACAATGTTGAAACTGCATGCTAAACAATTAGTTGTACTAAAAAATGCTTTCATGTGATGCAAAACGTTTCTTACATCTGTGTATTATTTGTTTACAGCCCAGCAGATCATTTAAGGAGACAAAGAGAAAAGGCTCAGCAGGAAAGAGCTAAATTGATAAAAAAAAATCAAGAGAAACAGAATCAGCCGAGAAATGTTGGGTTTCCTCAGCTTAGGAGAGTAAGTTGGCAAAATCTTTTGTGTTGCTGAAAATAATATTATTCCCTCATAAGGGATGTACCTGTATGTTAAGTTGGACTTGGTCATACAGTTGAATTGTACAAGGGTTGATAACTTTTGGTGTTTGGAATTACCAATAACTAGTCCCAAAGCTGTTGTTTTAGGGGCAGAACTAAGATTTAGATCTGTTGACCAAATAGATGTGACCTAGAATTAATTTATTTCTATGCAAATGACAAAGACATGACTGATTGTATTTTTGCAGACTTTTTAAAAAAAACTAATCTATGAAAATTCAAATAAAATTGTAGATATAGAATGACTGACCAGTACATGTGCACACCAAAATTTAAGTGAAATTATAAATATAGAATGAATGGTACGTGTGCACACCAATGCATTTATAAATATAGAATGACTGGTACATGTGCACACCAATGCATTTATAAATATAGCATGACTGGTCAATGTGTACACCAAAATTCAAATTAAATTATAAATATAGAATGACTGGTACATGTTCACACCAATGCATTTATAAATATAGAATGATTGGTACATGCACACCAAAATTTAAATGAAATTATAAATATAGAATGACTGGCACATGTGCACGCCAGGAATAAACAGAGTAAAATATTCAAATAACAGCCTGAATTGGTACATACACCACCATTCAAGGGCCGATTACTTTGGAAGTTCAATTGGGTTTAACCCATCCCCTTTATAACTGTTCTGTGCAGTGCACAGTATAAACTTGTACAATATATAGATTAGTTATACAAACCCTTGAACAATTGAAAAAGAAAGTTTGTGGAAAACAAAGGTGCTTGCTAATGACAACAATAGAAAATATAGGTCAGGTGTCAATAGAATTTCAAACAGCACACTGAGTAGTACATGTAAGGTCTGCATTAAAATATCTTATATTTCCATGTACAATGTATATGTATATATATAGAATAGGAATTATTGCATATACGTTGTAAATGCTATAATGTTCTTAAAAGCTATTTGTCCAAACAGATTATTGAATACTTAGGGGAGATTAAAGTTATTTTGGGTAAATTTAAGGGGATTCATACACTAAAAGAAAACCACACACACACACAGACATTCCCAAGGTTGCTGGACATTGGGCAAAGGCCAGTTAAAGTTGGTTTGGTTCAGTCAAGTGATATGCATTTATACTGGACCAAATGACCAATAAAATTTTTAATTTTGTCCAAATTATCATATGTGTAATTATTATACTTCATGTCAAAATGCCAGATTTTGATTGGTTATTAAAAGGACAATAATTTACTCTATCCCATGGCAAATACTCTATTGCCCTTCACAGAGACGCTTGATCAATTGTGTGCTTTATTAGATACAGATTGTAGTTAGGTACAAGACGTCATAGTTGATTACTTTGAATTTGAGTGTTGATAGACAGTAATAATAGTACATTCAGTATAATAAATAATAGAGGGTGATCATGGTGATAGAGCAGATTGTTACCCCTAGAAAAGTCATTGTCAACCTTGGCTTCGCCTCAATTTACAATGTTTTCTTGGGGTAACAATTTGCTCTATCACCCTCTCACCTATGTGTTATTTATATATAATATCCTATAAAAAAGGGTCTAGTCCAGTTAAAAGATGAATGGTTTACTAGACCAAATGTCCAGTTGATTTCACCAAGCTTTGGGAAGCACTGCTGACACAAACACTAATCAATATACCCCTTTTAGCATGTTTTAAACACGTCCCTGAAGACTGACTGCAGTATTTATAGATGTTATTTATACTACTAGTGATTGCTTAATTAATTGTCTACAACCTTGTGCAAGTGTAAAGAAGCCAGTACAAACTGGAATGAACAATATTTTGCACTAGGTCATGGAAAATAATCTTACTTTCAGTTTGTAACAATATAAACAATGTGAGGGCACCAGCCTTCTCAAATGTTTTGGTTTGATTCTGATATTTCATTGTTTGTCAGTCAATGAAAATAGGTCATAAAAGTAAAAACGTTCCGGTATATTGGGACTGCCAGATTATGTTGTTACCTAGCACTTAAAAAATCTCCTCATGCCTCCTCTAATTTTCTCCTCCATACCTCTCCATGTCTTATTCACCTCTTCCTCATTTTCTTCAGATGAGAATGAAGTCTACTCTAAAAAACTGAAATTAAGTGTTTTTATTCATCAATATAAAATTACACAGGTAAAATATACTTATGTACTATACATAAGTAAATGTACAACAATATATATATATATATAGAATCTATAGTAACAGGTTGAAGAAAGCCCCTGGGCAGAGTGAAATGTTCATAAAACTGTTATGTTTCTGTTATATATGGTTGTAAGCATTGATGGTTTTATTCCTATCTAATAGACTTAACACTAATAAATCAATAAACCTTATTTATGTAACAGTACTTCACAAAATTGATTGTCGCAGTGTTTAAGATATTGTTTTTCATCTCTCTCCATGCTTATGGCAAAGTCCAGAAGATTCTTGCATCTTATTTTGGATGAGTCATTGGTTCACTATTTTCATCTTAAAGCCTTTTATCCAAATTGTTATTGTCACAACAGTAGGAGTGACCAAATACCAATGTATTATGATCACTGTACTTATAGTCTAGTTGTCAGCTGACTGGATGCTGCTTAAAATCCACAAACATTGTAATAGTAATAGTTATTACTTTTACAAAATATATGGTCAAATTCATTCAAATAGATTACTGGCTGTTATTTCATGGACCTAATTAAATCCAAATTCATTTTATAAATTTTTACTTTACATAAAATGTATACCCAGATGGGTTTATACATCTATGGTATACCTGATAGATTTTTTCGCTAAGTATAATGTTGTGAGAAAATTGCAGGATACCATCAGTCTGGTCTAAATTACTAACCTAACACTTTCAGAAGTCACCTTTAGCTATAGAAGAAAATTTAAGAGGATGATGATAAATCTAGAATATGTATCTTGTATAAGAAGAATATTTTCAAATTTTTGTACATCAATTCTTTGTATAATACTATTGTAAAAGCAGAGCCAAAAAAAAGAAAAGGTTGAATCAATATGTATAGTCTTGTTAAACTCCAAGTATGATTTTACTTAATAATGTATGTGTAGATTCTTTCCAAGTGGAAGTCATACTTCACCAGTATGTTTTTTCCATCTGACTTATTCTATAATCATGTTTTGATTTGACATATTATTTTTTTACAGACAACAGAGAAAGATGACAGAATAGAACAGTTGTTAGGGCCACATTCGGCTATTGTAAATTCACTAAATAGGGATACTGATTTATTAGGAGTTATAAGTCAACCTCAGACTCCTCTTCCTAGTAGGTCATATGGCGAAGATGACCCTTTTTACAACAAACCTGCAAACGATGGTAGGAATGGCATTCGTCAACATCATCCCATACAAAATTTGAAAAAGAAACCCCCCTCAAAACCCAACTTTACTTTCCAAGAACCATCAAAGAATAGCCAAAATTCAAAACAACCAGTACCTGTTCAAAATGCTGACCACTCAACTTCCAAGTCTTCGTATCATCAAGAGTCTACCCAGAATCAACAGCCAAAAAGTGAAAATATGCAGATCAAAAAAGAAACACCTGTTCTTCCTAAAACTAAGAAAGTTACAAAATCTAGTCAGCCTATATCCCCTCATAGTTCATCATCAGACCACGAAGCTACATCAAACAAGTCAACGCCAAGTCCCAAACCATCAAATGAAAAGCCCAAACCTCTGGGCAACAGTACAAAACAGTTCACACCACCTAACGGAGTTAACAGACCACCGAGGAAGAATCTTGAGAAACTGACCATTCCTAGTGGACAGGTAAGAGAAATTTATCACTGAATCATACTTTTAAAACCCATATAATTGTAAACTTGTAGGTTAAAAGAGATATAGAAATATATCTACATGTATTATTTAGGTTTCTGGACTTCTCCAGTTTGGTATTGGGTAGTTTTGTTCCAAATATTGATTAAAATCCAAAAATGATAAATTATTGGAATCTTTTTAATAAATGATAATAATTTTCAATAATCGAAAGAAAACAGATCTATGAAATGTTCTTTTTTTACTTTTTGCCATCTCCCTTCTAATACATCAGTTTCTGTAAAAACCCATAAATATTTATTTTGTACATATGCACCCTCTTATGGTATTTAAGCTCTTGTACATGTTGTTTGTCAAATGTATGTTTGAGTAATTATACATATATACGAAATGCACAAGTATTGCATAAGGAAAATATGTTACTAAACTTTTTACATTACATAATGTATTAGCATTTAATTAAAAACAGATTATAATAGAAAATCAAATTGGAACATGCTGTCATATTGTTTCGATTAATTGATTATAATTTCTTCAATATTCCCAACACTGTTGTTTTGACTCTTGCAAATGGCAATTCAGAGCCTATCATACAAGTGAAGGCTGTTGTCCATTTTTGATTGACACATGTTGAACTCTGAATGTCAATTTTGGTAAGCTTTTAAGAAACATCGCTGATGAATTATTCACTTGCAAGTGAATAATTCGACCTCATTAAATCTGTATTAATGTGACCTTCTATTAAACCCCTTAGCTAGAGATGGGTTACGCATGAACTAGGCGTGTTCAACTATTAAAAAGCTGGAAAAGAAAGTCAACATTGAAAGTAAAACAAGAGTAAACCATTTGGTTCACTGATTCGATCCACAAAAACTCATTCTTATAAAGTAAAAACGATGATTGTCATATTTATTTAACCTATAATATGAAATCAAACAGATCTAGAAAAATCCAATTGCACATGTTCGCTATCTATTTATATCTATATTTATGTTTATATCGGGTTATATGACTGTCGGCAGTCTTTGGAGGTCACTTCAATGGTTAATTAGATGGGTCTAGACTATATTATCACACAAAATGCTGATACATATTATCGAATCCATGCATTGTTAACAGTTCATTTTAGACTTTTTGTAATTTGGATATATGTTTTAGTAGGTTATAAATCGAACGTGAGAATTTAAGTCAAATCGTTGAACATGAATTTGACAGCTAATGACCCTTTTAAATGTACGCGTTCTCTCATTGATAGTTATCCATATATCTGTTATTCAAACACTTTTTAAAACGGTCTACTGAATTACAATGACAAATTTTGGAAATATCCTCCTGCAATTTAAAAAAATTAAGGACCTTTGACCTACATTTTTTCAACCTCTGGTTTTTATGTATGAATAAAAAGGGAGGCACAAATTGTAACTTTAAAAAAGTTTGACTAAATATCTATCAAGTAGCAGTACATACATGTACTAGCCAAGTGTAGTTGAATTACATAAACAGTTCTACAGGTACAAGGTTAACAGACATGTTGTTTACTGATAAGAGATCCTGTGAATAGTACTAAAGTCCTTGATAAAGTTTCCTGATTGATATGATTAGAAGTAAATTGGTTACACATCTGCAATTGATTATGTGGGATTATACATGTATATATATAACCTTTCATTACTTACATGAGTATGCCAATGAAATTCAATGCTTTTATTAAAGTCTCCAACTGCAAATTGCTTATGCATGGCACTATAGCAGGCACGGATCCAGTCATTTTGGAAAGAGGGGTTCCAATCCCCTAACATCATAAACATGATAAAACGTTCACAAAATTTAAAAAAAAATTAGCTAAATAAAAAAATTGAAAAGAAAGGTGGTGTTCCATCCCCCAATCCCCCCTCCCCTCTTTTGGATCCACCAATGCTATACAACATAGCCAAAAATGTACAAATACATGTAATAGTATCCTGTGTCAATACTAAATTACTGATAAATTTTGTTATAAACCCTAGCTTACATTCAAATTTATGGGCCTGTGGGTCATTGGGTGCCTGTAGACCTATGTAAAGTTTGAACTTGTGGAATAATTCTTTTATTAGCTTATCTTTTGCCTACATTTGTACATACATATATCGATAAATGATGTGTTGTAACTCATAATGACTGTCAATAAGACAGCAACCCAAATACACAAGTTAATCAAGATATAGATCAACAGACAGCTGTCTCCAATCATTGACAAGCACTCATACCATATGAAAAGCTCTAAAATATCCCAGGACCAGTTATATTATGAATTCTTTTTGTATGCCAGTTGATCCAGTAAAAATTTCTGAGTAGTTAAAGCTACATGACTACCAACATTTGTAACATACTACTAAGTATTACTACGTTAAAATATGTTTACATGAACAGATAGGCTCACTTTTAACTTATTAAACAGTTTGAAAGTTGTTAGATTTTACCTGTGATTAAAGTCATGTACCTAATGAGTAGTTCAGAAAAATTACATGTACGAAATTACAGTAGTTGTGGTTTCAAGATATGTTATAATTTATTCAAATTTTACTGTCTGTAGCTAAAGACTTGTAAGAAATTTCTAAGGGACAATCGTGGTGTAATATGTATTCCTATTTTGTTGGACTACTGGTGTTTATTTAAGGTGGTCTTATCAAATTCTTTATGAATATGAAAAATATGCAATAAAAAGATGATGTTGTTGCAATATAGCTGTGTTTTGTGCTGAGGAAGCATTAAACGTTAATTAATCAATCAAAACTGTGACATGAGACAACTATCCACAAAAGTCATGTAGATTATTGTATGGCCTTCAACAAATAATGAGCAGTCTGTTATCTAATTTTTAGAAATTGACATTTAATTTGAAAAAAACAACATAAGAAGTTTATAGCCTGAAATAGAATATTGTCTATAGAAATAGTTGTCTGTACGTATGTCAAATGAATATCTGATTTATTTATAGCTCTGTAAATCTTATAGATTGTTACTTCTATGATCTCAAAATATTGACATTCCCATCCCAGTTATCAGAGTGAAATAAATTGAATAATCTGATTATGACCTTCACCTGGCCCAGGTAAAACACAGGTAAAATATTCTTTGTGCACTCATGTCACAGAGTGGCGAAATTGTGGATTGACAATTATACCACAATTATATCTGTAAATTGAATCATAAATTTTTAAATAACTGGACTACTGTCTTTTCATGTAGAAAAACAACAAAGATTAATTAATAAATGCCTAAGAATATGTCAGAAAGTCTAATGTAAAATTTAAAATAACTGCTGCTAACTTTACTGTTAAATAAATAAAGAAACCAATCTTAAGTACTTATAGGTTTTTAAAGGGGAACTGCAGAGTTCTTGAAAAGTCGTGGTCTGAAGGTTTTGACCACCAAAGTTGGCCAAGGACTGACACAATTTTGGTTTTTGCAATAGAAATAATAGTCGGGACCAGCAGATTTTCTTCAAGGACCACCAGGGAAAAAAAGATTTTGAGAACGCTCCCAGGGAGGGGATATGGACAGTTTTAATGTCAAATGTACATTGGGATCTCTTTTGATTTAGTGTAACTATAATTGACCCAAATTAAATTATTTCAAGAAATCTTTTTGTTGTTATTACTAACATTAATGTAATTGATTTATGCGAAATAAAAAAAAAGAATCATTGCTTGAGGTTTAAAGGTCATGAGGTCTGTGTATCTGGATTCCATACCCTATTTGATGGTGTGATTACTTAACAGACAAGGATTTACAAAGAAAAATTTATAACACAACTTTAGTAAACTTTTAAAAATAATTCTGAAAAAAAGTTAGTGTCGTTTGGGTGACCTGAAACACACCTATTTTTTTGGGCCAAACTGAACATGTTAACAAATCCGTAACCAAAATTTTTACATGATGTTAAGTTTGCTTTAAGATGAGCTACCTTATAGTTTATGTTTCAATGATTTCTAATTAGCAGTTCCAAAGTCATGTGACTTTAATTATCTAGCAAAGCATTCTACTTAAACCGTTGCTATGGTTGTATTTAACTTGTCATATTTATATATATATATACCAATAAATTTGTTTTGCATGCACACGTATAAAAATTGTGGTTTTTATTCAACGCAATCATAGGTTTGAACGTTGTTTTCAATTTAGACTTGTTTGTATTTTTTGTTTGGGCTTGTATTATATTTGCCTTTGGGTTAATATGATTCGTTCATCCTATTTCGACTCTTCAAAATTCAAGAGTCTATCCTAAATTGAGGTAAATTATATGGCCTTCCAAGTACCGTTTCGATTCCTAACATCACTGAAGAGACATTACTTGTCGAAATCCGGATATGGTATACTTTTTTTTGCACCTTTTATTTGTGGTATACCATCTTTTCCGCAAGTTTATTGTTTTCTGTTTAGTATTAAATTAATAGTTAAGATCCATTTTGGTGCATCTGGTGATCCGTTTATTTGGCAGTCAGCAGGGTTTAAGAACATCCGTTGTTTGACCTGCTAGTCAAATACGTTTTGTTAAAATATACTTTTTCACTTTCTTTTGTCTTTTGGAAAATGTTGTTTGTGCTGTATTTAGACCCCTCTACCAAGAAATTTGTTTTGCATGCACACGTAGAAAAATTGCGGTTTTTATCCAACGCAATCATAGGTTTAAAAGTTGTTTTCAATTTAGACTTAATATGCGAGATTTTGCTCACAAAATTTTAATTGACCAAAATGTAATTTTAGCGGTATTTTACCTGGCCTGGTCAATACTAGTATTTACCTATTTTTTGCAAAATTTATATATATGCATTCATCTACAGGTCATGAAGAAAGGTCCTTTTTCATTTTGTCTCAATAACGGTTATAAGGTTGCTTTTTGTAGATGTTTTTGAAGTTGTTTGTTTTGACATATTTTGATTGATAATTGAACATAGCTGATGTAGCTTTAGGCTGTCAAGTCAAGTTTTCATACAAATGTGTGTATTGAAAACTTTCAGATATCTGTTTTTTTGTTTTATTATTTGCATTTGTATTCCTAAGTTTTGTGCAGTTTCAGTAGCAAATCATCATATTTTTTTTTTCTTTTCAGAATGATGTTCATAAAGAAACACAAAGTGTTGATGATATTTTTAAGGTAAGGTTGAATTGTATGTTGTACAGATTCCAAATGTCCATGTAAAAGTATTTACTAGTAGATAACAAACACAGTCAAGAAATCTAACTTTGAAGTTGGCTAATTTGTAGCAAGTTATTGAAAATGTCAGCAACAATTTTAGAAGCCTAGGTTTTAAGCTTAGAGTTTTTATGTTGAACATTTCTTTCTATATTTTGTCAGTTTATTTTAAAGAAATATTTATATTTAGACATGTTAAATGCATATATGAAAGGAAATATTTATATTTAGGAACATTACTCAGTAATTGATTCTTTTAATAAAAGGTCTGCAGATAATATTTATTTGAAGTCTGCATAATAGTCACTTAATTTACAAAATATGTAATTGATCAAAAGAGAAAAAAAAGTAATTGAAACATTCACTGACTATTAATAAATGATGTTTTCACTTCTGTGAAATAGTATTGACGTAGTCTTTAGCATTTTATTTTTGTACATGTACTATATTTGAACTAAAGCATGTGTTGTGAAGGAGAAAAGAATATCTATGTATCCTGATATTTCAAGGCCATATTATACCTTGCTTATAATAAGATTGTATGTAGTTAACAAGGTTAAAAAATGAACAACAGGAAAAGTTAAACTACTTGCCCTGATTGTTGTTTATTATAAAGGAGTGAAAAAGTTTTTGTCTCGCCTTGACGGAGTCAAAAAGCGAGACTTAGGTACGCTGTTTCCGGCGTCAACAATGTATTAGTTTGTGATTAGGTCTAGTTCATGGTGAACCACTAGTGGTAGGTCAATGATATTTGGTATGCAGTTGTATTAGCATTGGCACATCTCATTACCATAGAGATTATTTGGCCCCGCCCCCTCAGTCAAGGTCTATTGACTTTGAAACTTTTCATAGTTTACATGTATTAGTTTGTGATTAGGTCAATTTATGGGGAACCACTAGTGTTAGGTCAATGATATTTGGTATGCAGTTGTATAAGCATTGGCATATCTCATTTCCATGGAGATTATTTGACTCCGCCCCCTTAGTCATGGTCTATAGACTTTGAAAATTTTGCTAAGTTAACATGTATTAGTTTGTGATTAGGTCAGTTCAAGGGGAACCATTTATATAGTGGTAAGCCAATGTAAATTGGTGTTCAGTTGTATAAGCATTAGCACATCTCATTTCCATGGAGAGTATTTGGCCCCGCCCCCTCAGTCATGGTCTATTTACTTTGAAATTTTTGCTTAGTTTACATGTATTAGTTTGTGATTAGATCAGTTTAAGATGAACTGCTAATGTTAAGTCAATGATATTTGGTATGCAAATTTATTGGCATTTGCAAGTATCGTTTCCATGGAGATTATATAGCCCCACCCCTGATCATGGTTCCTTGACTTTGAAACTTTTACATAGTTTACAAGTTAATGTTTGTGTTTAGGTTTGTTTAAAGGGAAAGACTTATAATAAGTCAATGGTATTTGGTATGCAGTTGTATTAGCATTGGCACATCTCATTCCATGGAGATTGTTTAGCCATGTACCTTCAGTCATGGTTCATCGACTTTGAATATTTGCATAACTTGCATGTTAAAGTATTGCTATTATAATTTCAACATTTGCATTATCAAAATTACAAAAAGGTGAGACATATCTCTGTGATAACAGTTTATTTGCATTAAAAAAAGTTTTGTCCAATTGAAAGTTGCTATTGCACAAGTTAATAAATTAATACCCATTAGAAAATACAGGTTTGCATGGCAGGCATTTAAAAATAAAATACTGAAATCTGTTTGTAACTTTGTTGGTAGGAATTTCCCTTAGATTTATCAGGATTTATTTGAAGACTACTGAATATTGAAGAAAATGAAGTTATTTCATTAACTCATCTGAAAGAAAAAGAAAATTTTCTTGTCCTAGATATGCATGCAATACTTGCCACTGTACATTTAGTATTAAACAATCACTGTCAGTCAATTTGACTTGATGCAATGAAACAGTAAAGTCAAGTTTGCTTTGTATAAGTGGATTTATAGTACTATTCCAAACATTTTGGTCCTTGCTATTGAAAAAACAAATTATTATTATGCAAGAGCTAAGTTATATGTATCTGTGGTCCCAAGATCTGATGGCCTGACAGTTTTTAGGCAGTTAAGCTGCCTTATGCGAGCACCCTAGATTTGTGTTCTACCCAATAAATGCTGAAACACGTGCCATTGTTATTATCTGGCTGGCTATTATGTTATTTATAACTAATTGGACATTTTTTTAATACTTTTATTTCTGGAATACAAAAAATATGACCAGAAAAACCTTAAATGATCGTCGAACTACCCAAAACTTTTGAAGTTGCACATAGGAAGTAGTGCTCAATAGAAATCCGTATGTAGTTTATTATCCCCTGTGCTTTTGGCTACGATGTCAAAGAACAATTGTATGAAATATTTCATCGCCGAAAATCGGTAATTACAAGTCGTTTATACTTCCCAAATGGCAAAATGCGCAGGAATATTGTTCATGTACAACAAATCTCTATAATAGAGGAAATAAAGTAATATAAGTGGGCTGTAATTTTTAACTTATCTTGCCAAATAAGGGTGTTGATATTTTATGAATGAAACGGATGCGGAAATAGACGTTGATGGGATGTTTTAAGTAATGTGGACAACTCGTCCCCGAGACAAGTCGGACCGAATCCACTCAAACCGTCTAAGAAGACAACTTTGACCGTTTGTCAGATTTACTTAGGGTTTCATAAAATATTAGACTAACATGTCTAGCGGAGCCATTAATCTTTTGTTTGTGCATTGGGGTATTTAGAGGGGCCTGAAGAAGGGAGGGATTTACTATAGAACCCTATGGGATTTTATTTTTTAAAATTTTAAATTTTCAAATGAATATTTATCAAAAACAGTGGGGGTCATCCCAACCCCCTTCAATTTGAAAATGTACTTTTATCTTGTAAACCGTCGACATCCCCACCCCTAAACAATATATATACTTGTATGGGACAATAAAAGAAATCAAATGAAAATAATTTGGAGGAGTCCCGGGTGTCGTCCTTACCCCTCCTATTGGAGAACTTGGAAATGGTCCAGATCCCCACCCCTAAACCATATATATTCATGTATGGGACAATAAAACAAATCAAATGAAATATAGGGGGAGTCCCTGGGGTCGACCCAACCCCTCCTGTTTGAGAACTTGGAAATGGTTGAGATCCCCACCCCTAAACCATATACATTCATGTATGGGACAATAAAACAAATCAAATAAAATATAGGGGGAGTCCCTGGGGACACCCACCCCCTCCTGTTTAAGAACTTGTAAACAGTCAATATCCCCACCCCTAAACCATATATATTCATGTATGGGACAATATAACAAATCAAATGAAATATATGGGGAGTTCCTCGGGTCACCCCACCCCCTCCTGTTTGAGAACTTGGAAAAGGTCGAGATCCCCACCTCTAAACCATATATATTTAAGTCTCCCAAACAAAGTTTGGAGACTTATTGTTTTTGCTCAGTTCTTATTATTTTTATTATTCTTCTTCTTCTTTTTCTTTTTCTTGAAAACTTGTAAACGGTCGAGATCCCCACCCCTAAACCATATATATTCTTGTATGGGACAATAAAACAAATCAATGAAATATAGGGGAGTCCAGGGGGGTCACCCGCACCCCCCTTCTTTTTGACAACTTGTAAACGGTCAAGATACCCACCCCGAAACCATATATTTTCTTGTATGGGACAATAAAACAAATCAAATAAAATAAAAGGCGAGCCCCCTGGGGTCACCCCCACCCCCTCCTGTTTGAGAACTTGTAAACGGTTGAGATCCCCACACCTAAACCATATATATTCTTGTATGGGACAATAAAACAAATCAAATGAAATATAGGGGGGAAGTCCACGGGGGTCACCCCTACCCCCCCTTTTTTTTGAAAACTTGTAAACGGTCGAGATCCCCACCCCTAAACCATATATATTCTTGTATGGGACAATAAAACAAATCAAATGAAATTTAGGGGAAATCCCCTGGAGTAACCCCCCCCCCCTTTCTTTTTGAAAACTTGTAAACGGTCAAGATTCCCACCCCTAAACCATATATATTCCTGTATGGGACAAAAAAAAAATCATATGAAATAAAGGGCGAGTCCCCTGGGGATCACCCCCCCCCCCCCTTATATTCTTACCCCACCCCCCTTCAATTTGAGAATGTGCTTTTATCTTGTAAACGGTCGAGATCACCACCCCTAAACCATATATATTCCTGTTCGTCATTTCAAGAAGATTTGAATGACATACAGGGTTAATCCATAGGCGTCACTTATGCATATCACAAACCAATTTGTACTGGACTTTGCCCAATGTCAGGCGACCATGGGAATGACGAATTATTGGAGCTGTGTTTGGGAGACTTCGTAACAGCATCCCGTTACAATTATTTCTTGTCATGTATTGGACAATAAAACAAATCAAATGAAATATAGGGGGAGTCCATGGGGACACCCCACCCCCCTCTTGTTTGAGAACTTGTAAACAGTCAAGATCCCCACCCCTAAACTATATATATTCATGTATGGGACAATATAACAAATCAAATGAAATATTTGGGGAGTCCCTGGGGTCACCCCACCCCCTCCTGTTTGAGAACTTGGAAATGGTCGAGATCCCCACCCCTAAACCATATGTATTCATGTATGGGACAATATAAAAAATCAAATGAAATATAGGGGGAGTCCCTGTAAACGGTCGAGATACCCACACCTAAACCATATTTATTCCTGTTCATCATTTCAAAAAGATTTGAATGACATACAGCGTCAATCTCCTAGGTGTCACATATGCATATCACTTTACTAGACCAAACCAATATGAACTGGACTTTGCCCAATGTCAGGAGACCATGGGAATGATGAATTATGGGGGCTTTGTTTGGGAGACTTCGTAACGGAATCCTGTTACAATTATTTCTTGTTTATTATAAAATTTTATTGATGCAAAAAATGAATCTAGGTTAATTGAATTTACTTTAACTATTAATAAATTATTTCTGGGCCTATAATAATTTTCATTTATGGCTCATTTTAAAGAAAACATATAAATCTTTCAAGCAGTGTTAAGCCCGAGAATGTTTGACCAACTGTTTTATAATCACCTGTCATTTTATTCCAAACTTGGTATGAAGTAACATCATACATATGGGGGTGAAGATGGGGGTCATTTACATTGATATATGAGTTGCTTTTGAAAACCTTGATGAAATATTAATTAATTTGCCTTAATAATCAATTCATTAAATGAAAATAAATGTACAATATACGAATGTTTAATGTTTGTTCTTTCAAATCTTGAAAAAAAAATTGAAGCAACACTGCCACAGTTTTCATAATTACGTTTGCCTTCGTTTTTGGTTAAATGCCTACAGCGCTTACAGTGCTTTGATTTGTTTTGGTTAAGATTTGACTGGAAATGAGTACTTTGTTTTATCCTGGTGTTATATAGGAATGTTAAGTGGATAGGACAGGTGGACAATAGATAAGACAGGAAAAACATTGTACTGTCTATCAGTAGTTAAGGAGAACTTTTATATCATAAAACCAGGAGAACTTTTAAATCATAAAACCATGATATTGATACAGGTTTACAGTTTACAGAAAAATAGAAATCAAAATCTAGTGAGCTAGTGTCATAAAAAAATTGCGGTTTGGGGTAAATAGTTATCAAAGGTACCAGGCTTATAATTTGATACGCCAGACGCGCGTCTCGTCTACACAAGACTCACCAGTGACGCTCAGATCAAAATAGTTAGAAAGCCAGACAAGTAGAAAGTTGAAGAGCATTGAGGACCCAAAATTCCAAAAAGTTGTGCCAAATATGGCTAAGGTAATCTATGCCTGGAATAAGAAAATCCTTAGTATTTCGAATAATTTATACTTTTGCAAACATTAAATTTTTAAAAATGACCATATAATTGATATTCATGTCAACACCGAAGTGCTGACTACTGGGCTGGTGATGTCAACCTACAGCCATCCAACAATCTAGTTGTACTAAAAATAGATATACAGATGTTAAAATACATTATAACTCAAACTATATATGTTTGATGATAAATAAGCACCCACACCACACATAGGGGCTAAGGGCAAGATCTGATTAACAGTTATTATTATAAGAGTCTAGAAAAGTCGTGAACAAGTTAATCAGAGAATTTACCTGTTACATGTATACTACTAGAATGTATTTAATATTAAATAACAATTCAGATATATTTAATCATTATACATCAAGAGTACTGTATGACAATAATACATGTAATCCTAACTTTCAACCTGATGTTCACCTGTGGTGTTCTTTGGAAATCTGAGAACAAAATTGATATGAAACTTGAAAGAAAAAAATCCACTTTCTTTCAGCAATTGATGAGCAGTAATGTCTTGCATGTCAGTGCAATTATTAATCACTTCATCAACAATACATGCTATGGTGCATATATTTTTGGAATTTTTGCTCAAATGGACTATAATGCACATTTCATGAGTAAAATGGACTACAATACACATGTAAGGGGGATGGGAATCCTGATTTTACTCATTCATGACACATCAATGACTTGAGCTTAAAAAAAAAATTGATTACTTTTGCGTTGTCGCCTACTGTCTCGCAAGTGTTAATCCTGTAATCATTTCATTCAGGTCTGACGCAGTATTGATCGCTTTAGTAGCTTAATTCTGGAACCATGCATAGGATTTTGTTTACATCTTTTGTATGCAATATTATTATTATTGACTGTCTGAATGAATGATTAATTGTTTACGACTTGACTTTGAGAAAATGTTTCTCATTATAGTAAATAGATCAATCGCAAATATTGTAAACATGCTTAAGGCTTATGTACATGTATTGTAAACAAGTCAATGAAAAAAGTGGTGAAACTAATAAATTTGTACTTCTATTATGTTTTGAAGCTATTTCCAATGATGTAGCTTAAATGCTCAAAATCAAGGTTGTCAGAAGTTGAACAGGACTTAATTAACATAAGTCCAGGTCTAAGAAATTTATTCACATTGAGGTCCACAATCATTTTTACATAAGTCCAGGTCTAAAAAGTTTATTCATATTGAGGTCCACAATCTTTGTTTTGGTATTACACAATTGCACTTGTTTGCTACTTTGGAAATAAAGAAGAAATAGTTTAATTGCCTGATGAATTGAGGAGGTGAAGAGGTTTACTGCATGAAATACAAGAAAGATATGTCAGTTTGTTGACATTTCTATATTTTGAACTACAGCTTTGTGTATAGTTATTGATTGTGATTCAGTTTCTGGTTAATTCAACTGCTGTGTCATTCTATGATATATCTTCAGGCTAATTGTATTAAAAGGTTCCAGATCCCTCAGGCAAAGTTTTGCTTTTCTTTTTACATACTTGAAGTCATATAGCTTCTCCTGTATATAAGTATATATACATTCTTGGCTTTGAGGTTTCCTGATGAAGGGTAAATCCAGAAAAGTGCTTAAGATGCACAAAATTTAATATAAAAAAAATTATAAATTGTTATTTTCATTATTGACAGGTTGTGTAATATTGGATAAGACAAAACAAAATGTCAGACAAACTGTTCAAGTTTGTCCAACCAAATATTTTGCTTAATACTGAAGAAAATCATGTAAATTAAACTTTCTAAATCAGCTAGAAAGGGCTTTACCTAAAAAAAATCTGTGAATATAAGTTGCTTTTCAGTAATAATATATGGTGTAGTGTGCCAGACTGTTTCAAGTTTTGACATTAATGATGCATGGGTTAGTTTGAAATCGGTGGCATATAATTATATATATTAAGGGAATCTTTTATTTCAAGATTTTAAAAGTAAAAAAAAATTCTCATACCATTCATATACATGTACAGCCGATGTTGTCACTGTTTACTACATGTCATGGTTTAGACGTGTAATTTAGGTAACATAGATTATTGTAAGAAGCTTAGTTCTTGCATGGTTTACCTGTTTATTTTCCAGGAAATGACACATTTAGAGCTGCCATTGACTGCCATATCTACTCCTCAGAAAGATGAACACTTCCCTTTTCCAAATTCTGTTATTGTAAGTTTGTTTATTTGCCAAAAGTGAACTACTTTATTTTGTTTTTTTCAAACGCCTCAAAAAAAATGACAATATTTTCTCATATTGTTGGCTATTACTTATCTTTAGGATGTATATATTAGCAGATGTGGTTTTTACACAGAATAACCAAAATATATGAGTATAAAGAAGTCACTTTTCAAAATTTTGATGATGATTTTGTAGATGTTTATTTTGTTATTCTGTTTATTCAGCCTTTGTATCAGTGTTGTTCAGATGTTCTCTTACATGTAGGATAATTGAAGAGATAGATTTACTTGTTCATTCAAGACTTGTAAATTGGTTGTCTTCTTTAAACTTTATATCATGTAACTTTTTTGAACCAATATCCACTTGATCTACCAAAATCTGTAATCTTTTGTAATTTATGGACTTGAACATCTTTTTATAGGAAAAAGAGTCAAAATCTTTTAGATTTCTGAATTTGGATAATTATAACAAATATTGCGTGTTTTCTGTTGTAGGGAAGAAACTTCTCTGAGTTAAAAAGTAAGTAACATCTATCAGTATACAAGTGATACTGTGCCAGTAACAATAGTTGTGTTAGTGCCACTACCTGGTTAATAGGTTGGTTACAGTACAATCTGTTGTGTACAGTATCTTCACTTAATAGATATATGAAGATGTGGTATGAGTGCCAATGAGACAATTCTCCATCCAAGTCACAATTTGTAAAAGTAAACCATTATAGGTCAAAGTACGGCCTTCAACACGGATCCTTGGCTCATACCGAACAGCAAGCTAAGCCTATTTTAAGGTGTTTTCAAAATAATGTTTTCTTTGTATGTTAGACAGTGTAAAGAGAGATCAGAAATAAATGAGAGACACATTTTTATACAAACGCAAAAAATTTGCATTCGTATAATGCTATCATGTCGTCATCTTTGTCATCGTTGTCGGAAGACACGTTTGTTTTCCGGACAATAACTTTAGTTTAAGAGAATGTATCTCTACGAAATTTTACTTCTGTAAAAACATCTGCATACAAATTTCCCATAAGATAGTAGAAAATACTGAAACCATAAAATGAAGGGAGAAAAAATTGTTGTCCCCAAGTAACATATTTGGAGTGTTAATTTGATAATTTAATAATTTTTTAAACTTTCAATCTTTCATCATTATCAAATTTTAGACCTTTCAATACCCTTTTTGACCTTTTTGTTTTTCTGTTTTGCTGTTAATTGTTCTTCACCTATTATTCTTAACAGTTTTTTTCAGAAATTTCTTTGATATCAAACTGTCATTTACTGTAATTTTGATTTCTCTCGCTACTTTACCCCTTGATGATAAAAGTTTTGGCCATTTTTATCATACAAAGAAATTTGCTTGAAGGTAAACCAAATCGTGGTTTTGCTGTATATCAGCAGTTACTTGCTCATTAAGGTAGGTAGTTGTCATTATAATTAAATCACTGTTAATTATACAGAACTTGTCATTTCTGGAAACATTCCACACATGTTTATACTACTGTTGGGATGATCAAATAATTATGCTACTGAACTCAAGACCATAGGCCATAAAATCTATAAAATCTATTAAAGGTAACAAAATTTAGGTTACTCATTTTGTCACCTTAAGGATAAAGATCCACTAGAACTTGAATGCTTTTATTTAATTCAGCTTTGATTAATAAAGCCCCATGTGGATTGATTATATATTGGAGAATCATTTCTGTGGGTCTCTTGGGCAGATTTAAAATCATTTCCCTGTCTTAACAGCATTTCATAATTGTCATTATTTTGTTGCTGCACAGGAAAAGAGATGCAAACATTGAAGTGTTATTAAACAGTTAATGTGAATATGGACTGCACCTTTTATTTGAAGAAGATGTTCAAATGAAAGATATTATCCTCATTTGTAGCTCACTGCATGGTGTTCAGTGACAAGTGTAAATCAGTGCAATAAAAAGAACTTACAAAGCCATATGAAGTGAAACCAGTGCAATATAAAATGCTTAGGAAGGCCAAATAAATCAAAACCAGTGCAATTTAAAGAGCTGAAGCCCAAATAATATAAAACCAGTGCAATATAAAGAGCTTAGGACGGCCAAATAAAACAAAATCAGTTCAATTTTAAGAAGGCTAGATAAAGCAAAACAAGTACAATGCTAGGTTCAATAAAGTTATATAGAGAAAATCTAAAGAGTTGCAAATACCACAATATTTTTATAGTGGTTTGGTTCTGTAACTTACTTTTGTTGGGTTTTTTTTCAGATTTCCAGTCCAAGCTAAGCAAATGCCCTATTATAACAAATGACTTCAAGAAAGATGATTTAGATATACCTTTAGTTGCTCCTTTAGAGCCCTTGATCACACCACCAGAAACACCCATCAAACCACCACTAGCTGTCAAACAGGAAAAGTAAGTCTTCTACAGTTATTGATACTAAGTTCTTTTATTGTCTTGAAATAGAAGGAAATTCATAGCAAATATCTTTCTGCAATATTCTGTTAACTGGAACTTTATGCATTCAAGTGCAAATGTTTCTTTCATTTATTTCACATTTCTCACATAACCAATAGTTGCTGTATTTAAAAAAATCATCAACATGCTATAGAATAAATAGCCACCTGAAGTGTTCCAAGTCATGAATTATAGGAATATAGCACCTGCCAAGAATACTCAAGTTTACAGTATTATGTAAAACTTTATCAGTGTAATCCACATGTTTGTTATATCATAATGTATAAATTCCAAACTAAAATGTTTTAAACGAGTGGCTTGAGGAGTGTTGGAGATGACTTTACTAATGAGATTTTCTTCAGGTGAATATGGCATGAACATCAACTCTTCAAGCATTAGGCACTCTAACAAAGAGGAACTTTGGACCTAGTATAGATTTAATGATAGAATAACTAATCAAAAAATTCAAAAAAGAAAAATATTCAACGATGGACCGAACAACACATTAATTCACAAATGCTGAGTGTTGGTTGGTCACGAAAATTTTATTTGACAACACCCACTGATTTATGACATCAGAGTAATGAAATTATCGGATTTATTTCACATGTGAAATTAATTTTATTTCGCTGGGGAATCACAGTATCTCATTGCAACCAATGTAATAATATTTAATATTTGGTACAGTAAATTCAGAAATCATTGCGATGTTCTTATTAATCTGAATAAAGTGACTGGGTGACTATCACAATAATAAGAACTCACATTCTGATACATACATCTGTATCCAACTTTTCCTGAAACTGCAATTATTAATCTCTAAATTTGGTTGGTCATGTCAAATTCAAAATAATTTCTGAATTTTCAGTACTTAGGTTTGATGCAGTAGTACACAGGTTTTACAGCTCTAAGTATAGATTCACTTTGATAGTTGCTTCTTTCAAATTTACAGTTACAATCAAAGATGGCCACCAGAACTTTTATTATTCCATACAACCATATGGGTGGTTAAAGCAATTGAAGACCCTTTAGTCTTGTCAGAAATGTGAATAATCTAACAAGATCTATAATGACAAAATCAAAATATATATGTGGATCCTCTTTACTCATGATCCTTTTGAAAGCATAAGTAGTCATTACTGAAGTTTATGCCAAAAAAAAAAAAAAAAAGAATTAGAAAGTAAATAACAAATTGTTCATGCTGTATTTTTTGTCATAATATGGGGACTGAAGTACAATAATTTCCAACTTTAGTTTGTGGTATTTTTAGGATATGAAAGATGAGATAACATCAATCATATTTCCTCTGTACATCTTTGTTTTCCTTATTTAAATGATTAAGCATTTTCATATAAAGCTTAGTGCAAAAAAAGTTATGACTATATACCGATTAAGAATTTATGTTTTTTAAATATATAGGTTGAAAAATCAATGATGTTTATTCTTTTGATCTATCAATGAAATTGAATTTTCTTTAAGGGCAGGTCCATAAATGTTATTTACAGGGCTTTGAAGACACTCAGATAAAAATTTCTAATTTTATGGATGATTGGTTTCATATTTAAGCATCAATTGTATGGGAAATACAATGCAATACTGTTGGTCTTGTTGGTGTAGGGCTTCTGAAAAACTTTCTTAAAAGAACATAGAATTTTTCAGGACCATATTTCAGTTATGTCTATAGATATTGAAAGAAATTTTTGTTCAGATTCATAGAAGTATAGAAGTACATAATGGTGAGTCACAGATTGAGTTCACCTTCCATTATGGAGTCCTGTCAGCAGTGGGTAGGGGTTCACAGATTGAGTTCACCTTCCATTATGGAGTCCTGACAGCAGTGGGTAGGGGTTCACAGATTGAGTTCACCTTCCATTATGGAGTCCTGACAGCAGTGGGTAGGGGTTCACAGATTGAGTTCACCTTCCATTATGGAGTCCTGTCAGCAGTGGGTAGGGTTTTTTTTTTCGTATCACCCAACATACTTGATTTAAAGATGAAAATATTCATCAGCCAGATAATATCAAATTTCTTTTTTTGGCCATCTTTGTTAATGCTTCTGACCATTTAGGCCCTTCTCTAGTCCACTATATGTTATGGGTGCTAGCTTGTATTTTGGTCTTCAACAACTTAAAAGTGGAAAATTATGGTTACTTTTGCCTCTTTTAAAGGCCATGTACTGACTTTCAAATTTTCATGTTTACTTGAGATTTGTGGTTGGATTGCTGTCATGTCAATTTCTATTAGTTTACATATTTCCTGTATCCAGTCAGTAGAGTAAGATCAGGCTTGAGGCCAAACATGTTTTAAATGCTCATGTATGCCTTAGAAATTAGGCACAAGTGTAGTTAAGTTACAATTTGGTCACTTTTCAATATATCTTATACAAATGACATTAAGATGATCTCCAGTATAATATTAATTTTCCTCATGGTTAAATTTGAACTGATTATCAACATGTATTGAATTTCGCTATTTACACCTCATCTAAAGATGTGATTGAAAGTACATTTTTACAGCATGTATGATTGTACTTTTCCCAACTGATTTGAATGAGTTTTATTGGATATACTGTAAATTCAGAAATTATTGCGATTTTGTCATTTTAGACTAAAATGCGATTTTAATTTTTGCGATATTGAGAAAAATCCTGTTTAGTTCATATAAAAAATTTCAAAATGCGAGTTTAAATTATTGCGATTATAACCCTGTCGCATTAATCGCAATAATAAAAACATCGCAATAATTTCTGAATTTACAGTTGTTGGTTGACAGTTGTTCAGTAGAGGTCTCCTTTCTTGATATTTATTACAGAGTTTCTCTCTTGTACTGTTTGACACCTGTAATGTATATTTCAGTCGACTGTATCCCTATACTTGCTCCTTTATAAACTCAATTAAGGGGTTTTAAGAATGACACTTGTATATTGTTGAAGCCTGTGTGCTGCCCTCTAGATGTCTTTTGGCTACTTTTATTGTTGTTTGTTCTCTATTTGGTGTATACGCCACTTCTACTTTTCTTCATACTCAATCTCATGTCTATAAAATCCTGCCAATAGAAAGGCATTGGATACTTTCCATAAGAATTGTGTATTAAGAGTACAATTTAGTTGTATTCTGAAACCATCAAATTAACTTTTGATGGTATTTTTAAATGTAGTGTATGAGTATTAAAATAATACTAAGTAGCTTGATATTTCACGACTTAAGAACTCAATATATTACCAGTCAAATGTCATCAGCGAAAGTATTGTAATGACATTGTCAATAACATGCAACAGTTTGTGAGCTTTGTATCATGGCATATTGTATTTAAAAAGTGATTTTATACATTATCATGTTTAATCTACTGGAAAAATATAGCCTGGAATACACTTAGTGAGGAAATATTATGTATTACAATTTATATTTGTTCACTATTAATTATTCAGATATTTGATAAAATTCACTTAGCCATATTAAAGTGCATCTTACAATATTAATTTTGATTGCATAGATATATAGGTTATGAGCTGTTAGTATCCATAGTTGAGAAATGGGTTGACGTAAAATAGGACGTTGTATTTAATTTAATTTTTGGTCGAATTGAATTTAAGAATTTTATTTTATTGTGCACAGTGGTATGTGCAAATTGCATGCAAAGGAGGATAACTCAATTAAGACTCAAACTCAGCAACGATTTATCCAATTTCCAGGTTCATTAATATATAGAACAGCAATTGTTCACACTGCCAAGTACAAAATATGTTGACATCCCCAACATTATATAAGGGAAGGCATATATAAAAAAGACTGTTTTGTAAGCAAACTTTTGCTTTCATTTCATTTGTAAATTTAAGGTTTAAATCTTGTACAAGAGTAAAATAGTTCATCTTGAATTTCAATTTAAAAATGGACAGTAAATTGATGGTTTAAAAGTTAGTGTGGATGAGATTGGCTGTAATTTTTGCCCCTGAACATTCAGCATCTTACAGTTAGGGCTATTCCATTAAAACGTATGTGGGAGGGTAGGAAGGGAAGTTCTACTTATTGAATGTGGGTCATGGGTCTTTTTTCAGTATGCGTCTTTTACCATTATGCAAAATTATCTAAAAAATGGTTCTTGGTTGTAGGGATATTTTGAAAGTCCTTTCCTACCCTCCCACATACATTTTAATGGAATAGCCCTTAGTTTATAAACCAGTTTCAACTGACAGGAGAAATGACCTTTTTATTTCCCATCACATGTAATTACATTTCAGTTTGTTTGATTGAACTAGTTCACTTGGAGTCAACTCTAGATTTAACATCTGAGAAAATGCTATCAGTATCCCAATGTAAGCCAGGGTTTCCTAATTTGTTGGTTTACAGATTTTTAATGTAAAAATTTGGGCTGGTCGGTGGAAAAAAAGGTTTAATAAAAACATTCATGTACATTGCTTTACTGTATTTTTCAACTTTATTACAATATGTCTGTTCTTTTAAAAGAAATAGACCTGTCTAAATGGGAATGATGGTGTATTAGGGTATGTGATATAGGTTAATTTTATCATTTTTACTGGGTTCACCCGCTTTCGATATTCGAAACGACAAACCTTTTTCTTAGAACGTGTGACACGACAGGAAATCTCCAATTGTTTGGTCATCATCTACAGCTTTATTTAACTATTTATTATTATTTATTTCCTAAGTGACTACATACAATGTATGTTTAAAACAGCTAATTCAAAATGTATTGCACATAAATCTTGTAGAATAATAAAAAAAAAAAAAAACAGAACAAACTTGTTTCCCCATTTCCATTCTCAATTTTATTATTATAATGGAATATTTACATAACGTATCATTCTGTGATATACAGAACAAAATTGGGTGATAGATCTAAAACTAACAAAATAAAAAACTACAGTTTAATTGAATAATTGCAATAGATGTTCAGCTCCAGGATTCCTTTGAATGATTTTTGCTAATGCCTACTTTTAAAATCACCCAAGGGACTAATAGTTAAGTTGGTTGATATTTATTGGTAAAGAGATTCAAGATTTGCTGAATCAGTGGAAATCAGCAAACAAATTTCCAACTGAAATGCTGACAGCTTATCAGTTTTAAATAATAATCACATGTAAAGTAACTTAAGTCATGACCCATGTTTGGTCACATGAATTCTTTCATGTCTCTGATTTGATTCAATGCAGATATTGGACCAGTATTGCACGATATTCTTTGCTTCCAAACTTTGCAAGGTGAAGTGGAGTGTTTCCTTGTCCCAAACCACCAAACGAAATCAGATCTTACTCTTTTGTGGTACTACATCCCTAACACAAAGATCCTTAATGAATTATGTATTTCTCTATAAATAAATCTATCATAGAAACCAGGATTGAAATTTTGTACTTCAGATTAACACTGTAGGTATGGTGTTACTTTACTACCAAAGAAATACTGAATAAATAATGAAAATCCTTTTTTTACATCTTGGTAAGTCAATGCCCATTAAAGTAAGGTTTTGTAACAGTTCTTAAATGCAAAAAAAAGTTCATTACATATACATATAAAAAAAAATGTCTTTGTTTGAAGCAGTTGTTGTCCTCATCAGTTATAATAAACACTAAAATAAAGATTTCCCTATATTAAAAATAACTTCTATATATTATATGTTTATCTGTTTTGAATTCTATATGCTGCATGTTTTCAGTCCTGATGGAGCTTGTTTGAATTATTTAGGCTAACATTATAACATAATAGGATATAGAAATATGTAAGATATGAAGAGGTACCAATGTATCTAATTATGGTCCTGTTACTTTAGAAGCCAGAATTGCTATTCTTGACATTTAATCAATCAAGTACCCAAATTAATACAGATTCATTTGTTTCATGAAGGTTATCATATTTTTGTTGACTGGGATTCTGAAGGTTGTATATTTTCATTTTGGCACAGTCAAAATTCAGCCTATACATCACAATAGTTTGAAAATGACCTATTATTCTGCCCCTGGATCATAAATTGCAGTAGTTTAGACATGCACATTTTTGCCCAATATTCTCAATGACTTGTTCCTGCTTTTGACTGGAAAGTTTTCAATATGAGACCTTGTCAGCTAGGCATTGTCACTTGACCTTGTCCCAATATTCATGCTCCAGTTGTCATTTTAAGTTTTTATGTTCAAGAAAGTGTTTCTCAAATTGAGAAATTATACATAATAGGTTGAACTTATTTATGCTATGTTAATTCATTACATGTACATGAAAGTTTAAACCTGACAGATTTTCTTTGACCAGTGAGCTGACCTAAGCTTGAAGTTCATTGCCCCATCAAAAATTCCAATATCACCACAAGCAAGGCAGTTCAAGCTCTTGTTAACTGAATTAGGTTCATTAAAGAATCCCTTTTTTCCTGAACTTTTGCCAATTGGCAATACAAGATATTGAATGAATAATCTCACATATTTGAGTTAAAATATAGGTTATTAAAGACAGTGTTTAGGTTTGTAGCCCGTTATGTATTGTAAAGATTATTACATCCCACCTTTTTCGCTCCTGAAAAATGTATTAATGGTCCTGGTCATTCCATTCACTTAAGTCAACAGATTATCATTCGGGCAGGATACTTTGTTGACATGGAGTAGAGAAAATTATTTTTCTATTTTGATGTTGGTTTATGTTCTTACATGTAAATACACAGAGTAATGAACAATATTTAGTTACAAATTACCAATTTCTGTCTCTTTGAGCTATAATTTAAAGATCAGTAAAGACGTAAATTATATGGTGACTTTTATCTGTTGATTACTTAATTTTCAGTTGTCATTCTTTTTATAAAATTGACATGTTGAGGGAATGTTTGAGTATACATGTACGTGGAGCAGGTTGTTCACCAATTCTAACACCTGTTTCAATAACTTACCTGTGTAAATAGCTAGGTACAAATATTGCTTGGTGCAGCTGCTGCTTTTGACGGGGAAACAAATCTAAATACATTCTTTATTTTGTACTGAACAAAATTGGTCCAAGCTATGTTTTAACATATGTTTGGCTCTTTTGATATACATGTGTGTGTCTATGATTAATTTTGTCCTTGTATTATATCATTTGGACATACAGGTAACCATGCTACATTTAATGCAAAGACAAGGTATTTAGTAGCCATGTGTAATTAAATTTTAATTCCAACCTATGTTTATTCATTCTGCTCAGACATTCCCAAAAAATCCTTATATAACTGACATTTAAGAGACAAGTTATGACAACAACACATTGTTATATCACAATTCTTTCTAAAATTTGATTAGCTTTCGATGGTAGTTGAAAGAAATAGAGAAAGAAGTCAGGGATTAACTAATCCTATATCGTTGTAAACTATTGTACAAGAAAAAGGTGAAGAACAATTTTGACCAGTCCTTGTGACACAGTAGCCTTTGTACTCCTCTTTTCTCTACTTTTCTTTTCTTTTACAACTATTTTGGGTTTGGTCTCTTTTACAAGAATTCATATGAGTAGTGTTTGAAAGTAACTCCTATAAAACTTGCTTATGCTTAAAACATTTGTTTTACTTGAAACATGTGTGGAATAGGAGATGCAGGTGATACCGGTAGGTCTAAAGTTTATGTAAGTTTTGAGACCAGAGGGTTGATCTGGCAATGTTTCATATGAAGATACAATGAAATTTTCAGTTGAACTTATGTCACAACTGTAGATACTCAACTTATGGTGCATAACTGTAATATACAGTTGTAACTTGTGGTTGTGTAACACATTTGTTAGAGGAAGTATACTCATTAGAATATCTGTACTGATTGACTATTTTATATTTTACAGAAATGATGACATCATAAAAGATCTTACTGTCAGTGATGACAGTGAAGATGAAGGGGATAAAGAACCCATTAAGGTAAGGATGCTATAATTATCTCTCTTGGTGTTTACTCAACAATGTGTCCTAAGAAATTAACTCTGGAAAAATATGTAAAACAATATAGATACCTCTTAAATCCTCTTAAAAAACACAATACTTACTTTTTAAGGTTAAATAAGACTCGGAACACATGGTTTTGTTACTATTCATTTTAAGGTCAAATAAATAAATAGGCTCATTAACACATTATTTTGTAAATTGTCAGTATTCACCTCTGAAGCTAACAAAACCTTTAAATAGACTTCATATAGAGGTCAAATAAAGCCATCTTAACACAGAAAAATGAATACTGGTACTAAGAATATCTTTAATAACACACACTCATATCCTCCTTGACTGTTTCGATGTCATGTGTATTGTTTTCTAAGCTATTTGTAGAATTGACAAAGTTGACAGTTATTTTGTAATCACATTTATAGCTTGATAATAAGATCATTTTCTACAGACAAGAACTCTATATATAGAACTTTATAAAGGCTGGCGAGATTAATTCTGTATAGCTGTAGTCCATATATTTTTCTGTATTGTTGTAGCTTAATCACTTTAACACGCCATAAATAGATAGGTACTATCATCAATAATCAAGGTATTATCAGGTTTTCTCCTGAGGAACATTTATATAATAGTCATTATCTTCAGAGTTAAAAATAAACTGAAATATGAATCTAAGGATATTTTGGGGTGAATGAAATAAGACAGCAAACAAACATGATTAGTACATATACCTTGGCAGATTGTGATGCCTCTTTTACATACAATTTGTATACTGTAATATCACAAATGTTTGTACAATATTTATTTTTGTGATTTTTGATGAATGGACAAAAATATGAGATTTATTATTGCTATTTCAGTTGACGTTGCATACAAATAATGCTATCTAAATTTAGAATGCAAGTTTTTATTTTAGCATTACCTTTTTCATCACAATTTTTGCATGAATATGAATATTGAAAAAATTCTGAATTAACATTATAGTGTGGTCACTCATGGACCCTCAGAGTGACAATAGCATTACTAAACAACCTATGGAATGATTTTACAGTATGATTGACACTTATGATGATGATTCTGATGACTGTCCCAAAACTTTACAACATCAGTAAGAGGTGGAAACTACTGACAGAAAAAAAGTCTATTGAAATAAACAGCCTTAGGGGTTTTGTTGTATTGTGCTCACCTGGTGTGTGTGTGTGTGTGGGGGGGGGGGGGGGGGGGGGGGGGGTGTTAATATAACTCCTACGTATACCCTGTAAAACCAAAGACTTGAACAATGGTATTTGTTGCTTCTCCCCTTTGCATGCAGCATTTAGGCATAAGACCAAAGTTGGATCTGCAACAGAATAATGTATCCAGGTAGGGTTACATGTCTCCCTGTGGACTGGAATAGCACATTAGAAATGGATCTTTGATAGTATTAACAACTACTGTAAGTTCATTATTATTCACAAGATACCAATTTTTCATGGATTTCATGGATAAAGATGAACCATGGATTCAATTGATCAACGAATTTCAAATTTTCTATAGGCTTGTATGCAAACTTGGCAAAACCACTAATTCAAAAGTCCATGAAAATACAATTTTCCTTCAATCCTTTTCCCTCAATTCACGAAAATTCCAACAAACAAAAATAAATGAATCTACAGTATTTTAGATAAGATGTGTTTTAGAATTAGACATGACACATTTCTATCATGGAAGATTGTATGAAGACCTCAATAGTATCTGGTTCATTGACATATATACCCCACATTTCCTTTTATTAAATACATAGGCAACGGCCATTCCATTATGTTGTAACTAGTGGGTGCACTTATTTTACTGAGTTTGTTCATCTTAGCCTGAGGATGTACCTCTTGTTTCGATTCGTTGGTGTCATAACACCAGAGGGTTTAGGTCTTTGGTCCTGGTCAGTAAGAAATGTAGGTGTAGGGGGAGTATATAAGCTGTTGTAAAATATACTGTATAAAAAACTTGTTTTGACATGGTTTAAGGTCAGTTGACTGGCTTATGGAGTATGAGTTATGTTGAAACGTGTCAATAATAGGTTTATATTTGTACAAGATATTAAGCACGTCCATAAAATTTGTAGAGACTTATTCACCAACACAAATGGTTTAGTGGTTGTGTAATAACATAAAAACCATGTCTTTACGGAGATAAACATTGATTAATGACATTCTACTACTGATCTAGAAATGACAAAAGGCCTCCAGCTAAAATCTTTCCTAAGATTAGGTCACATAATGTACTACAAAAAATTCTTTAATTAGTATGTCTCCGAGAAAGCAGTCCGATACAATTTATTTATTGATTTGTGTATTGTTTGAAGGGACATAAATCCTGCATATTTTTTCTGCGTTTGTTTGATATTGATCTGTCAGTTTAAATCTCAGCTCATTTTCCCTTATCAAATAACAACTTGTACACACATAGCATGACACTTCATTATAACATGTTTGTTGGCAAAGATGGAATGAAAATAGTTGTGCATTAGGTGATGAACTGTAAGCATGTTACAACCTGTTCCCCCTGTGTACTGACAATGGATTCATCTATGGCTGCAGTCTTGGAGTGGAGACAGTAAAATGTTATGGCTATCGGATAATTCCCGTAATAAGTGCAATGACCTTTTGTTCCATTCCTTATTTCAGATTTCTGAATGTCCACCCCGGAAAGACACATGTAAACAAGGGAACAAAGCCCCTGTAAAGGAGCCTAGGTGAGTAAAGTTTGTCTTTTGCTAAAAGTGATGTATTTTCAGTTAATTTTTTTTAAGTTGCAAAATTTCAGTCAAAATATGATTTATCTATTGATATTAATGTATTTATACATGTATTTGTCTGCAATATTTCATATTTTCAGGGATTTTTATTTGTAAATTATTTAGAAAATGAAGTAGTACATGTATTTCTACGAATTGCTAATAAAAGTACATATTCATGTATTCTTTAACCTTTTTAAATTTTGAATAAATCAGATTTGCTGAAGCAGTAAACAACATACATGACGTACATTAGTTTCAACTACAATGTATTGTAAAAAAAAAATGAAAAGCATGACATTAGGGATTTAAATACATTATCTGAAAATATATTAGTAAATTGTTGGTATTTAATTTTTGAAGGATACGTTCCGATATTTCTTCCTGGGTTTTAAATCATAACTCAGGTGACAAAAGAATTTACATGACATTTTTTTTTATAATGAAATTGAGATTTAATTTACCAGTATTTAAAAGGGGATCATTTAATTTATAATAAATGCCGTAAAATAAAAATCAACACACTTACTTGACTCGCACTGAAATAAGCCTTATAGAAAGAATGAGTCTTGATGTAGCTTTTTGATCATTCTTAAATTGAAATTTGAAATAAGTTGAAATTCTGATTTACAAAACAAGGCAGTTAAATCACCATTTAAAGTATGTTAAAATGAAGTTGATTTTTTATCTGTATGATTTGATACATTATGTTTACATGATTTATGTAACATCTGTATTATTTCTTCTACTTTTTTTTTTTTTCCTTGGAAAATTAATTGATCTTAAGAATAAAGGATGATAATGTATAAAGGCAAAAATTGCTAACTCTGAAGTAGGCAAATATGTTCAACTTAGGAAGGTAGGTTTTGGCGATATTTTAAATAGGATTGTTGAAGTGTAAATTTACTGGTGCTTGGAATAAATCAGTTTTACTTGATTTCATTAGAGTAAGTGATCAAGCTACAAAGCGATGAAAATTTTTTCTCAAATCATGAAATTCAATACTCGTGAAATTAGATGAATCCATACCAGTAAAAGTTTTAGATAATTTACTTGTAAGTCTTCAAGTCCATGTTTTCCAAAAATAAAATTACAGATATTATGCAAGAATGGAATAGAACAATTTGTTTCTCTTATGTTTTTTTTCTCAAGTCTTTTCAAATTTGCAGTTTTGAAGCGTGTGAAAATTTTGAAAAAAGAATATTTTGCAGAATAAGTAGAACCTAGTACAGATTCATTTAAAAATCTTTGTTGCTGGTGTTGAGTGATTCACTGTGAAACTGGGTGACATACTCATCTTACACCCGTGTTATTCTGTAGGGTGTCATGGGTGCATTTTAGTCTCACTAGTGGCGCTCCATTTAAATCAGTTGGAAGGCAAAATTAAGAACTAAGGTGAAGAGCATTGAAAACCAAAAATTCCAAAAAGTTATGCCAAATATGGCTACTGTGTGCCATCTTAAATCAGACTCATTGATAAACATTCTACCAAAGTAAACCAATTATACATAGTTTTTGGTGAGGATATCAATAAGTTGACCAGGTCATTTAATAAATTACAAACTTTTACCAAAGTCCTTTCATGAATTACAAACTTTGATTGTAATGCTTAGGTGGCTCATCATAATGCCTTTAGTGGCAGCCAGTATAAAACAGTTTCTTGTTGTGTTACAGATTATATTACTGTTCTGTTTAGGCCTATTTTATGCTCACATTGAGTCATAGATAATTTTTCCTTTCAAAATCATGGCTTCTAGCATTCTTCTGGAAACATGTTGTTGGTGTCAAATTTAGTCTATCTATGTTTAGATTTTTTAAACTCATATATTCTTTATTACATTGTTCCCTTTCCTGAAGTGGTCAGTTTCATGTTTATATACAATTTTGATGGTAAAGGTTTCCATAGATTAGATATAGATTGTCATTATCTGGAGATCTTATGAATTATTGTACCGATCATTTTATCAGTCACTCTTCTGACACCAGTTTCTTTAAAAATGGCAGTTCAAATTTTACCTATAATCTAAGCTCAAGAATTACTGTAATCTAATCTTTTCAAAATTTCTTAAAGATTTTGTGTTGAGCAAATAATAATGTCAAGTGGTAAAAAGATTTGAAGTTGATCAGTACTACATCAGAATTAGATCTAATTTAAAATTCTTTGTCCCATATGTTTATATGTCCATTCTTGAAAGTCAATTGAATTTGATTGATGAAGTATTACCTAGACTTTGTGTTTATTGACAATTCAAATCATAATTTTTGTATGTTTACAGCTCAGTTTACTGATTTCTTTTTTGTGAGATTAACCTGTTTCTGTAAAAACCTTACTGATTGCAGTGAATCAATTGATTGAGTTAATAATCCAACTCTCTCCCTGGTTAAATACATAATGAAAACTGACTTAATGAGATTCTAAAATTAACTGTGTGTTCCATGGTGAATGTCTTATAAACCATTTTACAATACATGATAAAGATTTAGTCACTCCTATAGGATGTGGGAGGGAAAATAATTCCAGGAAAATTGTATAATTTGTGATAAAGTCGTCCTTGTTTTCATTAGCAGTTGTTTGTTTACATTTAGAATGAATGAAGGGAGGTTGGTCAAAAATCTGACACATAAAAGTCTTCTTAGATTAATATATAATTTCTTTAAATAAAAAACACACATATGATAATTATTCAGGTAATAGAGTTGTTAGAATTGAAGTTACGCCTGATTGTCACTATCAAAGGTTTTTTTGACCAGGTAAACTTGTTGCAAGTCATCTGTTGTCACTATCAAAGTTTTCCATCAAAATAAACTCATCATAGATACCAGGATTAAAATTTTGTACAACAGAGGTGTGGTTCATCTACCAAAGACTCATCAGTGACACTCGAATCAAAAGTTAAAAAGGTCAAAAAAGTTGTCTTTGATGGTTGTCACTATAAAAAAAATCCATGAAAACTTTAACCAAGAAAACTTGTACAAGAAAACTTTGATGGTGACAACTGGTCTTTAGTTTAAAAAGATTTTGTTTTATTTCAAAATTATCAAGTACATTTGATGTTTCAATTATCAAAGGTTTGTCTAGCCTACATATCCCTGCAATCCATAAATTACAGTGAATGAAGTACTCTGCATTTGTTGACTCTAGATGTTTGTAGAAAACACCTGTTTGTACACTTCAATAGGCCCAGATTCATGTGGGAGGAAAAATTTCCAAAACAGCAATGTTCTAAAATAACTTTTAATACTTGAATGAAGATGTTGGTGAAATAAGTTCAGTGATTGTCCTATACTGCTTTTCGTTTATTACTGTTGACTATATCAGTCAGTTGGTTTCTCTTTTAAATTGTTTCACATTGTGTCATTCAGTGGCCTTTTATAGCTTTCTATAGGTATGGGTTATATCATTGTTTAAGACACTACAATGACCTATAACTTTTGACATCTTTGTCATTTGGTTGTCTCATTGGCAATCATACCACATCTTATTATTATAACATTTCTATTATTGAATGCTACAAAGTGGTAACTTTTGGATTTGGAGGATATTTGTCTGAGTGGCAGATTGCACCATATTTCCTTGTTTTGATGTGTATTTTTGTCTCAGTGGCAGATTGCACCATATTTCCTTGATTTGATGTGTATTTTTGTCTCAGTGGCAGATTGCACCATATTTCCTTGATTTGATGTGTATTTTTGTCTCAGTGGCAGATTGCACCATATTTCCTTGTTTTGATGTGTATTTATGTAAGAATGAAGAGTTTATAAAGGGTATTTATTAGTGTGACATTAGTTTGACATGCTATACTGATATATATCTTTATTGTGATGAATAGTTTATTTAAGGGCACTTGTTTCTCAGTAGTTTAACCAACCGTGACTTTGTAAATATCTTGTTACACATTTTTATACGACCGCAAAAATTAAAAATTTTTGGTCGTATATTGGTATGACGTTGGCGTCGTCGTCGTCCGAAGACACATTGGTTTTCGCACTCTAACTTTAGTTTAAGTGAATGGATCTCCATGAAATTTCACCATAAGGTTCAATACCACAAAAGGAAGGTTGGGATTGATTTTGGGGGTTATGGTACCAACAGTTAAGGAATTAGGGGCCAAAAAGGGGCCACAAATAAGCATTTTTGTAACTTTCAGACAATAACTTGTGTGTAAGTGTATGGATCTCTCTGACATTGTACCACAAGGTTCCATATCACAAAGGGAAGGCTGTAATTGATTTTGGGGGTAATTGCCTCAAAATTTTAGGAATTAGGGGCCAAAAAAGGGGCAAAAAACAAGCATTTTTCTAGTTTCATGACAATAACTTGTGTGTAAGTGTTTGGATATTTCTGAAATTGTACTACAAGGTTCCATATCACAAAGGGAAAGCTGGAATTGAGTTTGGGGGTAATTGCCCGAAACGTTTAGGAATTGGGGGCCAAAAAGGGGCCAAAAATAAGCATTTTTCTAGTTTCCAGACAATAACTTGTGTTCAAGTGTATGGATCTCTCTGAAATTGTACTGCAAGGTACCATACCACAAAGGGAAGGCTGGGATTGAGTTTGGGGGTGATGAATCATAAGGGGGTTCAAAAAATTGGGGGGGGATTTTTTTTTTTTTTTTTTTTCTTTTTTTCCTTTTTTTTTTCTTTTAAAATTTTCCATTTTAAGTTGGTTATTTCTGATTTATATTTAAAAGCAAATAATAATGATATGGTAGGAGATACACACCAAACAGGATGTGTAAATTATTATATAATAAGTATTGTGCAATAGCAAGAAATTTTCAATTGCACAGTATTGCACAATAGCAAGAAATCTTCAATTGCACAGTATTGCGCAATAGCAAGAAATCTTCAATTTAACAGTATTGCGCAATAGCAAGAAATATCCAATAGCACAATATTGCGCAATAGCAAGAAATTGTCAATTGTACAGTATTGCGCAATAGCAAGAAATATTCAAT